GGTGATATAATAATGTAACATAGTGGTATTTTTCATATTCTTGATGTGATGATTTCATATTGTGTTAAGAGGGGCAAGAGTTGATTTTTCCTATATACAAGAAAATGGGAAAAACTCTCTCTAGTATATGAGTATACTTGTATGTGTATATAAAATAACTAAGTAAATAAATAATGAAAATGAAATAATGTTTATAATAATTTGTCCTAAGACGCAGGACACGCTGGAGGGACTATGTTTCTCGGCTGGCCTGGGAACGCCTCTGTGAGTCCCTGCTTAGACTGCTGCCCCAGCGACCCGGCCCCGGATAAGAAAATGGAAGGATGGATAATAATTTGTATGGATATATGCAATCAAATAAACAAAAACAACATTTTGGTATTTGCTATGAAATATCCAAAAGGTAAATGCACAGATACTGGACCTGATCATTTCTATTACTGACTAGGCCCAAGAACTCACTGTATTACAAAGCAAATCTGCTGAACAATATTCATAGTAGCTGACCCCGTCCGTAATAAATATTCTCTACATGTGATTCTATAAAATGAGTTAAGATCTGAATATTCTTTTATATTCCCATGTGACCTTATATGTGTGTAATCCCTCAGTGGTCCAGGTAGGTTCTCTAGTGGTCCATGGGTCTAGTCTATGTGCTCTTATACTTGTTCTGAAACGGCTCAAGATCATTCAAAAAATTTTCAGGAAAGCTTCATTTCTGTCCTGTGAATGTCCAATGAGTATCTAGTTTCAATACCATTTTTAGAATCGATTAGTATCTGATTTTTTTTAAATTTTTTGACAACCCTAGTAGTACATAATTGTGGAAACATTATTCTTGGAACAGCACAGTAGTGAGTTGTTCCCATTTGCACTGTGAACTAACTCTTGATTTGAAAATATAAAGTGTAAATTTAAAGAAAAAAGCAACAGTCAGAACTTTCAAAGTGATTTAGCCCGTTTCCAGTACTATTTCCTTTGAATGTGCATTATTAGAATGAGATGCCGTACAAAATCTCTTCTCTTTTAAATTATATTTTTAATTTTGTCCAACATAAATGTAACTATGTCTTTTTGTAATAAATGTAGAAAATTCTGACTTGAGTGCTGGTAAATTATCCAGAAGAAAACATACAAAATTGTGTTGTAAGCCTAACAAATGAGCCCATATTCTAGCTCATTCTAATTTGTGTAACCTTTCCACAACATTACACCACTGTGAACATGTTACTTAAAGGTGCAGTACCTGATTTTTACTGTCTTAGAAATGTGAAAAACAGAACTAGTTCATTTTAAACAGTTTGCAGTAGTCGAAAGTTATTGCTCTCTTACCTTATGCATTCTGAGCAACCTGATTATTCAACATGATGAGTTTATAAGTACTTTTCACTACTTTCAGAGACCAGAGCAGAGTTTCGCCATCATCACTGTAAAGCTAACAACAACTAGCACTCTAACATGCACTTCCTTATTATCTGACAATAAAATACTTATAAAACACTATAATTAGACTTAGACAGTACGGAGCGGACCTTTTTGGCCTCAAGAGCTGCTTATACAATATATCTTGTACTGGGGCGAGACAAATGACCGTTAACTGGAATATAATTAAATTGGTTGTATTGGGGTGGACTGATACTTTACAGCTGATGTCATCAACATTCTCTGTGGGTGTGAAGCTAACTGGAGGCACTGCTCTGCCAGACACGCTGTATTGACTGTAATCTGAGCTTTATTATAAAACAATCTGACCAGAAAGAGCTGACATAGCTGGAACTACAACAGGCGGTGTTATTTGTGCTGCTAAACAAGTCTCTCACACATAAAATTACAGTTTTTCAGTTAGTCACTCTTATGTTTTTTGTTGAAAATCAAACACCTAAACAGGACCTTGAATGTTTGCATCAATCACAGGCTCCTAAAATAGCCGGTTACATCTATATTAACACATTTTTTTTTTTACCAGTGTTCACTAATGTACGCATGTGGAACACCCCCATAATGTCGCTGCAAAGTATCAATAAAAGTTCACAAATTTCCTCCTGTTCTGACTTGGCTGAAACATTTACAAACATATTAGCCCTGGTTTGGTCCTGGTTTGAGCCCAGTTAAGCCCTGATGTAGACTTGGTTTGGTCCAGTTATAGTCCTGGTTTAGTTCCGTTTTAGTCACAATTTGAGTGTTGTGTGTTCAAGTGCGAAGTTTCAGAGATTAGTCAAAAAATCAGCTGAAACAATGATTCACTCTTGGTCACAAACTCTCTTCTGCATTGGTACGAGGAAGTCAAAGATTTCAGTGACAGTTTTAGCTTTTACTAGTGAACACATCCCCTTAATGACGTAATTATTCATTAACATGATCTAAAATGAGTAATAATGTACTTTATAGCAAATGATGCAGTTATCACATTGTAATTACCACAGTGAGTATAACATTTTCTTATATTATTTATCATTAGCACATGCCTCAATTCAAGGACCCAGTTTTCAACCAGATGTCTTGATGGCACTGTTTGAAAAGCAAAGATTCAGATTTTTCAGATATAGATAGAACATAGAATAAATAGCCTACATTTTACCATCATAAGTTCCGAGTAGGGGAGCAAGTAATGATTATTTTAGTATAAAACGCTATTTTGAGTCAACTAGTCCAACAATAATTTCTGTTTCTATTAGGGGTGTAATGATATCCAAGTCTCAAGATACGATATCCAAGTCTCACGATAAGATATCCAAGTCTCAAGATATGATATCGTCAAGGTATGAACCTCGCGGTATGATATTTGTTGCGATATTTTGTGGAGGCTAACAAAACTGTTGATATGCCACTTTTTCCTCTTAAAATGCCTTGATAAGACAAGATTCCGAAGAACTAAGGCTTAAAAGTGCTTAGAACTGTTATTTCTTCATGTAGTCTACACTGAAATGGAGCAAAGGATCATGGTCTATATAGTTCCCTCTTTCTTTTTTTAGCTATTGCTGCGCCATAACTAATTTAAACAAAGAAACTTACAATTCAATATATTGTGATGGTCCACGATATTATTGTGAGAAGTTTGACGATACAATATCATGATATTTCGGTTATTGTTACACCCCTAGTTTCTATACATTTTCAAATAAACATTGGAACATGTTGACAAAAGGCTTCTAGATAGAGAATATTTACAAATAAAAAATATTATGGATGAAAATGAGAAATTATTGATTCTTTTTATTTCAGTTTAAAGGTGCACTAATGTAACTTTTCGGTTAGTGGTCCGTCACCTTCTTCTGTCTATGTAAATGTCAGTACTCTTCTTGAAATGTTCCACAGTATGACATTAAACATTAACCTTACATTTACAGGTGGCCTTATTGGTCAAAAATACTTAATAAAACAGGAATTCTGATAGTAAGCAGGATTGTCACTCCACAGATCTGACCTATCACTTGGTATGGTTTGGTCTCCATGTTGAAAGAACGTTTAATGCCATACTGTGAAACATTCCAGACAAAGCAATAACATCTCCATGGACAAAAGCAGGTGACAAACCTTCCACCAGAAAAGTTACACAATGCACCTTTAAAGACGCTGAGTATTTATTATAAAAGATATTTAGGCATCCAGTTAATAGAATTACACTTTAGTATTTATATTAATTGTCAACTAGTCACGATAACAAATTTTGCAGTACTATATATTTCTTGAGAAAATATAGACGGTAAACATTAGTATTGAAACTAATTTATGCCATTGACAAATAACCATAAAATAGAACTATCCCCCCAAAATATTCTTAACCTATAATAGGGTTACAAAACTGCAGCAACAGCAGAATTAGACACTGTAGTAGTTAGTTTGTGTATAATGAGTCATAGAAGCGATGTTCAAATCTAATCGTAAAACATAAAAATAACAACAAGTTCTTCACTAGTACTTCATTCAAAAGAGATAATATTTTATTCTAAATTACTAAAGAGGCCATATTACATTATTTTCTGATCTATGTTATAATGTTGCTTCTCATTACAAACATGCATAGTTGTGTTTTGTTTCATTCACACATTTACCACACAAACCCTGCATATTTCGAGTTCTTTTCTCAAATAGAAAACACTGTTCCACCTTGTGATGTCATGTGGTAATAAAGGAAATACAGGAAGTGCTCCACTACAGTTTTAAACTCTATACACCTTCATAATAATTTCAGTTTTAGAATTCCAATGTCTGTTGAACTAAAGGTAAAAGGTAGGTGTTAACTTGAAAACTACTGCTTCATGACATCAAGGTGGAACATTTTGAGCTTTGGAGGTGTAGACCGACTAATAAGGACTAACAAGAACGGCTTATTTAAATGTGTGAATGAGACAAAACACAACTGGAGTAAGGTGACCAGAATTTCAGAAAAGTTCTTTTGGTTGTTGGTAATAATAAAATTGTGAAACGAGTGTGTAATTAAGAAAAATTGTTATGCAGAAACCATTCATGACTAACATGTGAGCCAGTATAGTAACATTATCTTTGTGTTTTGGTTGTTTTTAAGCAGCTTTTCTGTATTTCACCTAAACAAATGACAATTTATGCCTCTCTTTACTGTTGGCAGGTGTCAAATTGGTCAAAAATAGGGATACTTGAGACATTTCTTGTATAAAACTGGAACAAATCAGTGGTTTTGGATAAATCTGCTGGGACAGGGGACACAAGTCTCAAAACTGGGACTGTCCAGGGTAAAAAGGGTCATCTGGGCACCCTAAACTGGAGGTGTTTTTAAGGAAGTAAAAACAACATTGTAATATGGCTTAAAACTGACAAGCGCTGATTTCATGTAATATAGGACCTTGAATCTGTATAGCAGCACTCATAATTTCTCTTCATTCTAAAACCCAGGGATTTCTTGGCTTGGTGCCTGTGCACTGCTGCCCTTAGCGCGCTCTCCTCCAGCATCTGCACTAAACTCAAAGTCAAAAACACACATGCTTGAAAATCTCTGCAGTCAATTGCCTTCTCCCTTTACTCACCGTGTGTGTAGATGTTCCCCAGTTCGTTGTGCAGGTAAAACAGGCTCTTGATGCAGTCTTGCACGGAGGAGATTGGCCGGTATCCCGTTAGGACGTATTTATTGAACTGGAGATGTGGAGGTGAGTTTGCCCAGTCCAGAAGCCGGGGTCCATTTAAAAAGCCATAGCAAATAGCACAGTTAAAATCACACCTCCGAATAAATAAAAAATCGACTGCACGCCTATGTACAGGTTGAGCAAGATTATTGCCACGAAAACCTTGTGGGATACCATTTGTGGATCATTAAATAAAAAATATTAGATTATTTAAAAGATGCTGTTAGCCACTTAGCTCGCTGCTAGCATCAAGTCTTTGGAGGGGGGCCAGGGATGAGAGAGACATGCTTGCAACTCGGCTTAGCTGTCATGACTCCTCTCGATAGTCCCAGAACATAAAGTCACATAAAACACATCCAGGTCCCATGGTTATGCCCGAAAAAGGCGCTTCTTGGCCGGCTGGATTAGCACCAAAACGCCGCCGCTTGAATGAATGAACGTGTGGATGCTGAGGTCCAAGGATGAGGTTCGGTCCAGGGTTGCCAGATATCACGGTGGAAACGAGCAACCGAACCTGTTTTTTGCAAATAAATCCAAAAAGCGTAAATGTTGTTAAAAGATCTAAATTGTCAATAAATTCCACATATTAATATAAATCTAGTGTATTTCCCATGCAACTGTCTCCTCCGCTACTGCTCCCGCTCTGTGCTCCCTCATTATGCTATTTATGGCCATACAAACTGTGCATTGGAGAAAGAAGATCTAATTGTGGTATTGTTCAAAGTAAACCATCCTCGATCCATCGTATAATCAGATGCTAGCTGCTTTCGTAACGGGCTCTGGAGCGGAGGAGAGCCGCCGTAGATGTGCACAGATTTCCCTCTCTCACTAGCAAAAACATCGGTCACTTGGCTATCAGCGCCGTCCCGGGATGAAACTAAAAATACCGTGGCAAAATGGTACGATCTCAAAACAGCGCAGCCACTGTCGGTTTGGTAGTTTTATCCCATGGCTGGTCCCGGCGAAATGCCCGGCGCTTTGCTGCTGTATTCCCTGGAATGCGGTGTCTCCCAAGCGGCCTCAAGTCCCCTCCTGCATCGGATCGCTCGGGTCTCGCGTATTTTGCATACACTGGAGCAGTTCCGGTTTTCCCCATCACAATAAAACTATTACAACCGTAAGAGAAAGAAGGTTACAAAACCGTGGAGTTGTGTTTTGTTTCAGTCACACATGTTTAACACACAAACCCGGCACGGTGGCTGAGTGGCAAGCACTCATGCCTCACAACAAGTTTGTCCCGTGTCTGGATGGGTTTCCTCCGGGCACTCCAGTTTCTCTCATCAAACCAAACCAAAACACACTACAAGCCTCCAGGAAGAACAGTTGATAGTCAAGGTCAGTTAAATACAATCAATCAAGGAATCTGCCCAGGGACGACAGGTGGAAATTAGCTCTGGTGCTACAACCTGGTACAAGGCATCTCTTCTGTTAAGGTTAAGGTTTTTAAACTCCAGTATGGTGGCCAAGCCTGGTCAGATCTCAGAAAGCTAAGCAAGGTCGGGTCTGGTTAGTACTTGGATGGAAGACCGCTTGGAAAATCAGGTGCCACAGTATTGGCAAGATACCGCTGTTGTGTCCTTAGGCAAGGCACTTCACCCGCATTGCCTAATATGAGGGACTGGTGATGATCGGAGGGGCTGATAGTGGAGATTGGCAGCCTTGCTTCTGTCATTCTGCCCCAGGGCAGCTGGTGCTACTGGTAGCTTACCACCAAGTTTGAAGTAAATGAATAATGAACTGTAAAGTGTCTGAGTGTCCAAAAAGCGCTATATAAAACTGATCCATTATTATTATCAAACATTTTCACTAGAATCATTTGGATAATTTCAGTGCTGGAATTGTCAGTCTCTTCAGAACTAGAGATAAAATGTAGCTGCTAACTTGAAAGTAGTGCTTCATGACATCAGAAGATGGAACAGAGCATTTTGAGCTTTGGAGATTTACATAAAGCAATGATGCAGGATTACTCAAATATGTGAATGAAACAAAACACAACTCCAGGTCTGTTTTTCATTGCTAAAAGCTCACAGGAGTCAATTTCTCCTAATATAGAACTTTTAACTGTCTATAATATATATACTATGTTACATTACATGCTGATACTGCTGAATGGAATAGGTGCATGAGACAAATACGGAACACGTCTTTTGTGGTGGGTTGGTGTGACTTTTCCATCTCTTAAAAAAAAAAAAAGCACACAAGGTTGCAACAAATGTAAAGTAATTTGAATGCATTGCTCACATTGCACCCGGATTTGATATCTGAATGTGTTTGATATTTACATTTTTTTTTTTTTTTTTTTTTTTTTTTCACAGAAAATACAAGTGAATTTATGTATTATGGTAGATTTCTGTAAGAAGAGGTGGCTAACTGGTTCTTGGTGGCTGGTGGTCTTGTTAAAAACCTCAGTCTAGTTTCTAAATCACTATGTGTTGATATGTGCAAATGAAATGACCACAGTGGGACAAAACTACTCATGCAATTACTTTTAAAGAGAGATGAAAACCTATTACCTATTTGCTTATAACTACAAATATTCTAGTGCTTGTTTTTTTATTTTTTTTGTTTTTTTGTTTTATTTTATTTTGATAGTGAGATCTTTCCACTTCCTGTTGGAAGTTAAACATTTGACAGTAGTTTCAAGCCAGTTATCTGTATATGTAAGCAATGAATGATCCTTTAATGGTGTTGTTCAGAACAGTTGAATCATTTGAAAACATTTGGGCAAAAATCTATGAATATTTAGAATATTTAGAATAATAATATGATCAAAATGGGGCAAAGAACATGTGACAATTTAATGTAATTTCTCTTGTTGTATATAGCCTTATATATTTGATGTATATTTCAAATAAACAGATTTTCTGTAATAAAATGGTTGAATACAGATAAGTGCACTCTTGTTTTGAAAATATTGCACAATGTTAGTTTTTTTTACAAAGGCAAGTTGCAGCCTGCAGCAGAGGCTCAGAGAAGGCTAACTACCATTTAGTTTAGATTCTTGTTCTGTTTTTGTCAGTGTATGTTTATCAAGTAAAGGTCAAAGCTCATGAGCATATAGGCTAGGGTTATTTATGTGAGAAAAAGGTCTCTGTGACATTAGTGGGCATTACAAATATTACATGGGCCCACAGCATAATAACAAAGGTTTGTAATGTAACACTTTGTGGTGAATATAAGTTTTATTTATTTTTAGGTTTACTTTAAAAGTCTTAAGGGTCCTGTAGTACACAAAATTGACTCTTGTGAGCTTTAACTCATGTTATAATGTTGTTACTTCATCAAAAGCACACCTATAATTGTGTTAATTTCATTCACACATGGCTTAATAATCCTTTATTTTTAGTCTCTGTTCCACCTTGTGGAGATTTTGTGACGATTCAAAACCACACCTGACCAGAGTATAAAACAGAAACCTTCACTGTCAGTCTCTAAGTCAAATCGACGCATGCTGACAAGACACAAGTGAGTATTCATTTGTGTATTTTTAAATAACTTTGCAGTTTATTCAACCGATTCAATCTTTGGTGTGATTTTGGCATTTAGCTTTTGGTGTTTATAGAGCTTGAATTGCAACACGCAGTTTAGATAGTTAGTTAGTTTATTTGTGTATACTTTTGTTTCTTTTAAACACTTGTACGTCACTTGGGTTCCACTAGGAGTTGGCTCAGATTTCATAATTCAATCCCAAACATCAATTGTGGTAAGTTGCAAGTGTAGCCACAGCCCAGGGAGCTAGAGACAATCTAATAGTACCAATCACTCACACACCACATTCATACATAAGCAAGGTGAAGTGTAAAGAGGACCATTCTCTCCGAGCCTCTGTCCTCCTACAAGTTTTTTTATGCAGGCCTATGTGAAAAATGTTGTTTTTAGGGCGGCAACAGTTAAATAACTATAAAAGATTGAGTACTCAACAAGAATTCAAACCCACTGGTCTGATGAGCACCTGCGTGCGTAAGTTTTGATCCAGTCCAGCACTCCAATATTGTCATTTTTAACTGTAAAATATTATCTTAAATGTATTTTGATAAATGTTATCTGGACTACCATAGACTGCAGACTACACAGACTCTTACAACAAAGGCAGTGTTTTGTATATATTTTTATGTTTTATATATATGTCACTATACTATATATCAGGGCTGTCCAAATGTTTTTCACTGAGGAAAACATATTGAAAGACCAGTGTTGGACAGTGATTCCCATTGCTGATTTTACACAGCTTTGACAATGCCTCTGTACCTTTAATAAGGCAAAACCTAAGCCTGTATCACAATGCAATGTGATGCTCTAAAGTTAATAGTGGCAGAATTACTAGTGCTGTCCAATTATTTAAAATTGAAGTTTAAAAACTCCAGGTGTGAATGAATAATGAATTGTAAAGCGGCTTTGTGACATATATGTCTGTGAAAAGTGCTATGTAAATAAACTTACTTAAAAAATGTATCAGATTAAGCACACTTTTGAAATATGATTAATCACGATCAATTGCACTGCATGCTGATTTTAATTTTGTAATTTAATCTTTCCAATTTGAACTTTTTTTTTTTTAACGAAAATATTTTTATTTACTATTCCACAAATCTAAATCCAACTGGCCATAATTTAAGTCTAAAAGTTTCATTTCATAATGTATTAGTATAAAAAAATAAATAAATAAAAATCAAACTTTATTTATAAAATGTTCCAGGTTAATGTAAATGACCAAACAACAGGTTTAGTGGGGCTAAAGGCCTTATGCCCCCTGGGCCATAGTTGAGACATCGCTGCTAAGCCGTTTCTGTAATTGGTTGATAATTATCATTAAGTCAAGATCTTGGGTAGAATTACCTTGTTCAATATTTAAAACCTATACACAGTGAGAAATATTAACCATTAATTAATTAACCATTGGATTCAGCGCCTTTCAAGACACCAGAAGTGCTTTACAGTGCATTATTTATTAACTTCACACTCAGTGGTGGTAAGCTCCTATTGTAGCCACAGCTGCCCTAGGGCAAACTGACAGAAGAGAGGCTGCCAATCTGCTCTATCGACCCTCCAACCACCATCACCAACATTCACTCACACCACTTTCATACTAGGGCCTAGGCAATCTGGCTGAAGTGCCTTGCCTAAAGAGCTTTTGCCATTGGTGCCCCACTGTGACATGTGATTTTCCCGGCGATCTCCCATCTAACTACTAAACAGGCCTGGCCATTCTTAACCTCTGAGATTTGATGAGATCAGCTTTGACAAACTGGTATGGCCAAATATACCACACATGTCTGAAAATCAAACTAGTGTGAATGGATGGGATGATGGACTTGATGACTGTGCCAACCTCTTTCATATTATGTTACTGTTGTTAATAAGGAAGCTGAACTATTGTCTATAAATTAAATAAATTCTGTATATTCTTAATTACTTCATTATTCTTAATTTTCTTGATTTCACAGTTTGTGTCGTCACTGCATGAAAGCATGTTTCTTCTCATTGTCGGCCTGTTGTTCCTCACTCATGATTCCCATCAGCACTGCACAGATGGAAATCCCAAAGAGTGTCTGGAAGCTGATTTTGCTCCTGGGACTAATTTGGGAGGAGAAGGATTTGACGTCACAAATGGAGCAAAAAGGAGCGTATGTGATTGATATGAAACAGTGGAAGCGTAAAGATAAGACCTGTACCCTGTGTTCAAACCCGTATTTGGAAAATAAAAAGCAGAAGCTGCCTCTGTCTGTGGTGGACTGGAGAGCAAAGCACTCATGCAGCGCCAAAGTGAACGGACAGCTCCATAAGTCCAGTGAGTCTCTGGTTAGCTCAAGCAAAGCGTCCATCGAAAACAACTGGAAAAGCAGCTTGGACATCTCTGTGGGAGCTACAAGTGCTCAGTTAACGTTAGCAGGTACACATTCCAAAATGGCTGAATATTCCATGGAGAAAAGCAAAACCGATAAATACAGCTTCTCCAGCCAGAGCATGTCGTGCGAGTACTACAGGTGAACTTAAAGCTTTCATAATTAGCCACAAATAAAGATAAGTGCACTATTAGGAATACTAATTTATTTCCATTTTCAGATACGGGATCTCCAGAACTGCAAAAATGCACCGTGAATTTCGTAAAGCAATAAATCAACTTCCCAAAGTGTACAGCAAAAACACCAAAGGACAGTTTTATGGACTGATTGACAAGTTTGGTACTCACTACATCACTATGGTAATAATAATATTTATTAATACATGTGCATTTTAATTAAAGTAAATGCACTGTCATATATGAAAATATTTCAGAACAGTGCACTACTTGATTTGGAGGGTCTGCCACCTGCGTGAGATATTATTGCTTTGCCTAGAATGTTCCACAATATGACATTTAATGTATTTATCTCCATGGACACAAGTACCAGGCCAATTCACACCAGATCTGCAGAAAGGTGACTCCACTCACAGTAAGAATGCATAGTTTCCAGGTATTTCTGAGCAATAAAAACAATTGTAACTGAATAAAAAAACAAGACAGATTGGTTTAATATCATACTGTAGAACATTCCAAGCCAATGCAATATCTCCAAGGAGACAAGCAGGTGGCATGTCTCCCACAAGAAAAGCTGCATAGTGAACCTTTGCCACCATAAATCTTTTGTCTCTGGGAGACATTCTAGACAGAGCTAAGAGAAAGATAAATGAATTCCCATATTCGTGCTTTTGGACAGTGGAATGAAGCAAAAATAGCAGAGGATACCTGTCTCCCCCAACAATAATGAAAAGAGTTAGTTGTGTGTTTCAGGTGCACATTGGGGGCAGTGTGAAGTCAGTGACCAGTATCCGTGAGTGTGAGGCCAGTCTGCAGGGTCTCAGTGTGGAGGAGGTGCAGGCCTGTCTGGAGGTTGAGGCATCTGCCAGCTACGGCCAGTCTCAGGCTCGGGCTGAGGTCAAACACTGCAAAAAAGACATCCAGCAGTCAGAAAAGAAAGCCTCCTTCTCCAGCTCCTTCAGTGACAGGTATGACTTAGTAAGTTTTTTATTTATATAGCGCTTTTCACAGACATTTGTCACAAAGACGCTTTACAGAGCATTATTCAGTCACTCCACACCCAGTGGTGGTAAGCTACTATTGTAGCCACAGCTGCCTTGGGGCACACTGACAGAAGCGCAGCTGCCACTCCAATTGGCACCATCTGCCCCTCCAACCAACACCATCACACACACCACTTTAATACTAGGCAATGTGGGTGAAGTGCTTTGCTTAAGGACACAGCAAGAGTTTTTGCCACTGGCACCCCCCTGTGGCACCTGATTTTCCCATAGGTCTCCCATCCAAGTACTAACCAGGCCCAGCCCTGCTGAGCTTCAGAGATCTGATGGGATCAGGCTTTGACAAGCCGATATGGTCACAACTTAGAAAGGTGTTTATGCAAGAGTAGGATATGTATCAGGTCTGTCAGTCATTTGATCATTTGCCTGGCAAAGACCACACATGGTCTTGCAATATTTTACATAGACAAGCTAATCAGATAAATGCATGTCAAAACAAACATGGTGGTCTACAAGTAAAAAAGGACTGAAAAGCAGCACAAAGGTTTAGTTTGTTTTCATACCTGACTGTGTTTACTGCTCACTAGTGGTTTTCTTCAGTGTCATTTGATGTTGCTGTGACCTGTCTTGAAGCTGGTGTTCTGTGGAAATGAGCTACCAGCAGCCTAAATCAATTCACGCTACCTTGTCGAAATAAGCTACCTTACAGTTGTATAGATCCAATAAAGCCAACCTCCCCAGTTTTACAACATATTTCTTTGGATTAGAGACAGTGGGTTTTACGCTGTTTGCGCACAGTGATCAGATTTGATACCTTAGTTTTGTAAAATTTCAACTCATTTATATGAATATGCATAGGTAGTTCATTTTGACAGTCATATTATACTATCAATATTATCAATTGTCTCCAACTAAAGGTAGCACATATCGACAGCCATCAAATAACGCTCCCACTGTAGAATCATCATAATTCACTCATTTATATGAATATGGGTAGAGATAAGAAATCTTGACAGGCCTATATCTTCTCCCAAAAAATGCATCCACTGGAGGGCGCACACCTCACCTTTGTGGTACTGGGGATATTGAAGATGGGACAATTCCATGCATTTCAATTTTATTTATATAGCGCCTTTCTAAACAAAGTTACAAAGTTTTTCACACATGGAAACAAATAAAAATACAATGTTATGAAAAAGATAACAACAAAAAATTAAATATTAACTATTTACTACACTATTACTACACTATATATACACTATTCAGTTATCTAATTCTGTCGCAAAACATCCGGCTCAGGTAGCCCAAATTGACAGGTAGGCCATTTCGACAGGACACCGGAAGCGCCCACATGTTCACTTCCTGTTTGGAATGCAGTGGCTGGCGGTTTAGCTATGTCCATTTAGTCTATGGTATGAACATGTTTTGTGTGTTTTCCAGGTTCACAGAGATTAGAGGCGGTCACACCACAGAGCCCGACCTGCTGTTCTCTGCAGATAAAGAGCCTTCGGCCTACAAAGACTGGCTCAGCACGTTGCCCCAGAACCCAGACATCATCTCATACTCCCTGGACCCTCTGCACATGCTGCTGCCCCCCAAGAGCCCCTCCCACTCCAACCTGCGCTCTGCCATCAGCCACTACATCCTGGAGAGAGGCCTGTGGAAGAACTGCAGCACCCCCTGTCCCGCCGGAGTCAGAACAGACCCTCGGGACCCCTGTGTCTGCCAGTGTCACAACAACGCAGGAGTAAACCAAGACTGCTGCCCCACTCAGAGAGGTCTGGCCCGGGTGATCATCACTGTGCAGAGGGCTACGGGCCTCTGGGGGGACACCACCACAGCCACAGATGCCTATGTAAAAGTCTACAAAGGAAAGACATTGTGGAGGTCAAGGGTCATCTGGAACAATAACAACCCTTACTTTCATTACGTCGCCGATTGGGGCAACGTAAATCTTTTAACAGAGAATAAAGTTAGATTTGAAGTGTGGGATGAGGACAATAAATGGGACGATGACCTTTTGGGAGAGTGCAGCAGAGTTCTTACGGCTGGAGTTAAAGAAGATGTGTGCAATCTACAACATGGCCGACTGTTTGTCAAGTGGCAGGTGCAGTGTACTCCGAGCCTTACTGGAGACCTCTGTAAAGATTACAAACCTATGCCCATCAGTCCCACTCTGAAGGGCTGGTTCAAGTCCCGTAATGCCCATCCCGTTCCCAAGGCCCTGCTGCTGCAATGGGGCGTGGTCATGAACGGGTCAGAGAACAACCAAACCAGAGTCTGAGGAAAAAGGTTAAAATTTGAAAAAAATATATGATTTGCCTTTTGTATCAGTATAACAAGAAACAAGTTGCTAGCCTGGTCAGTCAAGGCTACTTTTCCTACATTATTGATACTTTGCAATGACATCACACTGGACTTGTTTTACATGTATTTCTATGATTTAATATTCAGCAGTTACCATGGTGACACAATGCATTAGCAAACACAAACACCTACACTTAAACATTACACCCCAAAGAAATGTTGATAGCATCAGCTGCAAAGTATCAATACAAAGATAGTACCAGGTCTTGGGTCAAATGTTGTGGTGGTAGTAATTTTAATTTTAATAGTAACAGTTTTCAGTTATTTCTAAATGCTTTTACATTCTTGTCTATGTTTGCTTGATAGTAGATATTAAAAAGTTGCTTAGTTCAATTGTACTTATATAAAACCTTGTTAAACAACTGCTTTCAATGATATTAAAACTCACATGCCATTTACCTTACTTTTGTGTAAGGTATTAATTCATATTTCAACTAAGTATTTCTGCAAAACACCGCAGCCCTTTCCACTTCACAGAAATGATCTGTCTGTGGTGGTTCATTCTTCAGTGAGGCTGTGCAGTGGCTTTAAGTCGCTGTGGAGCTTCCTTACATTGACCACACTCATGTTTTGTGGGTTTGACATAGATCAAACCTAAATGCAGGTCTGGTTGTTTTCCATTGTATCTAAAGCGAAACCACATAGGTATAAAACAGAAAACTTCACCCCCGCTCTCTCAGTCAAATTGGAGCACGCTGAGAAGACACAAGTGAGTATCATTTGTTATTGGAACTATACCAAAGATTCTGGACTACATAGACTCTATAATATATATAATATTATAATATTATAATATTATAATAAGGCAGTGTAATGTATAAATAAAAATATCTAAAAGAATATCTAAAAATATTTTTTAACCATTTAATTCTGATTTTCATCATTTATGTGTAAATATTTTTTATTCTTAAGCCTTCACTTACCATATGTAAAAATGAAATGTACTTAAAATGTCTCATGTAAACCCTGATAGTATCATTTACTCAGAAAATCTCAGAAAACTGATTGCCTTATTTTATCTTAGTAACAAATAGGTACAAAAGATTAAGTAAACAGTAATAATCCAACCAATTCAATCAAGGGTCTCTTAAGTTCTGTTAACTAGCTTACTAACTTAGTAATGATTACTCTTAAAACATTAGCAATATTACATCCAATATTTGAGTAAGTAACACCACTTTTTACCTAGTCCCCGAAGGGCTGACCAGGTTTTGTATTCACTGTGTGTCTGTGTGTGTGTGTGTCTGTGTGTCTATCCACCCCCAACAATTCCGCCATTTATGGACCGATTGTCACCAAATTTGGTACATGTGTCAAGCCCCCTTGCTCGATGCTGCAAAAAAAGTTTGGTGACAATCCAAGGTCATTTGAGGTCACACGGGTCAATTGAAAGGTCATGCCATTATAAACGACAGGCAAGCTGGCTTCTGTGGTGATGAACTGGCCCCACCGATGCCTCATGGGGGACCAGGTTGCTATCTCTGATTGCACCTCTTTACATTTAGGTTACTCTGATTATTTTAGTACTGTAAACTAATGATATATTACTAGTGGTAACTTAAACCCTTAAGATAATGATTACTAAGTTGTTTTTTTCTAGTAATGTTAATGTCTAAAGGAAAGTTGTAGGGGCGTTTTCACACCGCTGGTTCGATTATTTGGTCCGCAACAGGCAATAAGATGGTTATTATGTAGCTTATAGACTCCAGTGTTGTCTGGTTTTACACCGGGAAACGAACCAAAATTGGTCCAATTGATGTGCCTCTATTTCCCGGGAGAACACCGGTATCTCCAATTACCAATACCAATGTTCCCTGTTAATACCACGAGCTGTGCTCACCTCTAGTTACCATTATGAACTCATAAAACCGCAGCATGTAGCTATAACTTTGTATGCAGCTCACTGCACATCAGCCCGCAGCAGAATCACTGAGTTCGAGCAACAAAACTGTGTATATTCTTAATTACATATTTCTTCCCCAATTTCACAGTTTGTGTCAGCACTTCATGCCACGATGTTTCTTCTCATCATCAGTGTTCATCTGTTGTTCTTCACTCATGATTCCCATCAGCACTGCACAGATGGAAATCCCAAAGAGTGTCTGGAGGCTGATTTTGCTCCTGGGACTAATTTGGGAGGAGAAGGATTTGACATCACAAAAATGGAGCAAAAAGGAGCGTATGTGATTGATATGAAACAGTGGAAGCGTAAAGATAAGACTTGTACCCTGTGTTCAAACCCGTATTTGGAAAATAAAAAGCAAAAGCTGCCTCTGTCTGTGGTGGACTGGAGAGCAAAGCACTCATGCAGCGCCAAAGTGAACGGACAGCTCCATAAGTCCAGTGAGTCTCTGGTTAGCTCAAGCAAAGCGTCCATCGAAAACAACTGGAAAAGCAGCTTGGACGTCTCTGTGGGAGCTAAAAGTGGTCAGTTAACGTTAGCTGGTACACGCTCTAAAATGGCTGAATATTCCATGGAGAAAAGCAAAGATGACAAATACAGCTTCTCCAGTCAGAGCATGTCATGCGAGTACTACAGGTGAACTTAAAGCTTTTATAATTAACCACAAATAAAGATAAGTGTACTATTAGGAATGCTTTTGTGTTATGTGTTATGTATTTCCATTTTCAGATACCGGCTCTCCGCAGCCCCAAAAATGCACCGTGAATTCCGTAAAGCAATAAATCAACTTCCCAAAGCCTACAATGCTAACACCAAAGGACAGTTTTATGGACTGATTGAAAAGTTTGGTACTCACTACATTACTAAGGTAATAACAATGTCTGTTAATATATCATAAGCTTTAACATAAATAAAGTAAATGTTTTAGGAAATGTGCACTAATTGACTTTACCACTGGAGGGTCCACAACCTGCTTGTCTCCATGGAGATGTTATTTATTTGCCTAGAATGTTTCATAATATAACTGAATGTATTTATTGCCATGGACACATGCAGCTGATTTCACCAGGCCAATTCACATGTCAGATTTTGTCACTGGGAGATGTTCTAGCCACCTGTGACCCCAAACAGAACTAAGAGGAGGATAAATTAATTCTCATAGTCAAGCATGCTTTCAGACAGTAGAATGAAGCAAAAATAGCAGAGGATACCTGTCTCCCCCAACAATAATGAAAAGAGTTAGTTGTGTGTTTCAGGTGCACATTGGGGGCAGTGTGAAGTCAGTGACCAGTATCCGTGAGTGTGAGGCCAGTCTGCAGGGTCTCAGTGTGGAGGAGGTGCAGGCCTGTCTGGAGGTTGAGGCATCTGCCAGCTACGGCCAGTCTCAGGCTCGGTCTGAGGCCAAACACTGCAAGAACAATATCCAGCAGTCAGAAAACAAAGCCTCCTTCTCCAGCTCCTTCAATGACAGGTATGACGTAGAAAGGTGTGTACGCAAGAGAGGAAATGTATCAGGTCCGTCTGTCATTTGATTATTTCCCTAGCCAAGATCACATGTGGTTTTATAATGTTTGACAAAGACTAACCAGTCAGATAAATGCAGGATCCCTTCATGTTAAAATAAATGTGGCTGCTTATATATATATATATATATATATATATATATATATATATATATATATATATATATATATATATATATATATATATATATATATATATATATATATGTATATGTATGTATGTATATGTATATATATATGTATATATGTATATGTATATATATGTGTATATATATATATATATATATATATATATATATATATATATATATATATATATATATATATATATATATATATATATATATATATATATATATATATATAATATAAGGACTGAGAAACTCTCTCAGAATCAAAAGGCAAAACACAACTCTATCTGAGATCAAAGGAGTTAGACATTTCTGTCTGAATGAATATTCAACATTTGAGAGACACGTGACACAAATTATGTCCCAAATAAGGGTCTGTTATTTATGGTCTGGTTCCAGACTCTTCTGCATTTTAACAAAAAGTTGAAGGGAATGTCTGGAGATTATGGGTGCCAACCAATTAAACTAACTTGTTAGCACAGATGAACAGTTTGTACAGTGCTTTGAGGACCAGTCAAGATCATATGTAAATGCACATGTTTTGTGTGTTTTCCAGGTTCACAGAGATTAGAGGTGGTCACACCACAGAGCCCGACTTGCTGTTCTCTGCAGATAAAGAGCCTTCGGCCTACAAAGACTGGCTCAGCACGCTGCCCCACCACCCAGACATCATCTCATACTCCCTGGACCCTCTGCACCTGCTGCTGCCCTCCAAGAGCCCCTCCCACTCCAACCTGCGCTCTGCCATCAGCCACTACATCCTGGAGAGAGGCCTGTGGAAGAACTGCAGCACCCCCTGTCCCGCCGGAGTCAGAACAGACCCTCGGGACCCCTGTGTCTGCCAGTGTCACAACAACGCAGGAGTAAACCAAGACTGCTGCCCCACTCAGAGAGGTCTGGCCCGGGTGATCATCACTGTGCAGAAGGCTACAGACCTCTGGGGGGACACCACCACAGCCACAGATGCCTATGTAAAAGTCTACAAAGGAAAGACATTGTGGAGGTCACAAATCATCTCAAACAATAACAACCCTTACTTTCATTACGTCGCCGACTGGGGCAACGTAAATCTTTTAACAGAGAATAAAGTTAGATTTGAAGTGTGGGATGAGGACAATAAATGGGACGATGACCTTTTGGGAGAGTGTAGCCGTGATCTTACGGCTGGGGTCAAACAAGATGTGTGCAATCTACAACATGGCCGACTGTTTGTCAAGTGGCAGGTGCAGTGTGCGCCGAACCTTACCGGAGACCTCTGTAAAGATTACAAACCTATGCCCATCAGTCCCACTCTGAAGGGCTGGTTCAAGTCCCGTAACACCCATCCCGTTCCCAAGGCCCTGCTGCTGCAATGGGGAGTGGCCATGAACGGGTCAGAGAACAACCAAACCAGAGTCTGAGGAAAAAGGTTAAAATTTGAGATTAAATATAATCTTAAAATATATTATTTGCCTTTTGTGTCAATATAACAAGACACCTGGTCAGCCAAGACTTTTCCTACACTATTGATACTTTGCAGTGATATCACTCTGAGGGTGTTTTACGTGTAACCTATGTGTATCTCTATGGTGGAATGTTCAGCAGTTTCAGGAGTCTGTGATTAATAAGCACATTCATAGGTGTTTGATTTTCAACAAAAGGTGAAAGTAACAGAAAAACTGTTAGTTAATGCTAGTCAACTTGTGACTGTAATTTCACATGAGAAAGCACACATCAGCTCACTTGCTGTAGCATCAAGTCAGCCCTTTCTGGTCAGATAACGTTAAAATAAAGCTCTGATTAAAGTCTAATAGAGTTTCTGACAGTTAGCATCACACCCTGTGGTAATAGTACTTTTCCAATGCTGTAAGGTATTAAAAAGATCAATTGTTTAGTTCAACTGTACTTAACTTTCTCTTAATTGTACATAACTTGCAATAATATTAAAATGCACATGCTATTTACCATACTTTTGTACAAATGTGGTATTAATATTTCAAAACGACTAAGTATTTCTCCATTAAAGCCCCAGCCCTTTCCACTTCACAGAAATGATCTCTGTGGTGGTTCATTCTTCAGTGCCTGGAAATGGTAGTCATAGTTTCAAATTCATTCACAGCTGCTGTCAGACCACCAGTGCAACTATATGAGGCGGAAGTAGTCAGCCTAACCACTGTCCTATCTTTATTTTTTATCTTTTGTTTTTAAAAAGCCCCTGCTCTCCTAGTAAACACCCCTAAACCAAACCATATAAATTTAACATTCCCTCCCACTGGCATTATAGACCTAGAGAATGGGCACTGGGGGTGAGTACTTAATATTATTAATGAACATTTCTTAAAGAATAATTAAGTTTCCAATTAAATGTATTACCAAATGTAGAGTCTGTACAAAGGTATTAGTAGGATAATTTCAGTAGAGATAGTACCAGTAAAAAAAACAACAACGAAAGAAATGTAACTTTGGGTACTCTCACACTCTCAAGTATTTGATAGTGGAGTCAATTTTACATTACTTAAAAAGGTAGGTTTGTGTGCCAGCAGGGGCCGTTTTTCTACACTGGGCACCACACTTGAACCACTTTGTCATTAAACCACTGTGTCGCTATTTAAAATGGAAAGTCCCACTTTGTGTTTAACAGAAATTATTTTATTTTGTTCAATTAATTTATGTTTTGGGAAAAGTTTAAGTAAAAGTCAACATATGCAAAAACATGGGGCCCCAATACATATAATGAATTTTATATGTAAAAGATGTCTGGGTCACACATTTGAGAGAGTGCAGAATCCATTTTAGCGAAAATGATGAGAATGAGTTAAACAGAGAGAGCCGCAAAAGGCAGAGAGAACAATTGACCTCCCATGGGAATATGAATTTGTGTAAAACAAGCAGCCACATTGTATTTTAGCATTTGTGCACCTGATCCTCTGTGCATTATATTTGAGGGAACTGGGTGTACAATCTAACTCAAAATACTTATGAATGATTGGCATAGACTTGTACATGTTTTTATTATTATTATTATTGGCCCGAGCCAGTAACGAAGTAACTGGCGAGGGCTATTGATCTTCGCCGGTTTCTTTTTTTTTTTTTTTTTTTTTTTCTTTTTCCCCACATTGAATCGCATTTTTGACCCCCTGAACATGGACGAAAAGTCCCCAAACTGGGGTCCAGATCGATCGGTTCGGCAAAAAATTTGATAAAATGGGCATCGCAACAATGACCCGAGTGACCCGACTCAACAGCGCCACCTAGAATTGGACCCCTATGGGAGTGGGGACAGGCAAAGTTTGTCACAGGGAAACGAAATTCGGGACAGTGATAGAGAACAATGAGACAAGCCAAAAGATGAATTGGAGCATGACCCTATGACGAACAGGAAGTCGGCCATATTGGATCAAACATTCGCTGCCGTTTTGACTTGGGTGTCTACAAAAAGATTCAAGTCCCCGGGGTTTGGTCCAAATGAGCTCAGATTTGACATGTCACATCTACAGACATAAACTCACAGAAGTTGCTAATTTTTTTTGGAATACTCTAGAAGTTGCCAATTTTTTTTTTGGAATACTCCTTACGGTTCGCCCGTAGCACGCTGGCGAAAAACGCCTTCATTTCCTGTTTTTTCGGTGACCTGTCACGGCCACAGGCATTGTCCTAGAGAACTCAAATTCAAATCACAATTGTGTGATCCAGACCTGAATGTAATGAAATATGAAATTTCATAAAAGTGAACTCTATAGCGCCCCCTAGCATAGACATGAAACGTCAACATTATCAGAATTGGACCAAATTCGGGAATTAAATTCTATGCATGATGACAAGCAAAAAAGTCCATTAAGGACATGGGGCATTTTTCACAGTTGGCCAGCAGGGGTGCAAACACCCCCCCCTCCCAAAAATAGTTAAAAATAATTACACACACAGGCTTAGTCCAATCGTGCTGAAATTTTAATCAGTCATGTCTGATTTCGACTTGATTATAATACACTATAAAACATATGAAATGTGAACACTATAGCGCCCCCTAGCATAGACATGAAACGTCAACTTTGTCGGATTTGTACCAAACTCAGGGATTAAATTTTATGCATGATTGTCAACAAAAAAGTATATTACGGATATTGGGCATTTTTCATGGTTGACCAGTAGGGGCGCAATGACTCCTCTGAAACATTTAAAGGTACACTGTGTAATTTCTCTGGTGGACGAGCTGTCGGCCTCGGGAGCTGTCGGAAAGAGAGGGTGGCGTGCCGGGGCGGTCGGGAGTCCCCGGCGGTCGCGTGGGGGGGTGGTGCGCGCCGGGGTGAGGGCCACCATCGCCGCGCGCGGCTTTAATTATTATTATTATTATTATTATTATAGAGAGAACCAAGAGAGGAGTTATTTGTACATGTTTTTAGTTAATTGTGTAAAAAACATTCACATAATATTTTGGAAACCATTATGTATTTTCTGTTATTACATTTGATGATTTTGTACTTTACTATTCTTAATGATGAGCTAAATTAGTATTGTTAACATAATTGTAAAGTGATGTATAATTTTATGCTGCATTCAGGTCCCAGTGTCAAAATCACACCAAACAGCTCTAGTTGGACACCTCTTCATTGAAACTTGCTTGAAACTTGTTGACGTCTGCTGAAATTAGCAGAAAGTTCAGATTTTTTTTACTTTGACGCTCAAGACTCGGACCTGCCTAGAAGCGTGTCCCTCATAGACTTTATATGTAAACCTGATGTTTCTGATGGTCTGAACTCAGTATTAGTGTGTGTGTGTGTTTGCGAGTGTGTGTGAGTGCGTGTGCACCTGCGAAGGGACTGCAGATGGAAAGTAGCAGTAGCTAAATCTGGTCTATAGGTCATCTTTTCTTTTGTGAGAGTAATATATTTGTACATTGAAATAAGAAATAAACAAAACTAAATGCCCACAGCCAAGTTACAGCTCAATATGTGTGTTTGAGCCTGTTATGTGATGCTTTTCTTTGCACACACTCTGCATGTTTCACAGTACAGCTAATCAGAATGGCATATTGGCAACAGATTTATTTAAATATTGTTATGAAAATACTTTTACTTCTAAATGAAATAAAGCCACTAAAAATAAACCTTAGTGAATTTTTATTTGTGAGCCATGTAACAACTCTGCTGAATGCTGAGAAGTCATCTTAATTCCCGCAAATTAAAGTGTTTTAAAATGTAATTGTGAAAAGAAAGGCCTATATAAAAGTACACAAGTCCATTTTTTAATTAGTCAAGTTAATTTTAGTCAATTTTCTCAAACGTGTGTGGTCATTCTACTCAAAATGCCCTTTGTACATTATACTGTTCATTGGTTCTCCCTTATTTTACATACTGTGTTGAAGTGTGGGGGAACACTTACCAATGTACACTTCATCCATTGATTATATTACAGAAACAAGCTCTGTGAATTATAAAAAAGTTAAAGTTGTTTTTTTTTAGAACACACCCATAATCTTTTTATTCAACCCAAGCTCCTAAACATTCCTGCTGTGGTAAAATATAATACACTAGTAAATTTATTCAGAGCATGCAACAATTTGCTACCACGTAATATTCAAAGCTTGTTCAAAATGAGAGAGAGAACTTATAATGTTAGAGGGTATGGACCTTTCAAATTGCCTAATGTTCAAACTACCCATAAAAGTTTCTGTGTGGCTATATGTGGTGTAAAACTCTGGAACAGTCTGGATCCACATCTCAAGCAACGCCAAAATATCCATAAATTCAAGTTGTTATATAAACATATGGTCTGGTCACAGTATATAGAGAAAGGCTCATAATATTAGAACAGTACTTCCTTCTGTAGTGCTGGTTTATGTTTGTTGTTTTCTTACCATTGCTGGTATGTGCTGTCCTTTACATTATTTGTATTTGTTTTCTGTTACCTTTGTCTGTATCCTTAACATTACCATTGTTGGTATGATTATGTTGCATTACCAAGCTCTAACAGTGACTCTTTGCCTGTACTTGTAAATAGTTCATATAGTTTAATTCAAATGTCTGAAAAATGCAATAGATAGCTCATTGTGTTAGATTATGAAGAGTGGGGGTGGGATTAAATAAGTTTTCTTCTTCCCACTCCTTTTTGGGCAAAAACATATATATATTTTTTTGTTGCTGTTTTGTTTATTTTCATTTCTATTATGATTTCACTTATGTTATATGTTCCATTGTATAAGAATGTAAATCTTTACCTGCCCAAAATAAATACTTTTTTTAAAAAAAGAAAAAAAAAAAGTGATACAATGCAATCATGTTTGCCAGGAGTCTATGTCAGTGTTGTGCTTTTTAAAAATAATAAAATAACCAATGGAACAATGGGTAGTTTGGAAGTCAGAGATGAAGTGTTAGCAATATCAACCCTACAGTTTTGCAAATATTTGCGGGCCAAAAGCAAAGCTTTGAAGTAAACCACATGAAGATGCACACATTAGATGAACATTGATAGGGAAGTCACCACATGTTTCTCTCTCAAAGACATTATCTGTATTGCCAGGCTTATAAGAAATGAGTATACATCATTATGTCAATTGATACTTCACAGCTGATGTCATCAAAATTCCCAGGAGGTGAAGCTAACTGGAGGCACTGCTCTGTCGAAAAGATCTGTTCCTCAGGTTAAGACTTTAATCTGAGCTTTGTTTTAACTCAATCTGAGCAGAAACAATTGATTAAATTGTCATTATAACAGAAGAGCGTATTTGTAATATCAAATTAGTCCCTCTCAAATAATATTACAGTCACAAGCTAGCTAGCATTTACCAACAGTTATTTCAATTAGTCACACTGACCCTGTTTAGTGAAAGATGGGACCATGAACTCTGGTATTGATAACAGGCTCGTGAAAACGTGTTGTTCTTGAGTTTTCAGAAAATCTAAAAACTTATGCTGTGTGCATTGTGTCACCATGGTAACTGTTAACCATTCCTCCATAGCATGATGTTACTGCAAAGTATGAATAGATGGTGGGACATGTGCTACATAACAACATTAAACTAAATCTATTTATTTCCAAGGTTAAAAGCAAACCTCCAAAATGCCATTCTTGAAGATCTCCCTGTGGATCGGCCTCCTCCTCTTCCTCCCTCATGGGTCTCATCAGTTCTGCTTCGAAGGGAAACCCGAAGAATGTCTGGAGGCTGATTTTGCTCCTGGGACAGATTTGGGTGGAGAAGGATTTGACGTCACCAAAATGGAGCTAAAAGAATTGTTTGCAATTGATATGAGTCAGTGGGAGCATGAAGACAAAACCTGTACCTTATGTTCAAACCCGTATTTGGAAAATAAAAAGCAGAAGCTGCCTCTGTCTGTGGTGGACTGGAGAGCAAAGCACTCATGTAGCGCCAAAGTGAACAGACAGCTCCATAAAACCAGTGTTTCTCTGCTCACTTCCAGCACCACGTCCATTACAAACAACTGGAAAAACACCTTAGACATTTCAATGGCAGGCAATCGTGCTCAGTTAATGTTAGCAGGTTCACACTCCAAAATAGCCAAATATTCCATGGAGAAAACCAAAACTGACAAGTACGTCTTCTCCAGTCAGAGTATGTCCTGCGAGTACTACAGGTAAATTCCACAATTGTAATGATACTTTTCCAGCTGGTGTTGTCAGCATGATGTTGTCTGTTCCTTAAATTAGACTTTAAAATGAGAAAATGGCCAGTTTTCTTCATCTACATATCATTGTAGCATTTTGTTATGTTAGGCTAATCAACAGTTACAGCCATGCCTCAGGTTTCAGAATTTCCCCACTGATGCACACCTTTGAGTGCACTGGCTTTATGCAATACAAGAGCCACTACATCCTGGAGAGAGGCCTGTGGAAGAACTGTAGCACCCCCTGTCCCGCCGGAGTCAGAACAGACGCCCAAGACCCCTGTGTCTGCCAGTGTCACAACAACACAGGAGTAAATCAGGATTGTTGTCCCACTCAGAGAGGTCTGGCCTGGGTGATCATCACTGTGCAGAGGGCTACAGACCTCTTCGGGGACTGCACCTCAGCCACAGACGGATATGTAAAAGTCTATGTCAACAAGAAAAATATTCATCGTAGTAAAGTCATTCTTAACAATGACAATCCGCAATGGAGAGATGTCATTGACCTGGGGACTATGGACTTATCCAAACAACACGCAGTTAGGTTTGAAGTTTGGGATGAGAACAGCAACTGGAGCAGTGATCTTTTAGGAGAATGCGAAAGAGCCCTCACTTCTGGAGTTAAGGACGAAGTGTGCAGTCTACAACATGGCCAACTGTCTGTGAAATGGCAGGTGCAGTGTGCTCCGAGCCTTACTGGAAATCTCTGTACAGATTACAAACCTACGCCCATGAATCCGAATCTGAAGGGGTGGTTCAAATCCCGTAATGTCCATCCTGTACCTGAGGCCATGCTGAGGGAGTGGGGAGTGTTCAGGCAGGGGCAAGGGAAGGACCAAAGTTACAGTAATGCTTGATTTGTACTTGTAGGGCTGTGCAGTTAATCACATTTTAATCAAGATCAAGATCCAATCATTTTTAATTGTCAGTGATTAGGTTTTTTTTAAAGGGCTCATATTACACTATTTCCTGATCATTGTTGTAATGTGTGTTCACCAAAAATATAAATGGAGTTTTTAATGCATAAACCTTGCATATTTAGGCTGAGTTCTTCTCTCAAACGGAAAGCACAATTTTTAAACTCCACACAACTTCACTAGAATCATTTGGGTAAATTTAGCTCTGGAATTTCCAGCCTACACTGAACAAAAGGTAAAAGGTAAGCGCTAACTCGAAAACTACTGCTTTTTGTGAATGTGTGAAATGCGTGTGATGGTATCCAGGTATGTTTTTGAAGAGATCACAGCAGTATAACATGGTTTAAACCATACAAGAGTCAGTTTTGAATAATATAGAACCTTTAATAGAGAGGTCTACAGTCAATCAGAGGCAAGTCAGCCACTCTAATAACAAATAGTAGCTTTACAGTACAGGAAATTAAAGGCCATTTTAATTTGATTTAATGAGACAAAAATAAAATCAATATGAGGGGAAAAAAAAAAATCTTGATTAATTTTTGTGGTTTGTGCACTGTATTGTGAGTGGATGTCCCAATTTGACAGTCAGTCAGAATTTGTAAAAGCATAGACCTGACCTAGTTAAACGCAGACAATGTTTTTTTTTCTTTTTTCTTTTTCAGCTTTTCTCACATTCTTATATTTGCTTCATTCACAAATACTGCCTTATAGTTTTGCATGCTTGTGTCCCAGATTTCCCCATGTAATGTACCATCTGGATATGTTAACAGACTCAACTCAGCAAGAGTAGGCCAAATAAAAATAACTTCAGGCCATGGACGGTAAAAATTCTAAATAGCAGGGGTGGAAATGAATGGATTAAAAAGTTTACTGCAATTAGTAATTTTTTTTGGATAATTTTACTTCTTTTTACATTTCTAAACATGTACATGTAATTGAGTATAATTCTAGTCATGTAATTGTAATTCAGTATTATGCCGGAACAGATGCCCGAGCCACCTCAACTGGCTCCTCTCGACGTGGAGGAGCAGCGGCTCTACTCCGAGCTCCTCCCGTGTGACTGAGCTCCTCACCCTATCTCAAAGGGAGCGCCCAGCCACCCTGCGGAGGAAACTCATTTCGAGTGCTTGTATCCGTGATCTCGTCCTTTCACTCGTCACTACCCAGAGCTCATGACCATAGGTGAGAGTAGGAACGAAGACTGACCGGTAAATCGCTTCGTAAACCCTCTTCACCACAACGGTCAGATACAGCGACCGCATCACTGCCGAAGCTGCACCGATCCGCCTGTCAATCTCACGTTCCGTCCTCCCCTCACTCGTGAACAAGACCCTGAGATACTTGAACTCCTCCACTTGAGGCAAGGACTCTCCACCCGCCCGGAGAGGGCAAGCCACCTTTTTCCCGTTGAGAACCATGGCCTCGGACTTGGAAGAGCTGATCTTCATCCCAGCCGCTTCACACTCGGCTGCAAACCGCCCCAGTGCACATTGCAGGTCCTGGTTCGATGAAGCCAAAAGGACAACATCGTCTGCGAACAGCAGGGATGAAATCCTGTGGTCCCCAAACCGGCCCCCCTCCAGCCCTTGGCTGCGCCTAGAAATTCTGTCCATAAACACAATGAACAGAACCGGTGACAAAGGGCAGCCCTGGCGGAGTCCAACATGCACCGAGAACAGGTCTGACTTACTGCCGGCAATGCGAACACAGCTCCTGCTCCGGTCATACAGGAACCGGACAGCCCTTAGCAAAGGGCCCCGGACCCCATACTCCCAGAGCACCCCCCACAGGACACCACGAGGGACATGGTCGAATGCCTTCTCCAAGTCCACAAAGCACATGTGGACTGGTTGGGCAAACTCCCATGAACCCTCGAGCACCCGATGGAGAGTGTAGAGCTGGTCCAGTGTTCCACGGCCAGGACGAAAACCACACTGCTCCTCCTGGATCCGAGGTTCGACTATCGGCCGGATTCTCCTCTCCAGTACCCTGGCATAGACCTGTTGTGTCAAAAAATTATATATCTCTTGAAGATAAATAATGAATCCATTTGCGAAGCCCGATGAGTTTTTGGAATATAGACCAAGGTTTATTCTTGTTACAGCAGATATGGACAGGGCCTAGGCCTCTTCCGGCCAAAGCCCAACAGCCTCTCACCCTGTCTCTCCCATGTTCCCTTCCATGTCCCTCCCAGAGCCTTTGAGCTCTCAGTATTTATACAGAAATACAAGTTGCATACATATCAATGCAGAGTGACTTTGGTTTCAGAGGCTGGTGCTAAATGAACATACAGTTGATGATAACAAAAGGCTTCCTGAAGGCGGAGACAGTTGTGCCTGATGAACCTTTACACATGTTAATGACTGGTCTGGGTTTCAGGTAGAAATCACATTAATTTACACAAGACAGTTTGAGAGAAATCTTTCCACAATCTAAATTTCTATCACAGACCTTACTGGGAAGGCTGAGGAGTGTGATCCCCCTATAGTTGGAACACACCCTCCGGGCCCCCTTCTTATACAGAGGGACCACCACCCCGGTTTGCCAGTCCAAGGGCACTGTCCCCGACCGCCACGCGATGTTGAAGAGGCGTGTCAGCCAAGACAGCCCCACAACATCCAGAGACTTAAGGTACTCAGGACGGATCTCATCCAACCCCGGAGCCTTGCCACCAAGGAGCTTGCCAACCACCTCAGTGACTTCAGCCCGGGTGATGGATGAGTCCACCTCTGAGTCCCCAGCCTTCCTCCTCGGAAGACATGACGGTGGGATTGAGGAGATCCTCAAAGTATTCCTTCCATTCCATTTCATTAGAATCATTTCGATTATTTCAGGCCAGGAATTGTCAATCTCTACTGAATTAAAAGTGAACGGAAGCTGTTAAATTGAAAACTACCAAAACATAAAAAAAATTGGAACAGAGCATTTTGAGTTTTTGAGCTGTAGATAGGGTTACTCAAACATGTATGAATGAAACAAACTTTAACTCCAGTCAATTTAATTTGAATTTAATATAGGTCCTTTAAAAGTATAAATACATTAGTTGGATTAAGTCATTTTTTTCCACCTCTGCTATAGGCCTTATGTATAAATTTTAGAGTCAAATATTATAGCTCATGTTAAAGTTCCATACCAATAAAACCTTGAGGCTAAACCTGGATTAGATCAGAACTAACCAGGAAAAGGAGAGGACTAAACCAAGTCTACATCAGGACTAAACCAGGACTGAACCAGGAAGCAGCCCAACAGTGCTTGACACTTGTTTGCATGGCGTCACACTGTTAATTTCCTCATTGTGGGACAAATAAAGGTTTATCTTATCTTAACTGTATAAACACTGGGCTATTAAATATTGAATGATTAATTTTGATAATTGTTTTATTTTACTCCGGTTCATAAACTTAGAATATAAAAAAAATGATGTCTTGATGTTTTAATGAATATAACCTTACCTGTCTACAAGATGTGTTAAACTAGTATTGTGTGATGTCAACTTGCTTTTATTTTAGAAATTTAGCTTCAATTTGCAAAATAAAATATGGTTTTAACCACAATTTGAGCATGTCTTTTTATTCTGAATTTTGCAAAAGGGCTATCACTTGATTTTTATTTATAGTTCGCTAACTCTACTACTTCTGCTACTACTACTACTACTACTACTACTACTAGTAGTAGTAGTAGTACTACTACTACTAGTACTATTACTACTAATACTAATACAACAACAACTACCACTATTTGCGCTTCTATTACTACTACAACTACCACTATTTCTGCTTCTGCTGCTACTACTACTATTACCACTAATACTTTTATTACTACAACTACCACTATATGTGCTACTACTACTACTACTACTACTACTACTACTACCATTATTTGTGCTTCTACTACTATTACTACTACTACTACTACTACTTTTACTACTATTACTACTATTGCTACTGTTACAACTACCATTATTTGTGCTTCTTCTTCTGCTACTGCTACTACTACTACTACTACTACTTCTACCACTGCTACTACTACTACTACTGCTACTGCTACTACTAAAAAATTACCACATTTTTTGTGCTTCTTCTTTTGCTGCTGCTACTGCTACTAGTACTGCTACTACTGCTACTAAACATAAATTTTATTAAACACAGATAAAACTTACTAAACATAGATTTTATTTTACAAATTTTGCTTCAATTTGCAAAATAAGATACGACCATAACCACACTCTGAGCCTATGTTTTTGGTTCAGAATTTCGCAAAAGGGAAGTGGTCTGACTTCCTGCGCACGGATGAGGGTTTGAGTGAAGCTAATTTACACAAAGTGGCACAACATGTATGTCAGTCCAGCATCACATAATTTATTGATTCAAACGTTCTATTATATTTTACCACAATTTTTATAGGTTTATGAATACAGACACGCAGAAAAAAAACACAGGCTTAAAACAATATTAATAATTGTAGAATCAATAGTCGGACCAAGCAGACAATTGCAAACGTATAGAACTCTTTTGGCACACAATACAATGAATCCATGTTTGAGGGAATCCTGGGATTTAGAGTTTAACCTGGTTGGAGACAAAAGAAAAACCAGGAAGTTGACAAGTTTGAAGACATTTTAAAGGTGCACTGTGTAACTTTTCTTAGTGGAGGGTCCGTGAAAAGCTTGTCTTCAATGGAGTTATAAGGATGTTATTACTTTGTCTGGAATGTTTCACAGTATGATATTAAACGTTTCTATGTCCATGGAGACCAAACCAAGCCAAATTACAGGTCACAGTGAGAAGATGTGTTTTTATAGGTATTTTTGAGCTATAAAACCACCTGTAATTGAATGAATGCAAAGTAGATCTGTTTAATGGCATCTCCATAGAAACAAGTAGGTGACGGACCACCAACCAAAAAGTTACACAGTGCAACTTTAAAGTATTTGTTTTAGTTGCAGGTGGATCAAACGTCACCTTTGTAGCCGTTGACCAAAGCAGCAGGTCCTCCGGTGAATTTTGCAGCTTGGTCTCCTGCAAAGAAAAACAAATAAAAACAATGGATGGGTATGGGTTAGCATTAGCATTAGCATATCAGAACTAAGAGCTCAACTAACCCAAGTGAGATTCAAAAGCTATTACCTAAAGTGTGACCTTTACCCCCCATGAGAGCTGGGACAGTTGATTTTTCTGTATAGTTCTTGAACTCTACTACTACTACTACTACTATAGGGTGACCATATTTCAGTTTGTAAAAACCCGGACACCTTGGGGAAGGGTCTCACCGTGTCGCGGATTTTATTTATTTATTTATTTTTTTTACAGCGTATGAACCTGTATTGCGTATTACAGGCGGGTAGTAATTAGTCAGGACTAAACCAGGTCTAAACCAGGACTAATCTTGGACTTAAGAGAAAAAACGTCGAGCAATTTGTCCACAAAGCGAGATCGGGTAATTGCCGCGTTTACCTCCGTGAGGTGCGGAGCTGAGCCGGTAAGTCCTGTTTCAGTTCTGGTTTAGTCCTGTTTTGGTACTAGTTCAGTCATGGATTAGTCCTCCTCTACAGTCCTGGAATCAGTCCTGGGTTAGTCCTGGTTTAGTCTTGGTTCAGTCTGTGGCGTAGGCAGCGCAAAAGTATGATATAATCTCGGGTTAATGGGCAGGTGTGGTCCTGTACTGCGCAGGTGCGGTATTGTACTGGGGGTCTCCAAAAACTGACCCGTGCAGGACTCTGCGCTGTCGGCTCCATTACGGAATAAATGAATCTTCAGTTTGTTACATAAAGAAGGAGTAAAATAACACAAGGACGACAGCGGCAACAAGTTTTAAGAAGGAAGTAAAAAGTGTTGCACCTGTCCTATCTGAGAAAAGTGTATAGAGTTTGTGCTGAGGGGTTTTACAGCCTTAAAACAGATAGAATAATTGTAAAATATAAAGTTGATTTCACCTATCGCAGGTTATTTTTAGAACGTAACCCCTGCGATAAACAAGGGACACTGTACTCTCACCTCACATCCTGTGCACATAGACTCACACTGGTCCCGATCGGGACGGAAAACGGAGAATTTCTTGTACAAGTCATTGTTAAATGCGCATTTGTGCTTCGGTATGTTGCAGATTGACCGACTGTTTGTGTCTCGCTCCTTCTGAGTCACAGACGCTACGAGAGACGCTCAGTTTAATGCCCCCAGTGAACGGTACTGAAAACCCGGACATTTGCATCACTTTATAAAAAAAAAAAAACCCGGACGCCCCATACATGACGCAAAATACGGACATGTCCGGGGAAAAACGGACGTTTGGTCACCCTACTCAAATTAGATTTTGTAGTTTGCATGCTAATTAAATCAGCTTCCAGAAATCCGATAATAATCCAGTTTAAAACCTCATTTAGCTAATTTAGCAATGCAATGCTTTTTGCAGTTTAAGTAAGTACAAAACAGCGAACACGAGAATAAAGATAACCCAAACAGACACAAACCGCTCGAAATACAACTTTGAGTGGGTAAATGAGAAGGGGAAACAATCCTAACATGTTATCACAAAACTGGATCAAAACAATTGAACTTACTAAACTTTTGCAGCTTTATAATATCACAGTTAAAGGGTGATTTTCTTTAAGGGTACACTGTGTAACTTTTCTGATAGAAGGCCCACAAATTACTTGTCTCCAGCGATGATATTGCTTTACTTCAATGTATGGCCCTTTTTACTCTCCATAGAAACAAGCAGCCACCAAGCCAATTTTACAAGTCAGATCTGTGAATAAAACTTGTATTCTGACACATAATCAGAAATCATGTTTTCAAAGGTATTTTTGAGCAACAAAAACACCTTTAATTGAATAAATGCATCTTATATAAGTTTAATACCATTTTGTGGAACATTACAGACAAAGCAATATCATCTCCATGGTAGCGGACCCAGAACCTGCAGTACATGTTTTCAAACCATGATAACATTTTATTGCATTCAAGACTTTTAACATAACTTGTTTCAGTATAGTTAAATACAGAGAAAAGGCCTGACTGTTGCTGTCTGCCCTACTGTGCATTAGTGCGTAGAGATATTTCTGATCTCTGGTCTCATTTCATTGTCGATCAGTGTTTCACCACAAACTACACCACAGCAGTCAATAACGTTTAATCTACAACTGGAGTTAGTAACTGGCCTCGCCTGTTTAAGCCCTGACGTTGTGATAATAATAAAGAAGGGTGTGAGGGTTTGTCATAGTGTGTTTTAGATAAGAAACTATAAAATAAGCGCTTCCTTGTTACTTTAATAACATGTCACGTGCCATGACGACATCTAGAATCTCTATGAGTCAAATGAAAGGTCAGTATTATATGGTTGAGTGGTAATAAAGTCCTGGTTTATGGTTTAAAATTCCAAGAAAAAAAAGTAGCACAAAGTTCATCATCTTCTCTCTTCTTACCATAAATGAAGACATGATTAGGTTAGGGAATACTACTGCTACTACTATTATTACTACTACTACTACTACTACTACTACCACCATTTATGCATCTGCTGCAAGTACTATTGTTACTACTGAACTGAACTATTATGACTACTGGTACTACAATTTCTATTATTAATTACTAATGCTGCCCAAAGTTCAACATCTTCCCTCTTCTTCCCACAAATGAAGACATGATTAGGTTTGGCTAATACTACTACTACTACTACTACAACTACTACTACTACTACAATTTCTACTACTACTACCACAGCTACATATGATATAATTTCGAGTAGGTAGCATTTTATCCTTTCATGTTTTCAAGTCATCCAATATTCCTCAAAGTCATTTTAGTTTGATCTACATATAATCTTTTGCTGTGTAGTCAAATTAAGGGCAGAGTTTGATATAAATCTCACTTCTTTCCACATTTTGATTTTCAGCCATTCAAATGAGTCAATCGCAGACTCATATTGTACTAATCGTTTTCATCTCTGTTCCCCCTTCACTTTGTTCTGTTATGACAAAGGTTTGACTTTTGCTTTGTGTCCTAAATTGGATAGAAATCAGTACTATTACTACTACTACTAGAGCAGCTACAACAACAACTACTACTACCACTACTGTCTATTTGGAGACCATATTTATATACTACTACTACTACTACTACTACTACTACTACTACTACTACTACTACTACTACCTACCACCATTTATGCATCTGCTGCTAGTACTATTGTTACTACTGAACTGAACTATTATGACTACTGGTACTACAATTTCTATTATTAATTACTAATGCTGCCCAAAGTTCAACATCTTCCCTCTTCTTCCCACAAATGAAGACATGATTAGGTTTGGCTAATACTACTACTACTACTACTACAACTACTACTACTACTACAATTTCTACTACTACTACCACAGCTACATATAATATAATTTCGAGTAGGTAGCATTTTATCCTTTCATGTTTTCAAGTCATCCAATATTCCTCAAAGTCATTTTAGTTTGATCTACATATAATCTTTTGCTGTGTAGTCAAATTAAGGGCAGAGTTTGATATAAATCTCACTTCTTTCCACATTTTGATTTTCAGCTGTTCAAATGAGTCAATCGCAGACTCATATTGTACTAATCGTTTTCATCTCTGTTCCCCCTTCACTTTGTTCTGTTATGACAAAGGTTTGACTTTTGCTTTGTGTCCTAAATTGGATAGAAATCAGTACTATTACTACTACTACTAGAGCAGCTACAACAACAACTACTACTACCACTACTGTCTATTTGGAGACCATATTTATATACTACTACTACTACTACTACTACTACTACTACTACAGTTACAACAAATACTACTACTACTACCACTACTACTACTACTACTACTACTATAACAGCTACAATAACTACTACTAATACAGTAGCTACAACGTTTACAACAACAGCAACAACAATAGCAACAACTACTACTTCAACTACTACTACTACTACCACTACCACTACCACTGTCACTGCCACTACCACTACGACAACAACTACTATTACTACCACTACAACAACAACTACTATGACAATTACATCCATTACTATTACTTCTATCACTACCATCATTATTACACTATGAGGACAACTAATGGCGTTTTTGTTTCTGCAGAAAAGTTCATCACATTTTGTCACACATATTTTTCACACTTTCAGAGACACAAACCGTAACTTTTTGCAGATTTAGCGCCTTCTGCCTCCAGGCCGAGGGGCTGGCTGTATGGGTACCCCCCTTCACCTGAAACCACAAGAGAAGACAGAGGAGAGAGGAGGAGGTGTGAAACTGCTGCAAAGAGGGGCACTTTAACTACTTATGATATGGGTATATTGCTTGCATGGTAAATGGGAAACACATCTATAGATTATGTTCCACTGTGGAATGTTAGCCAAAGTAACAACATCTGCTTGAAAACAAGAGAAAGCCCTTTGTTTGTGGAGAACGCGCCTGCTTAGAATAAGGACAAGTGTTTTTGGAAGTTTTTTTTCTGTATAATAAACACAATCAAAAAAAAAAAAAAAAAAAGGAAAAAAAAAAAAGCTTTTATTTTAGAATGTTTTTAGACTAAAAAGTTTACTTTCTGATCATTCAATGTGCTACTTTTAATCCATAATGTAATACATTTTCCCTCCCTGTGTTTAAATTGTGTAGTATTTCTGTTACATACATTATATTAAGAAGCTTTAATGCTGTGTTTACCTTCCAGTCCTGCAGGGATCACTGGTGCACTTCCATATGGAAGCTGAGCTGCAGCTCCTAAGACCACAATAGTTAGATGTAACAAGTAACAAGGACATCACCCAGATTCCCTCCCACTGGAGCCGAGTGTCTATTTGGAGACCATGTTTACATACCATATTTCCCATTAACTGTCTCCAGTCCTGCACCCAGTGCTCCTGAAAACAAATGAAATTTTGAATAGCAGTGTATTGAACTTTCATTACGATGCACTATACCAGTCAAACGTTTGGATACATCCTCTCAGTCAATCTTTTTTTCTGTATTTTTTTCAACTTTTTACATTTTATATACATACAGAAGACATCAAATATTTGAAGCAAAAAAATGGGATTATGTAGAAAGAAACAAAAAAGTTAAATAATTATATATATAAAACAACAACAAAAAAACCCAACAACAAACAGGTAGTTTATGTCCTATGAATGGCTAAAAGTTAAAATGGTTCTTGTACCATATCCAGCTCCAGGCAGTTGTCCGGGGAAGGCTCCTGTACTTAAAGCTGAAAAATACAATCACATTTAATTACATATATGATAGTTTCTATATATTAAGTCACGCATCTACGGTAGCAGCACCATGAAGCTTCACCAGGGTTAACTTCATGAATAAGACACAACACCGCCACCTACTGGAAGAGGGCAACATGTTCACCTCAGAACATGGCTTCTCCAATAGCCGTTTATTATTTGAAGCAATTGAATGTGTTAAATAGATGCATGGATCAATAATAATGGATAGATGAAATTGGGAAAATTAAAAGAACTATTTCACAGTAGATAATTGTCCACAAAACACAAATTTGGAGGAAAAGACAGGAGCTTTGACACAAGTGAAAAAAGGATATTATGCTATTTTCTGACTATGTAATAATGTTGTATTCTCATCAAATACATAGATACATTAAAGAAAAGTTTGCCTCCTGAACACAAAATATAGTTTTAGAAGTATCCAAGTGAATTCTGGTTAAGGTTCCACCACCTGCTTGTCTCTATGCAGATGTTATTGTTTTGCATTGTTCCAAAGTATAATACATACTATACTTACCTAATTTATTAATTGCTATTATTGTGAGCTGATGAGGCTGGCCACTCCACAGCTCTGACCTGCATGTCACTTGTTTGTCCCAATTGAGATAAGTTTAATGACAAATTGTGGAACTATTCATACAAAGCAATAACATAGAAAGTTACACAGTGAACCTTTAAAGTAATTAAACATGCAGCTATAGCATTGCTCCTGTCTATTACTCCAAATTATCCCAATTATCTAGATTAGAAAGACGATATTAGCACCATGATTTTAGTTTCTGAGGTCTAACTGTTACCTTTACTTTTGCCTGATTTGTCTGGCACTTCACTTAATTCTGTGGGTAAATCACGTCCTAGAAAATACCACTAATCACTGTTAAAACTTTATATTTTTAAACATAAGAATTCATGTTTTGATTGCACTTACCAGCTCCATATGCATCACCGAAGCCATTTGCAAAACCTGCCAAAGCAAATCATCAAATTAAGAGTACAGCAATTATATAATATTAGAATTATTATGTCCAATCTTATGCTTTATTTTTTGGTTCTTTAAATACTTTTTGAAGCTTTTGCATTGGTATTTGAGGTCTTTGCTGTGCAGTATCCTCCAAAGGGACTGGTGTGATTGGTTTTGTTAAAAGTTAAAGAAACTGCACTCTTATAATTTTATTTATTTATTTATAAATTTTTTAAGTCAGGAAGTTAAGATCAGAGAGAGTTCTTTTGGGCTTTTAGGTTCAAATTAACTAAATTTTAGCACTGAAACGGGCAACCCAAATGAGAGACTCATGTGAGGCTCATTCTGCTTTCTGATTGGATAATTGTCTTGAGAACCAAAACAGCATAAAAAGTAAATAAACAGGGCATTTTTGTAAGTAAGTATAAATCAGTGTTACAACTGTTATAATGTGGAAATATGTAATTACAGTAGTGGAAATACCTGGGGTTAGTGCTCTGACATCTCCACCTGATTGAACACAAAGAGAAAACAGAGAATTTAAAGCATTTTGAGACACAAAAAAAGATATATATTTTTTTAAATAATGAGAATGCACTTACCGTATCCATTTCCTCCCATAGCCCCGAGGTATCCTGTCATTCCATCTCCATAACCGGCTGCATTCAAAGAAAAAGTTAATAATGTGATTACAAAGAACAAATTACTTATTGTTTCTTTTTTGTTAGTTTCTGTATTGAACTGGCTATTTGTTGTCAAGGTTTAGCAAAGCACATTTTCAATTTGGTTAGTTTTTACCCTAAAGGAACCTTTGCCTATTAATTAATATTGGAGGGGGCCCATGTCTGAGTCTTTAAGAGTCTTCTTGCCCCTGACCCCAAAATTTCTGTTGCCGGGCCTGGTTGCTACCAGTGATCTTTAAACTCAAGACTGTTAAAAAGTTTCTTGGATTATTATATTATAAAATGCATTAAAAAAATCACTTACCCGCCAGCTTCCCGGCAGCACCTCCTAAGTATCCTCCATTACCCAAACCTGAAAGAAACATCAATATTACTCTGCATTAACCACTCTCAGCAAAAGTCAATGTCAAATTTGGTGCAATATCTCTGAAGTGCCTTGCCCGAAGACATAACAACAGCATGCATTACCAGTATAGAAGCAGCACAATCACCAAAAGTGGGGTAATAATATGAAATCTCTTCCAGTTAAGAGCCTGCCTTCCTACCAGGGCCGTATCTAGCTTTGGGCAGTATCAGTTTCTTCTTGGGGGGCCCATACCATTTACAAAATGAATAACTGTCTTTGAATGTTATTACATTTTATTGGTGATTTGACCTATATATTACATAAGCAGGAACACAAACATTTTAAGTACAGTTACACACATTCACATTTTCTTATGCTTTAAACTTTAACTTATTGGTAAAATAAATAATAACTAAGCACACTCAGTATCCTGTTCAATGTATGTAATATATCTGGTGTTTGCATGGTTGTCATAGCAATTGAAAATCCCAATTAACAATTAACAATTCAAAATAAAACATTCTATCATTTCAATGGGCAAGAGTCCTTAAAATGTCGCCTATAACATGAAGTTGAAACCCACCATCTATACTATAATGTACTGTAGAGCAAGGTAAAGCAATAAAGTCAACATTTGTGACCCCTAATGGCTGTGAAACACTTCTGCTCCCTATAACAATTAACAAGTACATCATTTTCCAATATGGCCGTTGTTTGTTACCTGTTCCATAGCCACCTGTTCCCAGACCAGCTCCCAGATAATTTCCTTGTCCAAGATAACCTGTTAAGAAAATACAAGAAATTTAGTTTAAACTTGACGTAAGACTCAACACATGTGTTAGTGGAAAGTGAAAGTTAAATGTAAACAATGTGGTAATAGTCAATGGGGTGTTTAACATGCCTAGCTGACGAGGCACAAAAGCACAGACATGATTTCTATGTTTACTTTAGTTGTGGAGATTTTAGCACCTGTATAAGAACTTTCCTGGTTCGAATCCAAGAAAACCACACCAGATGTCGATATCAAAACAAAACAAAACAGACTAATTCGATGTTACTGACACAGTGGGAGAAGAGACAGAGAAGATATGTTCACAAAAGATTATAATATTCTTCCCCAAGTTTTAAAATGTAAGCATGCATAAAGCAACAGTGTTACAGGTGTTTTGCTAAACTGCTTCAATAACCCTTTAATCAACCCTTTCAAAAGTACTGTTAGCATTTTTCAGAGTTTTGAACATCTATGCCATGGTTTTTAACTCAAAATAAGGCATACATTTTGATAAACAAAACCAAAGTCTCACAGCAGAACCATATTTTGCTGCCATCTGCTGGCCATTTGATGATTTCTAAATGATTTGATATGATTTTGTTTCCGTTTCTGTAACTTTTTAAGAGTATGGTCCACCCCCTGCTTTCTCCCTGAAGATGTTATTGCTCATTCCTTGGAGATGAGCAAGTTACAAATCAGCCTGCTCAAAGTAAGAAATCATGGGGTTTTTAAGGCAATGAAAACCCCTGCAATTTAATCAAGACAAGATGGCCAAGTTCAAGGTTGTACTGTGAAGCATTACAGGCAAAGAGAAAACATCTCCATGGAGACAAGCAGGTACTGAACGCCCCACCGAAAAAGTTACACAGTGCAACTTTAATTAGCCCTACGTTATCTTATGTCTTACTTGGTCCTTGTGTATTGTCCCCAGTGCTCCCGGGCAGTGCCTTGGGCTCCCTCACGTCTCTTCCTTCATGAAACAGATGCTTTCCTTCTTTATCGATCGACTTCTGCTCTTCACCCAATCCCAGCCCTAGATTCGCACTAGCGCCCCCTACTGACGCTGCTGACGCTCCACCAGTCCCCACACCTGGCACAGCACCCTGCCTGTTCCCCTCTACTCCTTGTATGTGAAGATTTGCTGCTCCGTGACTGCTTTCTATACCTATGGAGATACGAGTTTGGGGGGGCTGTAATTTATCTGTGCTTTTCCCAACCAAACCTAACTCCCTAATCGCGTCTTCGGGCAGATTTTGTCCTTGCGATATCGAAAAAACTCCACTTCTTAAACCGTCTGGAAGCAGGAGAGGCTGTTGTTGGAAGTTCGGTGAATTTTCTGCTTGGGTTTGCAGTCCAGACTGACCATGATATTTTGTGCTTTTGTCGATTGGAAATTGCGAGCCCAAACCTTGAGATCGTAGCAGTTCACTTTGCTGGATAATCCCGAGCTGATCGTTCACTCCTTTGTTACAGTTTTTGCCTTGCCTTTGATTTGGCAGCATTTGCGCAATATCTCTTGCGTTTAGTTGTGTTGGGAGGTTCCTAAGATCTTTCTCCAAGCCAGGGTTAGCAAGATGGCGTCCAGTTGTCAATCCTTGGTTTGGTAGTACTCCTCTTTGTTCTATAGGCAGGTAGTCTTCTCTCCTCTGCCCTCCTAGGCCCAAACTTTTCCCTGGTTTATCAATGGGACTGCCGATATTCCTAGCTTGGGCCATTTCAAGTCCTCGAATGTCTCCCCCTACTGGTCGAATCCCGGTATCAGTCTGTATCTCCAGTGTAGAGGGGTGTTGGACATTGCTTCGTACGGGGTTGAGGGGGTATGGCAACTGGCCTCTGTTGGTTACTCCTTTGACAGCTCCGTGGACACCAGAATGAATGTCTGGAGAGCCAACAGGACCTGCCACACACAAAGGAGCAAGCTTAAAGGGCCCATATGACGCTATTTTCTGATCTATGTTATAACGTTGCTTCCACATCACAAACATAACCTGAGTGTTTTGTTTCATTCACACATGTTTAACACACAAATCCTGCATGTTTAGGTATTTTAGGAGTTCTTTTCAAACTGAAAACACACTGTTCCTCTTTATGATTGTCCCTTGAATCATTTGGATATTTTCAGCCCCGGAATTGACAATCTCTATAACTTAACTTGAAAAAGTAGTTTTCAAGTTAAGTTCAAGAGATTGTCAATTCCAGTTCACTTCATGACATCACAAGGTGGAACAGAGCATTTGGAGCTTTAAAGATGTAGACAGACTAATAATAAATGGTGTGAATGAAACAAAACACAATTCCAGGTATGTTTTTGAGGAGAAAACAACATTATAACATAGCTTAAAGCTCACAAGAGTCAATTTCGTGTAATATAGGACCTTTAAGTCTAAATCTTAAGTCCTGTGTTCAGTTTGAGGTCCAGAGAGAATCCATATTGAAAAGGTAGTTCTTCAGATCAGACAGAGATCGGATGACATTTATTATGGCGTGACACAAGTCCAGTTGGAGGACTTAAGCAGCACCATAATTTAACACACAGAGACGAGACAAGACGAGACAAACGCAAAAGGACAAACACACACAGCGTGCATTTAGGACTGCAAAAAATGTATATCAAGGCAACTTAAAATTACTTGAATGAAGAATATTTTGATCTGATTTGAGTAAATCTGACCTTCTGCTGTCAATGGATAAAAATGTTGTATGTGGAAGATTACATTTTCTTTTCTTTTTTGTTTTTTTCACTACCAACTGTACAATGTTGCAAGTAACACTACTACTCAAATCAAATATTACTACTCAAATATTCTTACTTTAATAATTTCAATTTACCTAGATACAACTTTTTGCAGTGTATTCTGTGCAACCACACTTTAAAGACTAGTTAAAATGACTTCAATTCAGAACACATTTATTTGAGTAGTGTTGACAGGATTTATTTAAAGGTGCACTAAGTATTTTTTTCATTGGGGGTCCATCACCTGCTTGTTTCTATGGAAATGTCATTGCTCTGCCTGGAATGCTCCACAGTATGACATTAAACATCTCTACTTTACATTTATTCAGTTACAGGTGGTTTTATTGCTCAAAAACACCTAGAAAAACAGGCGTTCTGACTGTGAGCGGGGTCTCTCCTCCACAGATCTGACCTGTAACTTGGTCTGGTTTGGTCAAAGACTGAAGATTGAAAGGTTTCACAGTATGGCATTAAACCTTTCTAACAAAGCAATAACATCTTCATAGAGAAAAGCATTTGACAGACCCTCCACCAGAAAAATTACACAATGCACCTTTAATTGATGGACCAAGATTATTTGACTTCTTTCCACATAGTTTGAACTGATTTATTTTTACACAGTCTACATAATCTTCTTATTTCAAGATAAATTGGTTGCAAATTGGGAAAAGTCAAATAATCCAGCACATACAGCTCTTACTCTGGTCAACATACTCACATCTAGTCATTTTAACTCATGCTAGATATTTTTGGAGTGTACAAACAAGCATGAACAATATAAAATTAAAATATAAAATAAAATAACAAACAAGACAAAAATCACATGCTTTATTCCATGGCATTATCAGTGGATAGTAGTCAGTACTGTCATTTTGAGTAACTCGAGTACTCAAAATAAGTTACAAAACTGTTTACATTCACCAGAAAGGAAAGAAGGATCAGGAAGACATAAACTACCAGCCTTATGGATTCTAGACAAGAATCTCACAATGAAATAACAAAAAGCACACAATTACAATAAGGCAATAAAGAAGAGTTTGACATGAATATTTAAAATCATCATAAGAAGAAAAAGTCTCATTGTCCAAACAGGGATTTTTGGTTTAACTGTCTATGGTTAAAAAGACTAAGTACCTTTTTAGATAATAATAAATAATAAATACATTAAATATTATTTATTGTTCATTAAGTTAAAAGAAAATAGTCTCTATATGGGTTTTCTCCTTTCATTGATCACTCAAAAAAATGTACATCCACAAACTGTTCACAAATATATCCATCCCTACTTTTGTTTTTATAATACTACTACTACTACTACTACTACTACTACTACTACTACTACTACTACTACTACTACCAATTAATAATGAAATATTCTGAATTCCAATTGTTTTCACTAACACTGATATGATTTTTTGCTGTGTATTTGTATGTACTTACCCTGCCTGGCCTGTCCTGGGACCCCCAATCCTCCCAGAGCTCCATATCCTCCTATAACAAAAACAAAAAAGAATACTTAAAAAATAAAACCAAATTGCACCATGTCATTTGTGGTGATAAAGTACATAAGTTCCAGTTTGTGTTTCACATGGAAAAGCTCAGTAATTACAGATATATTAACCCTTTAACAGGTCAAAACATCTGGCACATCAAGCAAATTCTGCCATAGGATTCTCATGTGTCCAGAATGTGTTTCAGTGTATCCATGAATACTTTAAACTATACGCAAATGGCAAAAGAATAATTCTATTCTTTCCACTGTTCTACCAGCAATTGACCAGTACTGAAGAAGCTGCTTGGATGAGAAATGTCTTCACTCAAAAAACCTTTGTCCAGTTGACAGAAATGATTTTTCCTTTTGCTATGGATCCTACCTGAATGGTAGAGGAATTAAAAGATATAACATAAATAACACAATTGTATTTACCTGGAAGTCCACTAAGGCCTGTCCCGAGACCTGTTCCAAGTCCATTTGCCAAACCAGTCCCCAGACCAGTCCCTAAACCAGTCCCCAGACCAGTCCCCAGCCCAGCTCCATAGGCTTTAAAAATAAACAAAAAACACATCATATTTTAACTTGTGTCACTTTAATACTTTAATAAATAAACTCTATGTAAACTCTTACCACGTTTTCCAGCCTGTCCCAGTCCAAGTCCCTGCCCATTAGAAAGTCCAGGACCTAGCATCCCTGTGCCCAGATTGGCTCCTGTAAACATCAAACAATAAAAATTATAGTGCAATAAAGGCCTATAACCACATAATAGTCCTCAAAATTTTGCATATAACAAGAAGCTGAAACCCATGAACAACAAAACTACAAATACTGAATTTATCTAATGTAGTTATGGTAAATGTGTACTATGTAATTTAATATTCTAAGGTCTGTTTTTCTCCATGGAGATGTTATTGCTTTTTCTGGAATTTTTTTGTCCACATTCTGACAAAAAACATGCATTTTTACTGTGAGCGGCATCGCCTATCCACAGATGTGACTTATAACTTGGCCTAATAGCTTCATCTGCTTGTCTAAACAGATAAAGATACTTTTACTGCCATACTGAGCAAAAATATCATTTCAATTTGTTCATTTGTATTTACATATGAGAAAATAAAGCAGAGTTTGTTTCTGGTGAATAGGACCAGTAATTAAATAGAATAAACCATAAACCTTGATGTATATAGATATTATTGATGCCATACGATACAAAATTCAAGCCAGAGCCATAACATTTCCATGGAGACAAACAGGTGCCTCTTACTCCATCAAAAAAATTACGTACTGCTCCTTTAAGGCAGTTATTTTAAATGTTATGTACCATATCCTCCCTGTGTGCCATATCCAGGTTTGAGTCCAGTTCTTCCTCCCAAACCGAGAGACCTGTAACCACCTACCAAACATTAACAGAAAAGATCATTTGTCTCATGTTTATTTTGGTGATTTGTGAATTATTATGGACTTTAAATGCATCCAGCACAAATTTAAGTATGTAAAAAGTGAAGAAAAACATCTGCATTAAGTTTTGAACAAATAAAGATACACTTACCAACTCCTAGCTGTGCACCTCCGTACCCCCGGCCAACTGGTAACAGAAACAGAAAATAATGTTATTAATTGGCCTTTATAACCTATGGCCTATATAGTATAAGTCATTTTTCTGTATTGGCTTAGTAAGACAAATTAAATAGGTTTGTGTGGGAAATTGACCTGTGACCAAGCCAGTGTTAGAAAATTAGGTTAAAATGTGCAATAATACAGCTGATGAATATTAAATAGGTGATTGTATTGTAATTGTAAGTTAAAAGTAAGATTCTACGCACGTCCAGCCTTCATTGCTTTAGTGTTGTATCGGTTTGCGACTGCACCCAGGGCCCCTGTGGCTGGAGAGAAAAACAAAGAAATTATAGTATGTTATTTCATAATTGTCTTTCTATGTTGTGTTGTGTTCACTGACCTCCAGGTTTAACCCCAGCTCCCAGGCCAGCTCCTAATGAAATACAACAGACAGAGACAGACATAAAAGTTTTAAAGAGACCAATTAATATTTTCTATAGTCCAAATGTAATTCATATTTTAAAAGTCACCTCTGTTGGGCAGCATTCTCCCATATGCCACAGTCTGAGGCTTTAATCCTAAAAAAAATAAATATAGAGTTGGGTTAGGTCACAGGCAAAGTGTACACATCTGCAGAAAAAAATACATTATATTATCTTTTTTTTCTTTCTGGAATTTCTGTCATTGCAATTTTTAAACTTAACCTTTTATATCACTATTGTATGCCTTGTGAAGTCATGTGAGGCAACTGCCGTTGTGATATTTGGCTCATCATGGATTTCAGCTGTTATTGGCGACATTTTGAATATTTAATTCATATTTTGTTTTGAATTGTTAAAGCTAACAGCAATGGTGCTAACTTTGTACTTTTGATATTTGAACTTAAAAATTATATGTCAACTAGAAAACCAACTGAACAAAGTCAGGCTTGAAATAATCCATATACAGGCTTTATTAAACCCATCACCAGTCCAATTTAGGTCCTCACCTCTTCAAAATATACTGTAGTATTCAGAGTTATGTAGTACAATTTGGATATGGTCAATATCATTTCAATTTAAAATTTAGAAACATATTTTAACATCCAAAACACTGGCTTTAAACCTACCACCAAATTATTAGATCCTCATCCCTCCTGTTGAAACCTAGAATACAAATTACCACTACAAGACATGATCTCACATACACCCTGCAGCCCAAACATCAGATGCACACACCCCGATGTGAACGCGGTTTAGCGAGTTATAAAAGTGATCCTGATCTGAAACTGCACCAGTACAGACATCCATTCATTCAAAAGGAGCGCCCCCAAGTCTAAGCTAGCAACTTTGTGTTACATTTTTCCTCCCACTGCCACTTTCCAACTTTGATTTGAAGATTTGATATCATAAAAACCACATTGAATTGGCCAGGGAACTGTTGCATGCTGGGTAAAAACTGCCCACACTATATCACTAGTATGAGATTTAACAGTACAGTGTGAATGGACATATATCTCAAGGCTTTTATTGTGAAAGAGCCAGGCATTGTCCGATTATTTGATCTGTTGCTGAACCAGTGGGCGGCCGTAACAACCACGTGATAATGTTAAAGATAACACCTGAATGTATCTTTAAGATTTATCTAAGGAGAGACAAGTTCAAAGAGAGTGGGTTGGAAAAATGAATGTCAGCAACAGTTTCATCAGTTTGCCCCAGGCAGCTGTGGCAACAGATGTACCTTACACCACCAAGTGTGGAGTGAAAGAATAATGACTACAGGGTTGTCAAAAATCAGATACAACTCAATACTCGTACAGAGTACTAGTCAAACTAGTATTGAAACCAAACACTCATTTAAGCAAATATTGATACTAAAAAATCACATTGACCTGACAGAAATTAACCTTTCTTGAAAAGAATGATCTTTAGAATGACCTTGAGCTGTATCATAACAAATATAAGAGCACATAGACTAGTATAAGCCCATGGACCACTATGGAACCTACCTGGACCACTAAGGGATTACACAAGACTACATGGGAATATAAGAGAATATACTACAATTTAATGTTGAAAATTAGTGATTTTTATTATCATCATCAAGTTTGACATTTTAGTATGGTGACAACAACTGTGCAGCTCTTTTAGAGGCTTCTTACAAATGTAAAACACTATTATTAAATTGTGCAGAAAAAATAGGTTCAATATGTAACTTTTATCAATTTTTTATTGCTTTAACACACATTCTTACTTTGAGCAAGAAACCTGCCACTATGATTTGTAATTTTTAAGTTTAATTCAGTCTCATTCAGAAGAGTATTTGTAAGTACATTCAGACTTCAGTTGTTGTAATTGACCAGTACAATAATTGTAATTGTGACTTTATATACAGCCAAAGCTTGGGGTCCTTGAGTTTTTGACCAATAAAAACACTAGGAAACATTATAAGACATGTTATCTGAGTGGAGACAAGCAGGTGATAGATACTATAGAAAGAGGTATTACATTAACTTCAACAACACCAGTGATTTTGCCTTTACCTGTTTTACTAATCTATGACATTAAACACCAGCTTTTGTACAGTGTAGTTTTAGATCCAGGATGTGAATCAAACTAAACAGAGTCTGTGCCAAATATTACATCACTGCAGCGTCATAGAGCTATAGTGTGGGTTTGGCCACCTGCTTTTCACCATGGAGATGTTATTGCTTTGCCTTGTTTTGCGGTATGGCATTAAACTTGTCTATCTTGCATTTTAATTATTATTTTTTTATTACAGATGATTTTATTGCTCAAAAATACATAAACCTGCATTCTTAAGCGGGCTCACCTTTTAGATATGACTTGTAATTTAACTTGGTAGTGCTACCTCTTTGCCTGTATGGAGATGTTTTTGTATGTTTAATGCAACATTGTGGAACATTCCAGAGCATTAACATCTCCATGGAAACAATCAGATGGCAGATCCTCCATCAGAAAGGTTGCATACTGAACCTTTTAAACACTGTCCCTTTAATATTATGACATTAAAGTTTCAACTATTGGTATTTTTACATTTTACACCTCTACTGTATTTGAATAAAGTTATTTCAAACTAAATTGGGAAAAATTAATTGTAATTTAAGTTTTATTGTTACCCTTTTGATTAATGACTTTTTGGACTTTTGACTTAAAATCTTAAAAAATATCTCTAGAAAACCTGTCTAATGTCTTACAAAATATAAATGACTAGATAATAGATAGTAGGTAGTGTAGGTCTCGATATGAATAAATTTATACAATCAAACATACTCAACAGAATAATAATAATACTTTTTTTTTTTACATAATTTGAACTTGACCTTTGAAGTAATTTAAATGTGCATTGTGTAGCTTTTCTACTGGAGGGTCCGTCACCTGCTTGTTTCTATGCTGTGCCTGGAATGTTCCATAGTATAACATAAAACAGTTCTTTCTACCTTACATTTAATCAATTATAAGTGGTTTTATAGCTCAAAAATACTTAAAATAAACAGGCATTCTGACTGTGAGCATTCGCCTCTCCACAGATCTGACCTGTTACTTAGTCTGGTTTAGTGTCCAAGACAGAAAGGTTTAATGCCATACTGTGAAACATTCCAGACAAAGTAATAACATCTCCATGGAGAAAAGCATTTGAAAGACCCTCCACCAGAAAAGTTATACAATGCACCTTTAAAACATTTTTGCCGTGTTTCTTACCTCCCTGCAGAGTCTGTTGAGCCATCCAGAGCAGCAGCGACGTCTGGAGCAGGGCCCGAGCCAACATCATGATCCGGAATCAAACCCTCAACTCTACGTTTGCTCAAAAAAATTAAAAACACACAGGGCACCCGAAGGAGACAGAGACACAGAGAGCACCCAAGGGAGACACAGAGAGCACCCAGAGGAGAGAGACCACAGCTGCACCAGGACCAGGTCTGGACTTTTATATGGGCTCCTCTGATCCACCCCCACAGACCTGCCTCCATGGACCTGTTCCATCAGAAAACACAGACACACAGTGAAATGTGAAATGTTCATTTGACTTGATTTAGTGCTCAAATTCTCACCTGCATGGGAAGATGATATATAGAGCACCAGACTTACTTCCTGGTTTGACGACGATACAAAAAAGCCTCATAATTATCAAATTTTGACCCTAAGAGCTGATTTTACAATACTGGTGGTTTTCAGATTGTTGTGATTATGTCATACTAAGAGACAGGTTCTGGAATTGATTAAACTGAACTTTACCTTTTAGAAATTTCATGGCAAATTCAAAAATCTCAATCATTTCTGTTAGTGAATGGACCCAGAACTGAATTATAATATTCAACAATATTCATTTTAACTGTCACCCATCTCTGTCAAAATTATTTTGGGCTTTAAAATGTAATATTAAGAGTGGTGGGACAAAACACAAGACAAAGACACACCACAAGATTGGGTTCACGAGGACAAAACAGGACGAGATTTTGACATAATTTGTAATAAATAAGTACTGTCATCCATTACACAATTTTGACTTCACTATATATACATACATATATATATGTGTGTGTGTGTGTGTGTGTGCGTGTGTGTGTGTCAATTTTGTCTCACAAGATCTTGTGCAAGATCCCACAAGATGCCAAGATCTTCCTGGATCTTGTGGCACATCCCTAAATATTAATATACCATATTACTTTGAATACCAAATAACAAGTTCCAGAGCATTGTTACTAATATAAATACTACTCCAGCTGATACAAGTAATACAGTTATCTTTCTGGACGTGCAAGGTCACTCTCATGAATGGCTGTTGCTCCCGTTCAAAAGTATGACATGTACTCCATTTTTCCTCCATGTATCCAAGTGAAATATGTCTTAGATATATTGTATAAGCAGCTCTTGACGTCCACTGTGTACTGACTAGAAATGTATTGTTTGATTACCAGCAAATGCACATTACCATGCTAGTTACTGTTATCTGCACTGTCAAGACAAAACCCTGCACCAATCCCTGAGAGCTGTGAGAAGCACGTATAAACTCAACGTGGTGAATAATTAGGATGCATTAATGTAAATGAGAAGTAACTTTGGATGGCTGCAAGCTGTTTAGAATGAACTAGCTCTATTTTTTCATTTTTAAGGCAGTAAAAATCAGGTACAACTCCTTTAACTTCTGTGTTTCTGCTGACTCTGATCCTATGGCGTGGGAGGTCCTCTGTTACAGTTTATGTCTACATTAATGCAAACGTGACGCACAGCCCACAGCTCCAGTGTACAGAGGCTCTCATTGTCTTTGCCCATCTCCTTCACTGCATCAGACCACCGTGCATCTGAACTGCTGCTACTTTCAGACAATAACAAAGTCTTACTCATGAAAACCTGACCCCATGTCACCTCCAGCCCCACCTGTGCGAGCTCCAGGTTTACCTAAAGAACACTGGCATTGTCCCGTCCCAGGTGGATTTAGACTGGAGCGGCATATGGCAGCGGTTCTGTATAATAAAACTGTACAAAGGTTTACAAAGGTTATATGTGCTGTCCTTATGTGTCCTATTGGTGTTTTTAGATTATAAAGTCTGATGATGTCATACTCCCAGATGGAGGCAGGAGTTTTCCCTGTTGATTACATTGTACTCTGGCATGAAATATTCAAAAGAGATCCAAAAATACACACTTCTACAATACTTTACGATTGGGCAGTCACAAATGGGTGTGACTGACTGGTAGATTAGCCAGTCAGGGAAACGTATGGCTCGTTCCTGACTGGAGAAAAAAGAAAGGAAAGAAATATCACAGGGGACTGAAAAACATTCTGCTGAATCAACGAGCGAAGCACTACACTGTATTAATCTGAAGTGAAAGAAATTTGTTTTTATTTGTAAATCATAGGTGACCAATGAGCTTCATTTGTTTTGCAGCTCCAAATGTGTCACTGAAAAAATAAATAAATCTGATTGGACGATCCAGTTTGGTCTGACTTGAAGCAGCGGATGGTGTGTAGACCAGACTGATATCAATCTGTATAAAATATTATAAACAAGTTAGAATGAAAACAACTGGACTTTGAATTTTAGTCTTTTTTTTAATCTTTGGATTTTTTGAAGCCAACGTTTCGCTGTCAACCAGATGGTTTCTTCAGGGTTTGTGTAGGTGACTGCTACTCCCACCAGATGTGGAGGTGGGTGGTGATGTTAAATCCAGCTGTTTTAGATTTAACTTGATAAATAGTTTTAAATCCTATTCCTGGATGTCTCAAAATTTGCATCAATCTGTATAAAAAAAATACAAAGAGAGATCAGTCTGGATTTGCCTGGCAAAACAAACCCTGCAATATGAAAGAAAAACGGAGTTGAACTGATTAAGGCCCCGTCCACCCTAGTTCGTATTGGAGTCGTTTTTGTTGTGGATGCAGTGTTCGTCCACACTAATCCGATTGAAAACGGTTCCAGAGACAGAACGATCTGGTGCTGCCAGCTCTCATGAATTCATCTGAGTACAAATCTGATATGACACTGTGTGGACGCCTGAAAACGCTGACACACTGATGTAGGTCTATGCTCTGCGAAGTAATTCACCGCCAAAACGTTAAGAGACTAGCATATATTCATATATACGGTCTATGCGTATGACGTATAATCTCTGAAAAGTTTAACATGAACCATCTCCAATGAACAGAACAGACTCACCATCAGCAGAACACCCCTCTGTTACAGACAGAACACATACAATCCACTGACAGAAGCTGAACTGCATCAGTTCACAATAGCGAGCAGTTTTTTGAACACTTTGTTTATGCAAATTAGCCATACGGTTTTAAGTTTCGTTTCTGTAAAACGTAAACAAATATGCTCAAAGCTGTGTGGATAGGGAAGGATTGCAGACACAGAAACAACGTGTCTGAACGCAGATTGTTTCCAATACGGCGATAAGGTGATACGGGGATACGCGGATTCATTTCGGTGTAAATGGGGTCTTAATTTACATTTAAAGTGCATTCTAAAAAACTTAATAGTAGCTTGCTTTTGTTAAAGGTACACTATGTAACTTCTCTGATGGAGGATTGGTACCTGCTTGTTTCCATGGAAATGTGTGGCTTTGCCTGGGATACACTGTGACAAATGCATTTATTTCAAGGACTGAAGGTGGAAACAAAGAGATTACCTCTTTGTGTAAGTCAGTGTTTTTATGTGTTTTGTCCCTGATAAATAAACATATAATAAACTATTCTATTGCAGGTACTTTTATTTCTCAACAAACCCTTGAAAAGCATGCATTCTCACAATGAGAAAGCACACCTCTCCAAAGATCTGACCTGTAACTTGGCCTGGTGGTGATACCTGCTTTTTTAATTTTAATGCTGTACTGTGGAACATTTCAAACAAATTAACCCAGCTCAAAATGTTTAATGCAAAAACGACATCTGAAATGACAACATACTTCCTTTTCATTAACTGCTGGACATTTTCCAAAAACATGAAGAGCTCCAGGGGCCAAATGACGGTAAAAACATGAGGTCTAATGATACACATTACCTTATTTTCTTATTTTGTTGTTTATGTCTTTGAGTTGTTGCCATAATTATCTGAAATAAATCATACGCTGCAGTTACCAAGTCTCTCCTTAAACATGTTTTCTACAGGAAGCAGCTTTCGTACAGTACATTACACTGTTCATTACTCTGTTACACTGTGCTCTTTATTTATTCACTCCACATCCGTTGGTAGTTGTATTTTGTAGTCTAAACTGCCCCTGGGTAGACTGACAAAAACAAGACCACTCTCCACCACTAATCACTATGAATGCAGCCTTTTCAGTTCAAATACCCATTCCGATACTATAGCTTTAAAGGTGCAGTGTGTAACTTTTCTGGTGGAAGGTCCGTCAAATGCTTTTCTCCATGGAGATGTTATTGCTTTGTCTGTAATGTTTCACAGCATGATATTAATCCACACTAGGATGACCTTTGCATAACACTACCTTTGTGGTACTATGCAAAGAGTCTTCACAGAGACCAAACCAGACCAGGACCAGACCAGGTTACTGACAGACTAATCACACAGTCACACATCACATTCATACAAAAGTGTCTTGCTCAAGGTATCTTTAGTACCGAGCTGGGAACTAAACTGTCCACTTTTGTATCGGTGGGGTTATGCTCTAACCATTATACGGCTGTAAATGATAGAGAGATACATAATGTACAGATAGATAGTGTAATGCCATACTGTGGAGCATTCCAGGCAATGCAATAACATCACCATGGAGATAAGCAGGTAGTGGACCTTCCACAGTAGTAGTAAGAAGTAGTTAGTAGTAGTAGCAGCAGTAGTAGTAGCAGTAGCAGCAGTAGTAGCAGTAATAGTAGTTGTAGTAGTCATAGTAGTATTAGTATTAGTATTAGTATTAGTATTAGTATTAGTATTAGTAGTAGGAGTTGCAGTGGTAGTAGTAGTAGTAGTAGTAGTTGTAGTAAGAGTTGCAGTAGTACTAGCAGTAATGTAGCAGAAGTAGTAGTAGCGGTAGTAGTAGTAGAAGTAGTAGTACACAGTAGTAGTAGCAGTAATAGCAGTAGCAGCAGCAGCAGTAGTAGTAGTAGTAGTAGCAATAATAGCAGTAGTAGTAGCAGTAGCAGTAGCAGTAGTAGTAGTAGTACTAGTAGTAGCAGTAGCAGTGGCAGCAGTAGTAGTAGTAGTAGTAGTAGTAGTAGTAGTAGGAGTAGTAGTAGGAGTAGGAGTAGTAGTAATAGCAGCAATAGTAGCAGCAATAGTAGTAGCAATAGTAGTAGCAGTAGTAGTAGTAGTAGTAGTAGCAGCAGCAGTAGCAGTAGAAGCAGTAATAGTAGCATAGTAGTAGTAGTAGTAACAGTAGTAGTAGTTGCAGCAGCAGTAGTAGCAGTAATAGTAGCAGTAGAAGCAGTAATAGTAGCAGTAGTAGTAGTAGTCATTTGCGGTCTCCATCCCAGGTTAAATTAAATAGTTAGAGCCCAGTGTTTGGGCCTCACAGCTGGAGGTGTTGGTTTCACAGTTGTGCGGCTGCAGCTCTGGTCTCGTCCACGCGACTCAATATTTGCAGCGCGCTCCCTGAACCTGATCTAAACTGTGGAGACAGAAGCACACACTGTACCAGCATCAGTCATTCAAACTAAAATAACTCTAAATAATGTCAAATGCTAAATCCTTTTAAATCTAATCCTAATACAAACAAATGTTCAAACTGCCTGAGTAACTTCTGCTTGTTTTGTTTCAGATCTCACCAAAACACATCACATAATTTAAAATAGAAACATACAATACTAAATACAATATAATCCATTTGTTTAAAAGTGTACTATGTCATTGTTTTAATGGGGTTTAGTTACCTGCAGGTCATTAGAGTTGTTCTATTTGTTGCATTCTCACATATCACTACTAGTTGCTCTCAACTTTACTGCTGTGTGACGGTGTGCCAGCTTTGGCCTGACAGAAGAAGACTAGAGAGCGCAGGAGAGTCTGAACCACAGACTATATAAAGAAGTGAACTATGTGAGTGTGACGTCACCTATAGAGTTCGACTCCAGTCAAATGAAACTCATTGAGGCTGGTGGTTACAGGGGTGAATTTGGAGCCAGGATCTACAGTATATTATGAATATATATTTTAATGAACAAAATAACAAAATAAAAACACCAGGATCATGTGGAGCGGGTTAATACAAACATTTAAGACCAAAATGATGAGGCTCACAGCAGCAGTTACAGAAAGAGGGACGATAATATTCCATTGTAAGTCAATGGGAGTCAGGGTCAGAAGGAGCAGGAAGAAACTCCATGTGAACTTCCTATTTGGAACGCAACGACTTAACACATTAGTTAATATCCATTTATTTTTAGAGTCTATGGTCTGAACAAGGGCCAGGTGAGAGGGGCATGTCTCATATCTACTATCTACTGGTTAAAAAAAAAACAAAAAAAACTTACAGATGGTAGCTGTAAAGATGGACTGTGTAACTTCACTACTGGAGGGGCCGTCACTTGCTTGTCTTCATGGACATGTGCCTAGAATGTTCCACAGCACTGTCATAAAGTTATGAATTTTCATAGAGATTTGCAAAGCAAATTACAGGTTAGATTTGTGGAGAGGCGACCCTACTCAGAATAAGAATTGATGTTTTTTAAGATAAGCAATAAAAAACACCTGTAGTCAAATAAATGAAAGTCAGATTAGTTTAATGCCACGCAGTGGAAAATTTAAACCAAAGCATTAACATCTCCATGGAGACAAGCAGGTTGCAGACCACCTCCAGAAAAATCACACAGTACACCTTTAAAGATGTATTTATTGTTGGAAAAATACCTTTAAAAACATGCTTTCTTACTGTGAACTTGGTCGCCTTTCCGCAGATCTGACCCACAACTTGGCCTTGCGTGATCACCTGCTTGATGCCTAATGTCTTTGCCTAATGTGTTTGGATGGAGGGAAGAAAAATAAACTGGTAACTCCTGGAGGACATGCACACTCTAAACTATTAAACAGTTGTAAAGTTGATTTAATGAATGAAGTCTTTTGCGTCTAGCTCTCATACTGCCCCTAGTCTTTGTATTGGCCCCAGAACCAGTCTTTACTCTGGTCCACCAATTATGCCATCACACATAGACCCGGTAGGTGAAGTATCCTCCGCAGGGACACGACAAAGGTAGTACTATGTGAGGTGTCAACCTAGTCCAGACCAGACATGAACCACTCTTTAGTCTCTAGTCCAGTCCACACAAAGTCCAGACCTGAATGTGATTATGACACAACTAATTTAAGGATGATTCATATAACGTAATTTTCTTACATTCAGAGTGCTCCAGTTTAAACCGGATGTATACCAGGTGTATACCAGGTCTAAAACCAGGTCTAAATCAGGTCTAAATCCATTTGTGAGCCAGGTCTAAAGAAAACCTGATAAAATTGACTATTGTAGACCCAGAGCATTACAATTGCAATAAGTGATCAAAATACTAGTATTCTCCGCAGCAGAGATATTAGTGTATGTTCAAGATAGTAGTAATCCAAAATACGAGTAGCAGCAGACTTTAGTGGTACAGTCCACACAAAGTTTAGACCAGAATCAGTCTAGACTAGTAATCATAATCCTTGTAGTAGAAGTATTAGTACCAGGGCGACACTTCTCTGATCCGAAGGTTGGCGGTTTGAATCCCACTCTTGACATAAACAACATTGGTTGAGCGGTAAGATCTACTGACCTACAGGTTGGCGGTGTGATTCCAGCTCCCACAGATGAATGCTGTTGTTGTGTCCATAGGCAAGACACTTGACATTTGAGTGCCTTGAATGTGGAAAAGTTATATATTAAAATGTGTCCATTTAGTATTAGTATTGTTCTGATACTAATCTAATACTAACTATAGTAAGTAGTCAAAGTTAGAAGTCTCCTGTCTTACGCCTAGTCCAGTCCACACAAAGTCCAGACCTGAACCAGTCTACAACCAGATTCTGACAAGGCAGCTGCTAGTAATCATAAATGTAATAGTAGTGCTAGTACTAATAGTGACTTAGTAGAAGTATAGTAGAAGAACCAGTCTTCGTCTACACAAAGTAATAGTAGTAATTTAAATAGACGTAAGTAGGCAAAGAGCCTATAATAGAAGATTCATATTTACAGTCTATGGTAGTAGTAATAGGTACTAAGTAGTTGTAGCAGTAGCAGTCTTTAGTCTAGTCCAGTCCATGCACCAGTCTTAGACCAGATCCTGAGGCAGGTCCGGGTCATTTTAGGATGATTCATAAAACTCACATTTACAGAGCTCCAGTTTGAACCATGAGGACAGAGACGTGCTTTGTGCTGCAGTTTTCCACTCCTCTGTTTGTCTTTGAACGCACCTCCGTCCTGGACACTCCGATCTGTTAAGTCTGAGGTTTCTGCATCTGCTTCACATGTGACAAAAGACACATGGATTCAAATTTAGAAATGAAAGCATATTTTAAAAGTCCACTGTGGAACTTTTTTGGCAAGAGGTTTAACTGCCATGTGCTTGTGACCATGGATATGCTGTTGCTTTGTTCATAATGTTCAGAAATATGACATTAAAGAAGGGGTATTACACTTCTATGGGGTATTAACTGCTACCACATGACATATTTAGATCACCATGGTAACCTTTTACTGTTTTGAAAATTATATTTGCTCAATCAATGTATTTACATATTAAAAAAAGAAGAAAGTCTATTTTGCATTATATTCTCTCTTTAAACTCCAAGGAGACTAGCAGCGCATACCACCAAGCCAAGTTACAGGTCAGATCTGTGGAGAGGCAACCCCTGTTTGAAGTAAGAATGCATGTTTTTCAAGGTATTTTGCTATATTCACAATTAATTATGAATAGATGCAAGATAGACTACTTTAACGCCATAATGGAGGCAAATTCCTGGCAAAGCATTAAGATCTTCATGGAAACAAGCAGGTGGCAGTTTCACCACCAGAAAAGTTAAACAGTGTACCTTGCTTTCAGATGTTAAAATATTAAGATACTCATATGTGGGGCCCAGGTGACATTATTCCTGTATTTATTTATTTATTAGGCAACAGATAAGTTCACTTGCACACACACATCTAAATTGGGTCGAAACCTGCCTGGACTAAAACCAAAACTAAAGATGGACTAGACCAGGGCTAAACCAGGACAAGACCAGGACAAACCCAGAATTAGATTAGAACTAGAGAAGGGCATAAGAAGGACTAAACCAGAACTAAAGAAGGACTAGAGAAGGACTAGACCAGGAATAGAGAAGGACTAGATAAGGACTAAACTAGAACTAAAGAAGGACTAGAGAACAGACTAGAGAAGAACTAGACAAGGACTATACCAGAACTAAAGAAAGACTAGACAAGGACTAGAGAAGGACTAGAAAAGAACTAGAAAAGGACTACACCAGAACTAAAGAAGAACTAGACCAGGAGTAGAGAAGCACTAGGCCAAACGTAAAGAAGGACTAGACTAGAACCAAAGAAGGACTAGACCAGGACTAGAGAAGAACTAATCCAGAACTAAAGAACGACTAGACCAGGACTAGATAAGGACTAGACCAGACCAGAACTAAAGAAGTACTAAACCAGGACTAGAGAAGAACTAATCCAGAACTAAAGAAGGCCTAGACCAGGACTAGAGAAGGACTAGATAAGGACTAAACCACAACTAAAGAAGGACTAGACAAGGACTAAATCAGAGCTAAATCATTAACAAAACCAAAACTAAACCAGGGCTAAACCAGGACTAGATTAGGACTAGAGACATACTTAAGAAGGATTTAAGGAGGATGAAACAAGGACTAAATCAGAGCTAAATCATTAGCATTAAACCCAAGCAATATCCAAAAGCAGGGGGAAAAAATAATAATAATTCTACTATATTTATCCAAAAACTCTACAAAATCTAATTGCAAGTCTCATCAAATTGGACAGTGAATGTATTATAATATTAATTAATTAGTAATTAATAATAAACTTACCATATTAAACAGATTTGAAGTAACCTTAATAACAGTTGTCACTTCTTCTCCGTTGTTCTTGGTATTGCTTAGTACTTAGCACTGCGCCCCCTAGTGTACAGTTTTGGGACTTCTTGTTGCCAATTGACCCAATGAAAGCAAAGCATTTGAGAACATCTTCAATATTACATTCAGAAAAGTAACCAACCAAATGATATGATGAATTAAAATTTTGCTTTTATTCCAGCTTTATTTGGGATATAATAAAAACAAAAACAAAACATAAATACTTAATTTTGTTGGAATTTGCAATTACCAACAAACAGAAAATCAGAAAATCGTCTTGAAAATTGGCTACTAATTGGCTGCTAAATCAATTAGAGCTACATATGACTCCATAAATAAATATTTGACAGAAAAGATAAAATATATTTGAAATTATGAATACAATTTACAAACATTTGCACATGAATGAGATAATAGCACTTTTGTTTATACATTCAGACATCAACGTAACAAAACTCAATAATTTCTTAACAAATAAAAGGTCAAATGAAACTGCAAATTTAAAAAGGTCCTATATTACACAAATTTTTATGTTTACGCTTTTTGCCATGTTAGAATGTTGTTACCTCCACAAAAACATAGCTCGAGTTGTGTTTTGTTTCATTCACACGTTTGAGTAATCCTTTATTATTAGTCTGTCCATCCTTGTGATGTCATGAAGTGGTGGTTTTCAAATTAAATTCAAAGGTCAAAGTTAACAGCCACTTTTTACCTTTTGTTTTGTAGAAACTGGCAATTCCAGGGCTGAAATTAACTAGTGAAGGGGTATGGAGTTTAAAAACTTCAGAACTCAGCCTAAATATACAGAACAAAAAACACAACTCCAGATCTGTTTGTGATGAGGAAACAACATTATAACATAGATCAGAAAATCGTGCAACATAGGCCCTTTAAACATAAAATAGAGCTGGAGCAGCAGTTCACTGGGTGCAATGTTTAATACATGGAATGACAACAATTTCACACTAAATTATAAGCCAAAAGGCGGTAGTAGCATTTTGGTCGATTTGCCAAGCACTCATAGATGTTATACATGTTAGCGCAGTATGTGAAACCACAACAGCTAAAAATAAACTTGTAAAGCCATAAAGGGGTTTTCAGTACAAACTGTCCTATGTGAGTACAGATGTATATAATAAGGGAAGAAAATGCAGTAGTAGTAGTACATTAGTTTAAAGTGCATATTAAATGAACTAAAAAAGCATTAGTAGTAGAATTAGTATTTGCAGTAGTAGTGTTTGTAGAAGGCAGTAGTAACATTACCAGTACGAAAAGTAGAAGTACTAACAGTAGTGGCAGTAGTAGTGGTAGTAGTAGCATCAGTAGTAGTAGTACTTAGTAGAACTTATTAGTAGTAGTAGTTGTAGTCGTCGTCGCAGTAGCACTAGCACTAGCACTAGTAGCAGCAGCAGTAGTAGTAGCAATAGTCTTAGTAGTAATAGCAGTAGCAGTAGTAAAAGTAGTATTAAGTAGTCAGTAGTAGTGTAACAGTACTCTACTTGAGTAAAATTCTGTTGCTGTTCCCGCAGTGAGTAAATGCAAGTGACAAAAGGTTTATGTTATCAGTATTAAATGATTTGAACATCTGTGTTTCTTGCACTGCTCCTTCAGATATTCTAGTTTATTTTGTCGTCTTCTATAATTTGAAAATACCAAATTTTGTGTATAATTTTACGTTCTGCCAAATCCATTTCTAATTAGAAATCAGATGTTACGTTCAGGCAGTTACTTTTATTTGTAGCTTACCTAAATACCTCAACTAGAATAATATCATTTTGAAGTAACATTATTCTTAGTGAGCAGAATTTTGGCAACTCTACTTACTGCCCGTTTGGTTGCCCCAGTTGCATTACGGAAGATTCAGTAAGTAAAGTACGATGTGATTGGTCAAATCTTAGACATTTTTAAGTTTTCAAATAATAATGTTAACCGGATGTTTTTAATTTGGATGAAAGAGTAACAATACAAGTATGTTCTTAACAGTTCATACAGTAATTGTAATCAGCAGCACAGTCACCACATACTAAGGCATATTCAGCAAAAACAATATAGAATTTTTACACAGAAATTCACTGGGACTGTCCATGCATTTACACTTAAGTCATGCAGCTTCAACAAAGGGCATTTAAAACCTATGAGCTCAGGTTAAAGCAGCAAATATTAGACTTTTCTCCAGCAGTTTTGCAAATACAGTTTAAGGAGGTCTCTCACAAAAATAAGAAACTTTCAGTAAAAAAACCTGTCAATGTACATTTTGAATCCATTTTCTAACTCATATATTAAAGGTGCAATGCGCAACTGTTCTGGTGGAGGATCAGGAGTGTTGGAAATTGCTTTGCCACCTAGAATGTTTCACACTGTGGCATTAAAATGATTTGTAGCTAGGTACACAAGCAGGCTGGCATCACAAGGCCAACTTACAGGTCAGATCTACCCAGTATTTTTGATAATAAAAGACCCACAATGAAATAAATGTCACAATTCCGTAATGAGGAAAATTCTTGACAAAGCAAAAACATCTCCAGGGACACAAGAAAAGTTATGCGGTGCACCTTTAACATGAATACAGAAATGCAGGTAACAATCTCAAGTCAAATAATACTTACACTGTTTGTCATTAGTTCATAGTAATGTTTTTTTATCATTACATTTTGAATACATTTTGCACTAGTTCAGTCTGTACATATGGAGAGGGTTTCATTAGGAAGAGCATCTGGCATAAATGCTTTTACAGTAAGCACAAAGCCTAAATGCAGAACTAAGTAACATATTACCTTATTAAACATTTTTGTAAGTCCCTGTGATGGCTAAATATGTATTTTTGGTGTGTTTACAGTGTCCGTTGTCTCCCCCTGCTGGCTATAAGCGGAAAAACAGCCTCACAACATGGCAGACATCTGCTCGTTCTCATCTCGTTTAATCACAGGGTCATGTCTTTCTCTTGCATGTTTGAATGACAGATAATAAACCTCGAAACTTAAACCTGGAGAGAGAGTTGTCCTGGGAAACTCTGGCTCTTTCTGGCAATGTTACTTCAATAAAAAAGAAAAAAAAAAAGTGCTTTTGAGTCTCTTCCCTGACAGTGTGTTCTCATAAGGGAGCTGCAGGGGGAGCTCTATCGCTGAAAGTTACTTACTTAGTTCTGCTTTAAACCAATTTCACATGTAAAGGGAGCATAAATATTGAATTATTTAAGCTTGAAATGCTGTGTTTAGTCTCCTGCTTACAGGGGTGTGGCACCAAATTCTGGGCTCTGGGTACAAATCATCTTGATGGGCCCCCACTACATATTGGCTAATGAAAAAAAAAACATTACAGATTTTGTGAGTGGCCCCTACATACACTTACCTGACCAGTCAGAACCACACACTTTGACAAAACCTTACGAAGACAAGTGGATCTTGAGCTCTATCCTGTCTCCCTGATTTCAAAGGGTGTGATTGACAGGCAGATTAACCAATCAGTTCCACATAAAGAACTGAGAAGCTGTACAGATTTTTACAGAATCAACAACTGATGCACCAAACTGATATTTATTTCAGGTAAATTGAGTTATATATTTTGTTCTGAATGTTACCAGAATTTGAGAAAGGAGAGGTCTTCTGTATTTGACACGTGCTACAGATTAGTCAGCTGTCATTGGATTGTCTCAAGTTCGGACGGAGGATTTTCACACTCTTCGGTCCAGCCTCAGTCCCTTCTGGATTCATACAGAATGTAAAAGGGGCTGTCTGGTCAGGCAATCCGTACACTGGGCCCTGGGTAAACAGTCCCTATAACCCCCCAGTACTACGCCCCTGCCAGCTTATACTATGTAAGCATACAAACCTTGGATACAACAATTTCGCATATTTTCAGAAAGCGTCCTTTATATTCTTGAGTTGCCGCACAGCGAGGTCCACGGGGAGGTTGAATTTAAGGTGGCTGATTCGTCCCAAAATACGCAACGCTCCTTCGAATCCAGTTTGCGCCATGTAACTCCACGGCTGATAATGTGGGTGAATGAGGGTTCCAGACTTACACAGCAAATTCAACCAGGAAACTAGTCTTTGTTCATTCAACGCCATGCAAATTAAAGCTTTAAACTCCGTATCTGGACCTCTTTTAAATCTATCGTGCTCGTTAAGAACTGTATGAATCGCCCATAGAAGAGACTGCTTTGGCGTTACAGTCACCTGCCCGCCCCCTACTGGCAGACTGAAGGATTGCGATAGCTGTCTTGCTGGCGATTCAACGAAAGCTTTACCGTTTTTGGAGTGGTAGTATTTAACGAAAAGTTCCCAAGGATGCAGATCTCGCGGGGTAGTTCGGTAAGGAAGTAGGCACGATATTGGTGCTAAAACCAAGCTGACAGTTTGTGATGGTGAGCATAAACCGTGCGCTAACAAGTCTTTCAACGCTATAGCTAGCTCTTTGCGTACAGCCGCTGTTAGCTCATCTCTGGGTCCCAAAGCAGCATTACTGGTGTAGTTCACGACATGTTCGAAAGAGGGCTGGCGTCTTGAACCTAAAATTCTTACTTTGTCGACAGCAGTTTCCAGGCGTTGTAGAAGGGGTCCATAGTCTTGCCCAGTGGCGTTGGGGGACCACATGTTTTGGGGAACGTGACCCGTGCCGCAGCCAAACTGACTGGCAGCGAAGATCTGGAGGACTGCCAGAGCGCGTTGAATGAGCTGAAGACCGGTCTCTCTGAGCTTCTGTGCTTGCTCTGGGTCCACTACAGAAAGAATGAGTCAAAGTTACTAAATGCTGTAAATAATTATTTAAAAGTTGTGCATATGGTGGATTAGACAACTAATTTCACTAAAACAAAGATCAATTAATTATATTATTATACTGAAATATAATATATAATTATAGCTGACACACCATACATAAAGGTAATTCTATAACTGCAACCACTGTAAACAAGGTTCAAAGATTATTCAATTTACACAATACTTATGATTTGTAAAATAAAAATATATTCCAAATTTAGTGTTTAAACTTAAACACTTAAAATGTTTGCATGTAAATTGTCCCAGTATTTTGGATGGTATTTAGTGTATTGCAATTTCCGGTATTTTAAAACTTTTTTTTCACAATTTTTCTTTATAGCCTGTTGAATGGAGTAAAACTATGATAAACATTTAAAAAAAATGGTACTATCACAGGTACAGGAACAATTTCAGACTTGCCTTTCTTCTTGACCCCTGGAGCTCTGGTCTGAGTTCCTTCACTTTGAGGTTGCTGACAGTTAGCTCCTCCAGACAGAAGAGGGTTTCCTACCTCATCTGAAAGAAATAAACATAACAGGCCTGGTTTAGTCCTGGTATACATCTTGTTAAATCCTGGTTTAGGCCCAGGTAAAAGTTATGGTGCAAGTCCTCATTAGTCCTGGTAGAGATCAGGTTAAGATTTTGGCCCTGGTTTTATCCCAGTTCATAACCAATTTAGGTCTGGTTTATCCCTAGTTGAATCCTAGTTTTGTCCAAGTTGAATCCTGGTTTTGTCCTAGTTGAATCCTGGTTTTGTCCTAGTTGAATCCTGGTTTTGTCCTAGTTGAATCCTGGTTTTGTCCTAGTTGAGTCTTGTTTTAGTCCTGGTTTAGGCCTGTTTTTAGTGTTTGGACCATTTTAGTCCTGGTTGAAAATTATTTATACATTGTATTTTAAACCTTGTTTAGTAAAATTCAAAAGGTTCTTAGTCCCAGTGTAGTCCCCATAGATTATGTTGGACCTGGTTTAGATGGTTTAGTCCCATTTTAAGATATTATTTCATTTTTAGGTTTTACTTCCACAATTTCTTTTCCACATAACATTGTCTTTGCACCTTGTATGAAGTTGATGAACATCTCGAGGTCTCGTATCTGTGTTTTGAGCTGCTCCACCAGCTGCTCTTTGACTCTGGCTGGATTCACAATCTGCGCGATGGCCATGTCCACTCTCTGCCTCAGCTCCTCTGGGCTCAGGTTCCCGATGTCCTCGTTCAAATTCACATCCAGCTTCTTTATCAGCTCGTCTATGATCACCTACATATGCAGACACAACAAGTATTATTACCTACAGGGATGTCACAGTAACAGAAATATAATGACATTGTCTCGTCAAACGTTGCAGTCCACCACAGTTTATTGAATTACACACTTATTTGCTAATTCGCAGAGATTGTTTTGTTACAGCATCAGATAAAAAACAGTGGGCACTACACATACCATGATCCTTTGTTCCACTTCAACCCAAACAATATGATGAAGTAATGGTTATAAAGAACTTTTCCATTTTAATTATGTAAAATATGACTTGTCGAGTAGCATTTCTTTTCTTCAATTGTTATCATTTCCACAATATTGCAATAAATATGGTACTTAATATCATGAAAATACTGTACAGTGAGATTTCCATATCATTACATCCCTAATTACATATAGATCATTTCATATTTGTCTTAGTTTAGGGGAAAATGCACAAAATAAATTCAAAAGCAGATATTACTAGTAAATGATTAGTTAGTATAAGGGAAAATTCTGTATCTATCCAAATGTTTTGTTTAATTTAACATAATTTTAAAATGATTAAATGTGATTAAACATAAAACATTTTTTCACCCGCAAACTCAGAGCTAACCCCTAAACAAAAATAGAGCTACGCCATCGTGTCTAGACTGAGAATTAACAGCTTGCATAAGAGCGACCAGAGCCTGCAAAGTGGGGCATAAATGATGAGTTAAGTGATTAAAACGTGCAGTTGTAGCGCGCTCTAGTGTCGACCCACCTTCTGCCTCTCCATGACGACAGACTGGGGCAGGGAGTCGTAGCTGCCCTCCTGATAGGCAAATCGCTCCAGGTCATCGAGCTGAGTCTTCAACTGAAAGATCAGGTCCTTCTGTTTCTCCCTCTGAGCCTCTAGTCGCTCCCTCTTCTCTCTCTCCGTCTGGAACAAAAGAATCAATAGTTCAAGCCATAGTTTTAGTTTACATACAGTTGCGTAACACTTTATCAGAGGTTTCTATTCCTGTGTTCAAATGAATAACAATAAAGATGTAACTAATAAAGACACCCTATGAAACTTTTCAGATGTTGTGCCTAGATTGTTCCACAGTTTGGCACTAAAACATTTATTTAGCATTTAATGAATTAGTTGTATTAAAGCTTTAAAAACAACAAAAGAAATACCTTGTCCAATTTGGTTTTCTGTTGTGAGTGAGTCTCTCTAAGATTTGAAATAAATACCTGGTGCCATCCTGTGGAACATTCAGTGGAGTAGAGACAGACAGACAGATATTATCGGTTTGCCAATAATTGCACTTTTTAGTGAGTTGGTTATCGGCCTTAAATCTCCAGCACAAGCCGACATTTTGTTTTGGTGGTCCTGTTGCTTAAAGAATATACTTAAAGCTTAATATAAACATTTTAGTGTGACATACAAGACATAACTGCACAAAATGTGACAAAGGTTTATAGTGAAAATGGGCTGTGGGTGAGTTTGTAACCAATTTAAGTTACATCATTTGGGGAAAAAAATATCAAAATCCGCTCAATTTATTCACCCAAAAATATCGTCAGATCTTATGGGCTATCGGTTTCCCTGGATTCTAAACAACTGGCCATGAAAAAACAGATATAGGTCGATCGCTACAATGGAAAACATCAGAAATGTTACACAGTGCAGCTTTAATGTAACACTGATACAGGAGGACTAGTATAACCCATTTTGTACTCACCAAATCCTCCTGTAGGCGGAGCATGTAACCAAAGAAACAGATTTTTAGAGGAAAAACATGTACATTTGTGTGTTTTGTAATCAAATTTTAACCAAGATTAATCATTATATACGACTTTATCAGTTTATTAGTAATTAACAGGTCAATAGCCAATCCTCTCTCTAAAAACATGAGGTTTGAGCAGGATTCAGATGAAGGAGGAAGAAATTTGACTATTATTTTTTGGTTTAAAATAGCAGTTATTAAAAGGTCTGTCTTGTTCTTGTTCAGGAAGTTAATATTGACAGTATGTTTCATTCCTTTTAATACATTTGCATTTGTTTATCGTGAAATGAGGGGTAAAAATTCTGACACATTTTCCAGGCTATTTTCGTTTTGAGTCTTGTCTGTTTCCCTGGAGTACAGACAGCTGCAGGTTTGGTTCTTGTGTTTACACAGTGTCTTTATTACACAGAGTTTAGCTGGGGGCATGTTCCTTCAGTAAACTCCAGTCGACAGCAGCCAGTGCGTCACCAGGGACTGATTTTCCACTAGAGATAAGAACACACCAAAAGGGACAAAACCAGAGGGGGTGATAACGAAAGAAGAAACAAGGGACACGTAAGCAGAGTGAAAGATAGAGGGAGGGAGAGGGAGTGACAAGAGTGACAAAAGGGAGGGAGAGAGGGTAGATGTACAGAGGGAAAGGAAGAAATAGTGAGGGAGACAGCGAGCGACAGAGAGGGAGAGAATAGGAAGAAAGGGAAAGAGAAGAAGAGAGAAGGAGAGAAAAGGAAAGGGAAGGAGAGAAAGAGAGAGAGAGAGATGGAGAGAGAAGGAAAAGGGGGAGGGAGAAGAGGGAAAGAGAGAGGGAGGGAGGGAGGGAGAGGGAGAGAGAGAGAGGGAGATGTAGGGAGGAGGAAGAGACAGAAGAGAGAGAGAAACAGAGAAAAGGAAGGAGAAAAAGAGAAAGAGTTGAAGAGAAAAGGAGAGAGAGGGAGGGAGAACAGGGAGAGAGAGGCAGAGAGAGATGTAGGGAGGGAAGCAGAATGAGAGAGAGAGAGAGACAGAGAGGAAGGAAGGGGGATAGAGAGAGGGGGGAGAGGGGGAGAGAGAGAGAAGAGAGAAGGAGAGAAACAGAAAGAGAAGGAGGGAGAAGGAGGGGAGAGAGAAAGGGAGAGAGAGAGGTGGGAAGGAAGAGCTGGGAATTAAGTAGTATTTACACAAGGAGCAGACAGTGTAAATAAATAGTAACTATGGGAAACAAAAGTAAAGTTACCAGTTACAATAAAAAACACAGTAATGGAATGTTTAACAGAGACCAGTCCGATAGTTTTGTCTGGGCTGTCCACCTCCCTAAAGATTAGACAGAGACTTTATTCAACGCAAAATGTTGTAGGCGCATTAAAATGTTATGACCGTGCTCTGAAGATCATCGAAGCATGCGAAAACCCAACCCTACGAGGAAGGAGCAAATGTTTTTACTGAAATACTCAATAATACTCAACTCCAGGTACATTTGTGAACAGGAAACCACAATATAACATAGATCAGAAAACTGCATAATATTGGCCCTTTAAACCTCATCTTGTCATTGTGGGCCCATTATTGTGTCTCGTCTTGTCTCTCCCCTTGGTCATGGATAAAATGGTTCGCTGACAGTTGACAGTTAGTATTCATGCATTTTAATGTGTTTCCTCATATAACTTGGGATCACTTTGGAATAGGGTTGTCAAAAGTATCAAAAATACTACAACTAGAACCAAAACTAGATACACATTTGAGCAGGTATTGATATTAAAGAAGTCACATTAACAGGACAGAAATGAACCTTTCCTGAATGTCTTTAGAATGATCTGGAGCTGTTTCAGAACAGAAGTATAAGAGCATATAAGACTAGTATACTTAAAATGATTTGATATTAAGGGACCATTATGTTTTGTGTATTGCTCCTGCAAACTGTGCAACACTGACGCACACGTTTCATAACCTCCATATAACAGATAGCAGCACATTTTGAGACCAATATGAAGCTCTGTCACCCACAAACCAATAAAAATGCAGGACTTGTGTGTTGCCAAGACAACAATCAACATCAGCATCTCATCAATGGCCTGTAGTGACAATCCAATTAGGGTCCAGTGAGAAGAGGAGCCACATGCGGCTGCTAAAGAGACAGTAGTCGATAGTTTTGCTTATATGGTCTACAGAAAATGAAAATCAAACATGGAAAAGAGAAATAAGATAGTAGTAGAAAATAAAATGCACTGATCATTTTACTTTGGTAGTACAATGCATATGAATTGTACACCGTGAGCCCGCAAATCAGAATCAATAGTTAAAAATAGTTATATTTTTAATTAAGTCATATTTGAAATCAAAACCATACTAAAATTATATAGCCTATAGAAGTTTCAATCACACACTAAGTACACGCTATGTTTACCATTATAGTAAAAATAGATAAATATTTTTTTTCCCAAATATGATTGACATCATTGGCTCAAGTAACCTCTAAATAAGAGCAGATAAGGTATGTAATAAAAAAAAACTAAAAACATAAAGATATAATAAAGAAAGACATAATAATCCTAGAGATGAAGCATGTAACTTTTCTGATGGAGGGTCTCTCACCTGCTGCCTGCAGTATAGCATTAAACATATCTATCCCAATGGAAGACCTCGCCAACAATAAGAATGTTCTTCAAGGTATTTTTGAGACATAAAAACAATGAGTTCATGCCAAATAGATCCATTTAATGCCATACTGAGGAATATTCAAGGCAAAGCAAAAACATCTCATCTCATCAGAAAAGTTACATGTGCACTTAAAGGGCCCATAGTACATGGTTTTCTGATCTGTTATATTGTTGTTTTCCTCATCACAAACAAACAAACAAACAAACAGAGTTGTGTTTTGTTTCATTCACGCATGTTTAAAACACAAACCGTGCATATTAGGCTGAGTTCTTCTCTCAAATGGAAAACGCTCTGTTCCACCTTGTGATGTCATGTGGTAAGTGTTCCACTATGTTTTTAAAACTCCATACACTTTCACTAGAATAAATTTGGATGGCCTGAAATTGCCAATCTTTATTGAACAAAAGGTAAAAAGTAGCTATATAACTTGAAAACTGCCACATGACATCACAAAGTGTAGCAGAGCACTTGGAGCTTTGGAGATGTACAGACTAATAAACCAGGGTTACTCAAAAATATGTGAATGAAAAAAATACAACTTGGTATGTTTTTGATGAGGTAACCACATTATAACATGGCTTAAAACTCACAAGAATCAATTTTGTGCAATAATGGACCTTTAACAGTACAAATAGTAAAAAAAAAAAAAAAAAAAAAGTTGTTGTAAGATGTGTTGTTGAAAGTTTCTACAGCTACGTGATAAAAACCTGGATGACCACAAGCTCTCACCGAGTTCTGAAGCAGCGAGGCATCCTGGGGCCTGCAGCCGACAACGTGTGGACATCCTCGGAAAGCGAACTCCTCCAGGTCCGCCAGCATCCTCTCCTTCTCCTCGCTCTGGGCATGAACAATCTGCTTCAGACGGAACTGCACCTGAGCAAAGTGGGACGTCAAAGCGAGGAGAGACGAGTTTAACAGCTCCTGCTCTTCCTCCAGCTTCCTCATCCTCATGGCCATCTCCTCCTCTGAAGCCGAGTTGGAGCGTCTGTTCCCCGGCTGCCCTCGGCTCTCCTCCTCGGGGGTAGCCACAGCGCCCACCGGAGCCCACCGCTCTCCAGCCCCGGCCATCATCGCCTCGCTGTCCGACGCTGACAGCTCCTCCGTGGACATTTTGGTTAAAGTAAACGATAGTACACGTTCAATTAAAGCGTCAGTACGAATTGTAGTGAGTTTAATTAGTTAAAAGACACGTTGCTGCGCAGATTAAACGCGGATTATCACAGCTGTAGCAGGTGCATCGCCATCTTGGGAAGGATGAATCATACGTCAAACAAACCGTGAGAGCGTCATATGCAAATTTACACCGGAAGTGCACGCTTCAATATAAAATATCGTATTCATTTTTTTTTTTCTCAAAATATAACGTTTATATAATAATAATAATAATAATTCACATATATTTAATAGTTGAACGTGCTTCCCATTCCCATTTTCATTATATTTGCCTTTTTTTCTTTAAAGGTGCATTATTTAACATCTCTGGTGCAATCATCCCCTGCTTGTCTCCATGGTAATATTATTGCTTTGCCTTCAAATGTTCCACAGTATGGCATTAAACACATCTAGCTCCTTGGACACAAACCGATAACATAAGCGAGCCAAAATACAGATTAGGTCTGTCGAGGGCATAGATTGTATAAAAGATATATATATATATATGCACATCTACGATCACAGTGAGAATGCATGTTTGTCAAGGATTTTTATCTATTTATTTTTTCCAATGGGTTTTCATTGCATTGCTATATTATAAACGTTAGAATAAATGCATATAAATTCTATAAAACAATAATTTCTTTTTATTTGGTTACCTTTACAATAATGTGGTATTTGTTTGTACTAACTATAGGCCTACACAAGAGAGCACTTTTATTTATTTAACTAAACTAAAACGCAGTATTACTCGTGCCCTTCGTGTTAACATCTTCTTCTTTTTCTTTTTCTTGTTTCTGTTTCTTGTTTTTTTACATTTGTTTTATTATTTTATTCTGACAGTCATACCGGTAGTTGCATGTCTTTGTTTACTCTGTTTACTTACAGCTTTACTTTACTGCTCTTCTCTGATGACGCCCAGCAGCCTCCACAGTCAGAAACATGACGTCAAACTCATTAATCCTGAGGAGGTGGTCCAAAAATAATCTCTACCCCATCACGACAAAGCAACCAGCAACATCTATTTCAACACAGAGCATCTTTAAAGTGGCATTAAATCACTTTTCTGGAGGGCCTGCTACCTGCTTCTTTTCATGATTTTTCCTGGAATTTGTAACAGTATGGCATTAATCTTATCTTGCATTTATTACCTTTTAGATGTTATATACAGCAAAAAAAAACAAAAACAAAAAAACAAAAAAAACAAAAAAAACATCAAATCTGACCTACTTGTATCACTGAGATAGACAAGTTTAATGCCATATTGTGGAACTTTCCAGGCAACACAATAATACCAAATACTGTAAAGCCCTTGTTATCGTATATAAAACTAGAATGTAATTTATTTAAGCCAACTGGATAAAACATGGGGCAAACAGCACCTGGTATTGACCCTGGCTGCATATGTAAATAAAAAATGTGTTCTGTCTATATGTATTTCTTAAAGCTATGATGCTGTATATTAGAATTATTTTGTCCATTGCACTATAAAATGTTTGATAAGTTAGAAAAAAAAGAACCAATCCACAAAGTACTTTCCACCTTTATTGATTTACATGAAAATAACTGCTGAACTTGATTAGAAAATATGATTCACTGAGATGGAACAAAAAATTGGTTGATAATTGACAGCAAACATTTGGGAATTACTGGTTTAAAATGTTGAATTCTTCTTGCCTTTAGTAACACTTTAATAACAGCACTATTTACAGCCTTTATAATATCTAAAATAGTTTATTAAGAATGATTCAAGGTTAGTAACTACTGCAAATGGCAGTAGCTCGGTTACAGTGTTTGTCGTCTGATTTGATCCTCTAATTGGTGGAGTGATTTCAGCTCCCACAGATGATTATTGCCGTTGTGTCCTTGAGCAAGACACTTAACCCACCTTAACCCCAGTGTCTGTGTATACTGGTGTGATACTTTGAGGTGGAAAAGTGCTATATAAAAATGTGACAACTGACTATTAAAGGGGTATGGAGGGTAGTAATTAAAGGTACACTGTGTAACTTTGTGTAACTGGTGGAGAGTGTGTGTGTGTGTGTGCCATCTGCCTGACTCCATGGTGATGTTATTGCTTTACTTGAGATTTTCCACAGTAAGGCATTAAACAAAAGTATCTAGTATTTATTTAATTATAGGAGTTTTTATTTCTCAAAACTACCACAAAAACATGCATTATTACTGTGAGGAGATCTCCACAGATCTGATCTGTAACTTGGCCTGGTGATGTGACCTGCTTGTCTCCACGGAGATAGTTATATTGAATGCCATACTGTGGAACATTTCAGGAAAAAAAGTACATGGAGTAAAGCATCTGGTGAACGCTCTACCAGAAAGGCTACGCAGTGCACTTTTAAGCAATTTCTGAAGTTCGCAAGTTTGAATGTTCTTAATAAACATTTTTTCATAATTAATTAAGGCTTTCTTCATGCTTTATTAACAAGGCTAATTACGGTGTAATTATTATAAAGTGTTACTGTCTTGATTAAGTTCACTAGAAAATAATTAAGCAGAAAATTATCAGAAAAAAAGTTAAAAATATTGACTTTAGTGCTGTTTTTAAGTGTTTTTTTTATAATATGAATGGTTTCTTCTCATCGCTGTGGGAGAACAGCCAGTTCACCCAGGACCTGAAGCTCTCGAAGCTGCACTCTCCATGCTCAGTGCAGATTTGACCAAAAGGACAACAGCTGTTTTTGCAACACACGCCCTGGAAATGAGACAAGAATGAATACATAACATAATTTCCCTTGTGGATCAATACAGTTTGTCCAAGTCTGTTTTTTCCAAATTTTCAGCCCTAATATTTGATGTATGTTATTGTATTTGTAGACTTACATTTAAAAAAGGGCAGCAGTAGTTGTTCCCACAGCACTTGAAGCCCTTGGGGCATGCAGTCTGCCCACACATGACATAACTTTTCTCATCTGGCTCAGATTTGGGCAAAGTCAGAGGAACCTTCTGCACCTTCGCAAACACAGAGCTCAGACACCCTTCGGGGTCACAGGTGGAGCCATGAGGACAGTGCTCCTTATCATCGCAGCACACAGCCTGGAATACAAAAAAATGAGGATTTTTTGACATTTTGACATGTATGAACCCTACGTTTATGAAAGGAGTCTGAATTTTTTTAACAATTGCAAGTTCATAGCAGTGGGCAGGTAGGGGGTAGATGATATGCTTAAAAATGCTTATTTCATCTTAGAATAAGTATTTCACATCTAATTTCACTTTATAAACTACACCTTGGTTAGCCATCAGATCTCAGAAGCTAAGCAGGCCGGGCCAAGTTAGTACCTGGATGGGAGACTGCTGGGAAAAACTGGTGCCACAGTGGAGCGCCAGTGTCAAAAAAAAAACATTGTTGTGTCCTTAGGCAAGACAGTTTAGTATGAAAGTGGTGTGTGGGTGAATGTTGGTGGTTGGAGGGGTCAATGGTGCAGAGTGGCAGCATCTCTTCCGTCAGTCTGCCACAGGGCAGCTGTGGCTCCAATAGGAGTTTACCGCCACTGAGTGTAGAGTGAAGGAATAATGCTCTCTAAAGCTCTTTGGGTGTTTTAAAATGTGCTATATAAATCCAATGATGAATGAAAGAATGAATTAGTATAACCTGGTTTAAAGAGGTATTGTGAAACCTTTCTGGTACAAATGCTTTTTGGCATGGAGATGTTATTGCTTTACTTGTTATTGCTAGAATACCAGTTTTTCTATGCATGTTTGAACTATAAAACCACCTGTAATTTAATAAATGTGAAGTGTATCTGTTTAATTTCATATATGGAACATTCTAAACAGAGCAGTTACATATCCATAGAAACAATTAGGTGACGGACCCCCAACCGAAAAGTTAATTTAGCATAATTTGAGTCGTTTGCATCCTTACATCCTCTAAGGGGCAGCAGCCGTACTGGCCTGAGGCGAGCTGACAGCAGGTTTCGTGGTCATGACATAAACGTTTATCTTTGCACTCCACATCATTTGAGTTTGATTGATTTGAGTCCTTCTCCGGGCTGGACAGGGCTGGGAGCTTCGTGTACCAGGGGATCACCACGTCATCATCCCGGACACAGGCCTTATGAGACTGACTACATTTGTGATGAGCAGGGCAGCAGTGAGTCCCATCGGAGCAGCACACAGCCTGAAGGGACAGAGGGGGTCAAATCTAGGCCTTAAAAAAGACATATGATGCTTTTGTCTGCTATTAGAGGTCCTATATCACACAAAATGAACACTTCTGAGCTTAAAGCCATGTTACAATGCTGTTGCCTTATCAAAAACATACATGGAGTTGTGTTTTGTTTCATTCACACATGTTTGAATAAAACTGTAACACTTTCAGGGCTGAAATCATTCAAATGATTCTAGTGAAGGTACATGGCTTTTGAAAACACAGTGGAGCACTTCTTGTTTTACCACGACATCACAAGGTTTTCTGTTTGAGAGAAGAACTCAGCCTAAATATGCAAAATTTGTGTGTTTAACATGTGTGAATGAAACAAAACAGAACTCCAGATATGTTTATGATGAGTTTGTGACAAGGGAACAATATTAAAACATAAGATCAGAAAATAACGTAATATCGGCTCTTTAAGTTATAATTAATGACACTCATGGCATTATATTTGGGACATTTTAAATCTCAATACTGATCTAAAGCGAATAAATAAAAGAAACAAGTCCGCTGTTTTCCGGGTTTGAATGGATAGCTGCAGATTTGCGTAAAAATGACTACACAACACTGCAGAATCCTATGCGTACTACCAATGTAGAAAATAAAATTGTAGAACAGATCGATAGGTGTATATCGATGACAGTGAAAACTAGAGTCAATCAAAGCAATGACTTCTTGAATACAGGAGAATAAAGACATGCATGAATCACTCCAAAAACAACTACAGGAAAGTAAATGAGAAGGGGAAACAATTATAATATGGTTATAAGCTTTAAAAAGTTGAGTCTGCAGAATATGTCTGCTTTAATAAAATCCACATGCAATTCTTCAGCTTCTCACTATATTGACAGGTTATATAAACAAACAAAAAAAACAATTAAAAAACACATACATCTCCTGGCTAAAAAGTTACATGGTGGGGCTTTAAATAATGAAATAATTATAGTAATTATAAACTTGTCTAGAGAGTACTTACATGTGGCACTGGACAGCAGCCCCAGCCATGGCCTAGGCGGCAGCAGGTGGAGCATCTGGGGCATTTAGTTTTGTGATCACAGCTAACCATATCTTCATCATCACACTGCTCCTCCTTCTCCTCCTCTTCCTCACTCTCGTCCTCCTCGGTTTGGCTTGGTTGGGTGGTCCAGACGGGCTCTGTAGTGGAAATAGGGAAGGGAGCAGCCGTAGTTGTGGGGGCCATGGGTGTAGTTGGTACAGTTGAGTCTGAGTCGCTCACACACATCTGCTCTTTTAGATCACAGGTGGTCCCGTGTGGACAACAGTGTATATGATCCTCACAGCACACCGCCTTTAAGAAAAACAACATTACTGTGTTTCAGAGGACATTACAACATTATAAAGGTAAAAAATATTTAAAGGGTTCATGTTATGCTATTTTCTGATCTATGATATAATATTGTTCCCTCATCACAAACAGACCTGGAGTTGTGTTTTGTTTCATTCACACATGTTTAACACACAAATCTTGCGCGTTTATGCTGAGTTCTTTACTCAAACAGAAAACACTCTGTTCCACCTTGTTATGTCATGTGGTAATACAGGAAGTGTTCCGCTGTGTTTCTAAACTTCATACACCTTCACTAGAATCATTTGGATAATTTCAGCCCTGTAATTGGCAATATCTCCTGAACAAAAGGTAAAAGGTAACTGTTAACTTGAAAACTACCATTTCGTGACATCACAAGGTGGAACAGAGCATTTTGAGCTTTGGAGATGTAAACAGACTAATAATTAAGAATTACTCAAACATGTGTGAATGAAAAAAACACAACTCTATTTGTGTTTGTGAGGAGGCAACAACATTCTAACAAGACCTAAAGATCACAATTTTGTGTAACATAGGATATTTAATACAGATACAAATAATCAAATTATTATTCATAATATTATAGTCTATCCATTAAAGCCAAATTTAACTATAGAATTAGTCTTTTAGTGTCAAAATACAGATGTTTTGACCTGGTTTATGGTTTAATTATCAGTTTCTCAGCTTAATCACATTAAACAACCACTGACATAACATTTAATCAGATAACAACAGCACAGATGAATTATAAACCATTTTACGGTAATCATCTGTGAACCAGGAAGTAAAGTTTGTGTACTGTTAGCATACTAGTTGTTGCTAGCATTACCGTGATGCCTAACCTGTACTATGGGCTCTGAAAATAATGAAAAGCGCTTATGAACTCATCATGTCGTTAGAATGCAAGAAAAGTAAAGAATAAATATGGACTGCCACAAACAGTTGAAAAATTAAATAGTTCAGTTTTTATGATTTTAAATTAAAAATCAGCTACATCGAGGACATGGGCAAAATGTTAAATAAAACAAGAATCACACCTATTTAAAAGCATGTCTGCAGATCTATACTTTAGCACCACCACATCTCAGATTAAAGAACACAGATTAAAAGACTCAGACAGAGCAGACCCTTCATTTAACCTCACAGCCCCATGGATATTTTTACTGTATAAAATGTGCTATTATAAATTTGGATGTTCTCTTTCCTGATGTGTCACCATAAAATAAATATGGATAATAATATAAACTCACTTCTGGAATGGGACAGCAGCTCCAGCTTCCCTCTACGTTCAAGCAGCAGGTGGTGTCATCAGGACAGTAAGAGGTTTTATCACACGTCACATTAGAGACCTCCTCCTTCAGACTGAAAACTTTAATTGAGAAGAAAATTGAATTTTATGTTAAAAATAAATCATATAACCCCCTACCCTACAAAGAAACAATACAATGGTATGATAAATTATATAGAATGTCAAAAACAAACACGGTTGCTTACAAAGAAAAATAAATAAAATAACATATAGGACTGAGTAGCAAACATATTTTTGTGAAGAACCAAACTCTTATTTATCTCAGGTAAAATAAATTATATATTTTGTTGTGAATGACACAAGAATTTTCAAGAGGAGATGTTTTCTGCATTTAAGAGATATGTCCTACAAATTAACGTCTGTGGTCTGATCTTCTCAAGTTTGGACAGAGGATTTTCACGTTCTATTATTCGGCTCTGGACCGTTCTGAATTTTAATAGAATGTAGAAGGGACTGGCTGGTCTGGCAATATATTTTCAGTAATTATGTTAGGTCTTGAAATCACATCTGGCTTTGTTCACACATGACCCAAAATACAGAGCCAGGCTTCATGTGTCAATAGAGTAAAATAGTCTTGACTGGTTTTTGACAAACCTTGTACATTTTCCTAGAATCCAGAATACACACTTCTCCAGTAATTTATGAAAATGTGAGTCTGATCACCAGTGAATCTCAATTCAAACAGGCATTATTGACTTCACTCACTCTCGTCCTCCTCAATTTGGCTTGGTTGGGTGGTCCAGACGGGCTCTGTAGTGGAAATAGGGAAGGGAGCAGCCGTAGTAGTGGGGGCCATGGGTGTAGTTGGTACAGTTGAGTCTGAGTCGCTCACACACATCTGCTCTTTTAGATCACAGGTGGTCCCGTGTGGACAACAGTGCATATGATCATCACAGCACACCGCCTTTAAGAAAAAACAACATTACTGGGATTCAGAGGACATTACAACATTATATAGGCCAATAAAGACTGAGGAGATGTGAGCCCAGTGGCCATAAATAATATAAGCAATAATTTTTAAAAAATATTGAAAATTGGTCAGTATAAATTTGGATCTCCTCTTTCCTGATGTGTCAAAATAAAATAAATATGGATAATAATATGAACTCACTTTTGGAGCAGGACAGCAGAGCCAGCTTCCCTTTCCGTCTGAGCAGCAGGTGGCGTCATCATCACAGGCAAAGCTTTTATCACACGTCGTATTAGAGACCTCCACCTTCAGACTGGAAACTTTATCTGAGAAGAAATTTAAATATTAAGTTATAAATGAATTATATAATCTCATAGGCTAAAAAAACAATATTAGCAATAAACTGGTATGACAAATTATACTTTTTGTTTTCTCTACTAAAACTATATAAGATATAAGATAAAAAAAAAGTTGCAATAAATGTAACTTGCTGATGCTCGTCTTCATGGAGTTGTTATAGCTTTGCCTGGAATGTTCCAGTATGGCATTAAACATATCTAATGTATCAAGTATTTATTCAATTACAGGTGTTTTTATTGGTTGAAAATACAATAAAATGTGCATTCTTAGTGTGAGCAAACTCATTTCTCCACAGATCTGACCTGTGTCCTGGCCTGTTGGCATCATACTGTATGTGCATTTATATACAGTCTGTGGTTGCCATCACCTACTTATATTCATGGTGACAGATAAATTTAATGCCATAATGTGGAACATTAGACTGAGGCAAACTTTACTGATACACAAGGGAAATAATTTGGACACAGTAGCTCATGAATCACAATATATTATAATAACAAAGTGAAAAATATAAAGGATAATATTAAATTCTAAACAAGCACAAATCACTATGGAGACAAGCAGCAGTACTTCCAAATTTTAAAATCTGAAAGAGAATGTCTTGTCTCATACATTTAGTATCATTTGGTGTGTGGGGCAGCCCTAGTGTGTACCTGTGACCGGTGATGCTGGTTTGGTTATGGTGGGCAGCTTGGTGTACCAGGGGATCTCCACTCCGTTTTTGGCACAAGATTTGTTGACGTGGTGACACAGGTAATGGTGAGGACAGCAGTGTTTTCCATCACGGCAGCAAACAGCCTGAAGCATAAGAGAGATATGGTTCAATATTTACTCATTACCGGTAAAATAATGTAAAATAATTTTCAATTAATTTTGACTTATACCCACACTGTATCAAAAATGGTACTAAACCTGGACTAGACTATGACTAAAGAAAGAAATAAAACAAAACCAAGTCCAAGCAAGTCTACATTAGAAATAAACAAGAATGGGTCCAGTCCTTTGTTTGTATCATGACTGTATAAATGGACATAGCTAACCTGCTAGGCGCCACGCTCCAAATAGGAAGTGAGCATGGCATGCTTTCAGCTCCATCAACTCCAATTCATTTTGTGTTGACAAAATGCCACTCCTCTCTCTGTAACTGCTGCTGTCAGGCTCCTCATTGTGGTCTTAAAATCTTTGTATTAGCCTGCTCTACATGATTCTGGGGTTTATTTCACTATTTATATTTGTCAGTAAAACAAGATTTGAACCTTAATAACAGAAAATCAGCATCACCTTCAACAGCCAGATTGGCTCTTTGATTGCTATAATACTCTAGCCAGGCTGGTGCCACCTAGTGCCTCCACTCAATTTCGTTTCTCTCCAATGACTAGGTCAGAAATCAGAATACACTAGACCAGACGGTTCGCAAAAACCCCAAAAGTGCGAGGTCGGGCACTGGCCAATCAGCGGAGTGCCATACATTCTGTGTATTCTCGAGATTGAGGATTTAAAGTCGGAACAAAGAGAATGTTTGGGGAATTTCATCAAGGGGAAAGATGTTATTGCCCTTCTTCCTACAGGATTTGGGAAAAGCTTAATATACCAGCAGTGTCGGGGAGTAACAGATTACATGTACCGGAGTTACATAATCAGAGTACAAATTATGAGTATTTAATTGTATTCAGTTACAGTTACTGTTTCAGTGAGTGGTAATTGGATTACATTTACTTTGTTAAAATAAGTGGATTACACGGCAGTATTTTCCTGTTTTCCCATTATTTTTTATTTTTATTTACTTTTTTTTGTTTTTTCCGATAATTCCACTCATTGCTGGAAATTAAACCAGGTCTAAACCAGGAGTAAAACCAGATCTAAACCAGGACTAAAACCAGGTCTAAACTAGATCTAAACCAGGACTAAAACCAGGTCTAAACCAGGTCTAAACCAGGACTAAACCAGGACTAAAACCAGGTCTAAACTAGATCTAAACCAGGACTAAACCAGGACTAAAACCAGGTCTAATCTAGATCTAAACCAGGACTAAAACCAGGACTAAAACTAGATCTAAACTAGATCTAAACCAGGATTAAAACCAGGTCTAAACTAGAGCTAAACTAGATCTAAACCAGGACTAAACCAGGACTAAAACTAAACAGATCTAAACAGACTAAACCAGGACTAAACCAGGTAAACTAGATCTAAACCAGGACTAAAACCAGGACTAAAACTAAAAACTAGATCTAAACCAGGACTAAAACCAGGTCTAAACTAGAGCTAAACTAGATCTAAACCAGGACTAAACCAGGACTAAAACCAGATCTAAACTAGATCTAAACCAGGTCTAAACCAGGACTAAACCAGGACTAAAACTAGGACTAAACTAGATCTAAACAGGGACTAAAACAGGACTAAACCAGGACTAAAACAGGATTTAACAGGATTTAACAGCACTAAACCATGCTGCGCGGACATGTCTCCTCCTCTTCTATCAATAATATTTTTAATAAGGTTAAGTATCCTCGTCTTTGCTTCTCTACAACAAACCAAGTAATCCAAAGTATTCAGATTACGCAACTCACTTTAAGTAATTTAATGGATTACATTACAATCTACATTTTGAGGTATGTAATCTGTAGGGGAATACATTTTAAAAGTAACCTTCCCAACACTGTATACCAATTAGGCCCGTTAGCGGCGCATTACATACGTCACTTCTTTATGCAGTCTGTGGTTTGTCTCTCTTTCTGGGTAAGACTTGGTTTAGTCCAGGTTTAATCATGGTTTATTCCCTTAACTTTTAAAACCTTGGTTAAATTTTGGTTTGTATATCATACCTTTTTCCTGGTCCAGTTGGTTTAGTTCTGATTTAGTACTTTTATAGGCCGACAAAGTGAGTGTAAAATGACTGTGCTCTGCTGTGAATGACTACATATGAGTGAGGATGTATTTAGAGCAGGACTCACCTTGGGCAGTGGACAGCAGCCCCATCGGCGGTGACCCAAGCGACAACAGGTGGAGTTTCTGGGGCAGGCGTGGCGTTTGCTACAGTGCTCTCTCCCCTCTTCATCATCTTCTTCTTCCTCCTCCTCCTCCTCTTCATCATCCTCCTCTTCCTTGCTCTCTGCCTGCTCTCCCTGCCCTGGTGCAGTGGTTTGGCTCTCCACTTGAGGGGCGGAGTTGGGGCCTGGGGAGGGGGTGCAGGTTTGTTGGGGTTTCAGGAGTGGAGTGGAGCCTGTGTCGCTCAGACACCGGACATGGCCCAGGTCACATTTGTACCCAGGAGGACAGCAGTGATAATGATTTCCACAGCACACCGCCTGTGAGAACAAACAATGTTGGTTAATCTGCTTTTCAGTTATTGGTGCTTTTCAGATTCTAGAATGGGGGCAAGAGGGGGCAGATTTCCCTATTAAGAACATTGTGCCATAAAATATCCAAAAGGTAAATTCATAAATCTTAGACCTGATAATTTCAGCTGTCTCCTATCTGTATTAAATATTATTGATCACTTTTCGATTTTCTGTCTGTTGGTTAAATGAACAATTTACAGAGTAATAATACAAAAATAAATTGTACCAACGACAGATAACAGTCACCACTGTGTTTTTAAGAATTGTTTTTATGAATCATTTGTGTAATATCAGCCTTGGAATTGCCAATCTCTACTGAACTACTGCTTCATGACATCACAAGGTGGAGCAGAGCATTCTGAATTTCGAGATGTTGACAGACATGTGTGAATGAAACAAAACACAACATTACAACACGTCTAAAAGCTCAGAAGAGTCTATTTTGCATCATATCATACTTATAAATGTTAAAATGAAACTTTTGCCTCAAAAAATTTAACAGAATTGTTCAGTGTGAAAATAAAATCAATGATAAACACAATAGCTTTAAATCTTTTACATTAAAACTATACATAAATGCATATTATTTACATTGGGAACTGGACAGCAGTTCCATCCACCATGTCCGTCTGAGCAGCAGGTGTTTTGATCGTGGCAAAAGGACTGAGAATCACATGAAACATTACAAGCTGGGTTTCCCCGGCTCACCGCACTCACTGGAAAACAAAGAGGCATATTATTACTACTATTATTACAGAGAAGATACTTACCACACCTGTTTATTCACTGTGAAAAGGATGCATGTTGCAGGATAAGTATTACTTAATCAGCAAATCATAAGACCAACTGTGGCATGAGTTACTATCAGATCAAGGAAACAGATCTTAAACCTGCAGATAAATTATGACACAACAATTCTTCAGAGTTATTGTTTTAGGACCAAGCCATAGACAAAGAGAGAGAGATACTTTAATGATCGAGAATTTCCTCAAGAAGATCTTCTGCCACATTTGCTGCCTGTAATGTTACTCAAGTAGGAGTACAAAGTGGCAGTTCAAGAAATTAGGGAGAAACTACTAGTCAAGCAACTGAGTAACTGAAGAAGCAACTGTTGAGACATAACATCTGATTTATGATTTAAAGTTAATGTAATTGTAAAGGATATAATATTCAGCAATGCACAAATCTGTTATTTTCAAAGGATAGACTACATAAATTAGAAAAAACAAAACTGTTTGGCTCTTAAAACCTGCTATAGAAATGATACATTAAAGAAAACATATTGTGCTTGTGTCTGCTATAGTTATAATCTATGACATCTGTGGATCATTGTGTTATAATTTGCACATTTTAAACATTGAAAAAAAAACAAATCCGCTGACTTGTTAGAAAACTGTGATGCTCAGTGGGAGATGATGTCACATAAAAGTCATCACAACATAGACCCTCCTATGGATAGCTGCGCATCATGCTAACAAGCTGCAAACTTTTTTTTTCATTTGTGCCAAAATTACTAGGTGAACCTGCCAAATCCTACTTGTATCAAGAAAATAAAACTGAAGAACAAAATACTAGTATGTACAAAGCAGTGGGCAAGTACCGGTGGTGATGAAAATGAGAACTGATTAGCAATATAGTGTCTTGAAAATAAGAGATTAAAGAAGAGTAACAGCTCTAAAAATTTGATTTTGCCTAATAGGTGTACTTAAGTAGGCTGTAATCGTGTAGAACTGTATTGCAATTTGTACCTGTGTTCAGAAAGTCAAATTTGTCCTGCTTTTTGTCAGCTGAAGTCTCTGAATTCACATGCTGCTCTTCTAAAACAGACAAACAAACAGACCAGTTAAACTCAGGAGGAAGTAGCTTAGTTTGGCAAATGTGGTAACATGTTTTGAATGCCACCTTTCTGGTTCTCCCACTCGGCTCTTCTCCGGGCTGGGAACTTGGCCCACATAGGCAGCTCCTTTTTGGTTGTCACGGATACGCACTTTGAGTTTTGGAGATCGCACAGGCTTCCTTCTGGGCAGCAGTGGGTCTTGTCATCACAGCACACAGCCTGGTAAGACAATGGAGAGATATTGTTTAGTGAGTGATAAAAGATAATCAAGTAATACAGTGTGTGCAATAGTTTTGGATTTGAAGACTTTAAAAACGTTTGATTCTTAAAGATGCACTGTGTAACTTTTCCAGTGGAGGGTATGCCACTTGCTTATACTATTACTTTGCCTATGAATGTTGCACAGTATTGGATTAAACCTATCCATCTATATTCATGTATTTACAAGTGTTTTTATTGTTCAAAAATACCTTAAAAAACATGCATTCTTATTGTGAGGGGGCACTCCTCTACACAGATTTGACCTGTAACTTGGTCTGGTGGAGTCACCTGGTACCTGCTTGTCTCCACGGAAATAGAGAAGTTTAATGCCTTACAGCAGAACATTGCAGGCAAAGCAATAACATCTCCATAGAGACTGCAAGTGGCAGACACACCATGAAAGTTACATAATGCACCTTTGATATATATGTCTACTCCTGCACATCTGTGAATATGGCATAATGAAGTTTTAGATTTTGTAAAAAAAAATATATATAAATACACTAAATAGCAATTAAAATGCAAAAATAAATAAATAAATAAATAAGTAAATAAAAAATAAAATAAAATAAAGAAAAAGAAAAAAACAAGAATACAAATAAATAAAAAACATAACACAGGTACCCGAGTCATGGGGCAGCAGCCAAACTCTCCGTCAGACCCCTCACAGCAGCTGGACTCAGCCGGACACTCAGAGACTCCATCACTGCACAGGACGGCAGGGGACTCAGCTGAAACAAAAATCAGTCAGATAAAAAATAATAATAACACAAAATAGTCTTTTCATAAATAGACAATTTGTTATGATATATGAAAACTAACTGCCTTAAATGTTCCAGAGCATCGCAGTAAACTTAACTACCGTGCATTTAGCCTAGTAAGGTATTTTTATTGTGAAAACACACATTACAAACCTAATGTATGTCTATGCCTACCCATTTATATTGTGAGTGGGCTCACCTCTGCACACACCTTGTTAGTTAGAAAAAAAGCCAAACTTGGTTGGCAGGTTTATTTCATGCATACTCCCAGTCACACACACACACAGAGTAATTTTGATCTACTTGTAAATTTTAGATGCTATAATAGCGTGTACTTATTTTCAAGATATGTTTTGTTGTTAAAAGTATCACCTTTCTTGATACAGGAGCGGCTGTCTTCACTGCAGCTATGACCCTCAGGACAGCAGTGCTTTCCATCGGAGCAGGGAATTCCCTAAAGCACAAAAGAAAACAAAAAAAAGTACATAAAAAGTACCGGACTCTTATCATGATTTAAAACACAAGGTGAGATTAAGACTGCAGGAAGTGACCAGCCACCGAAAACCTGAAAGTCTAGTTTAAAGATTAACATAAAATAATGGAGAAGTGAAGCTGACGGGTCACTTCTCATAATGGACCTAGAAAACTGCAGTTGTCACAAAAGTGGTTACTGGTTTGGCTTGAATAACTTTAAAATATAACAGAAATAGATTAATGTCTTCTAATAACTGATGAGCTCCTGAATGTTTAACTTTCTCTCTGACACAGTGAAGTGCTCCACCCCAACTCTGTAATGTTATGTCAGAGAAATATGAGAAATATGCATGAACAAAACAATTGTAGTGTATCTGTCTGAATTTAACTACTTCTTATTCTCAGAAATGTTCCATAATATGACATTTAACTTTTCTATCTCCATGGCAATGAGCAGGGGACACTGCCAGAATAAGTGACAGATCGGCTCTGTAGCGAGGCAAGCCCACTCAATGTATGAATGCCTGTTTTAATTTTAATGCCATACTACTTACAGGCAAAGGAATAGCATATACTAGTACATGGATACAAGCTGTGGGCAATCCTGTTTTCTAATAAGTATCTTGCTCAAGAACAGTGCTCTTTGGGTGAGAATTCAACCAGCAAGCATCTGATTATGGAGCAAAGCAGTCAACAACTAATTTCTCCTTTCACTACATCCATATATGCCATTTTTGGTCTTCCAGATAACTAACTTCTAACCTCAGCATCCTTCTGCCCCTATATTCACTCTACCTCCTCTACTACTACTTCTACTACAACTGTAAATGGTTATGTAGTCTTCATTGTGTTGGATTACCTGAGCCAGTGGACAGCACGCATATTTCGTCAAAGCCCTCAGACAGGAAAACTCAGCAGGGCACCGTGATTGGTCAGGACAGATGTTGTCAGCATCCTCTCCGATGTACGACTTGATCATTCTGAAAGACTGTGAAACGGCAGATATTAGAAAACGCAGAGAGAATAGAATAGAGCAATAGTGGATGGACTACATGCCTTTAAAGAAGAAATATTGTGCTTGTGTCTGTTATATTATTATCATGTTATAATCTATGACACTCTACCATTATGCTATAATCAAATTGCAATACTCGTTTAAAACAAATTAATAAAAGACAAGTCCACTGATTTCAGGGTTAGAAAACTGCATTGCCCAATGGAAGCTGAGTCGCCGTAAACATCATAATATCTTAGTGCCACATGCTGTAGCCCCCCCCCCCCCACACACACACACACAATGCTGCTGAACTGATTAAGAACACTAAATTGGAGAAAGAAGTAAGTACAGTGAGTGTATGCTGGTAGCGGTGAAAATGAGGGTTGATCGCAATGAGTGATTTAAGATTGTTCAAACATGCACAAATCACAACAAATACAACTTCGAGAGGGTAAATGATAAGGGGAATTTTGCATAATTAAAGCATAAAGTAAGCATATTATAAATGCTTTATTGAAACATACATAAAAAATAGTTTGATGAGAACTTTATTGACCAACAGCACTAGGACCTTCAAGGCATTGTGAGAGTATTATGTATTCCAGTCTAGTCCAGTCTAGTCTGGTCACAGTCTGGGCTCAGTCGAGTCTACACTAGTACTATACATCTCATGATGTAAGCCAAGATTATAAGGACTAAACTGACAGTGTGGAGCTGGCACAACCCAGAAATGCATTTTTAAAAAAATCAATACTATTATAGTGTGTGTGTTATAATGGTTGAAAGTATTAGAGGTAGTGAGAGGTAACAAGAATCTCTTATATATATATATAAAAAAAAAAAAAAGCTTTCAAAATGACTTTCTCTAAAACTACATCCTCCTACTGCCAGATTAGTTGCAATACCCTAAATAGCAGTATATCCATAGGAGCAAGCAGTAGTATTAATAATTACTAATGTACAACTCATATGATCTGAAATACTCTATGTACTGGTCAGGGTTATTGTGTTTCCCACATATTTCCACATTTTCCCACATATTTTCCGTCACCTGCTTGTTTCTTTGTGTCATTTCTCTGCCTGGAATGTTTCACAGTATGAAACAGCTCTATCTTACATTTATTCAGTGGTGAGCCATCAGGGCCTGCAAAAAATATCTGAATCACAGACTGATGTTAATGATATATTTTTTTATAATTCCAAATGGTCTGTCCACTTCCTTTCAGAGCTTCTCCAATGGCTGCGCTGCTTCCAGACATGTGTTTTCATATTAAAGCATTTGACCAATCACATTTTAGTCATCACTTGTTGCCAGGCAGGGTCAAAATCAAAAAAGACTGCCAGAGGCCTTCACAATCTATTATGCAGGCCCTTGAACACAAAATAAATATCGATGAAACTGTTGCTTCAACCTATCAGATTTTGACTTGGTGTCACCAGGGCCTTCTAGCAGGCGTACGACAATTTCACCTTATTCAGACCTGTTGATTGGACAGTCAACAGGTCTGAATAAGATAAGGACTAATCTTGGACACGCAGTTCTGGTTTAGTTCTGGTTTAGTTCTGGTTTTGTCCTTGTTTAGACCTGTTTTAATCTTGGTTCAGTCCTGGTTCAGTCCTGGACCCTCATGTGGCAGGTCACTATAGGACAGTACTATAGATATCATGAGCCTATGCAGGTAGTTTTAACCACTGCCAGTAGATCCAGTTTAACATTTAAATTGTAGGCTATTTTATATTTGTTATTTTTTTTTAATCTCACGTTGGGGGAAGTGGGTGGACGTACCCCCACGTACCACCCTCAATACACCCCTGATTGTGGCTACAGGAGTTATCTGTGCAATGGTTCTTTATCTATGCAACGGCTCTTTATACTGTATTTCTGTATAATAAGATGGCTTTCAGTACTATTTTGTCTACTGTTATGCCTTAGATAGTAACTAAAAAAACAGCACTTGTGGTAGTAGCAATAGTAGTATTTTAGGTAGTTAAAGCAGTAGGAGCAGTGACAAAAGCAAATGTAGTTCCTTCTACTTTAATACCAGTAATAATCATAAGTGTTGGCACAGGAACTGGTAAAACTGCTTTTCGATACTAGCATCCTCATATCATACTGGAAACTAAAAGAACTGGTTCCCACAGATCAGTTTAAATGAAGGATTAAATTAAAGGTTTGGAGTTGAGAGCTATGGTTTGATACAAAGTCTTGTGATTGTCTAAAAACATGTTGAGGTTAGTGTTCTCAGAGATTAAAGAGAGGGTATTTTACTTCTGTGGGGTATTATACTAACACACGGCATATTTAGATCACCATGTTACTTTTTGAAAATGATATATTTGTCAAAAACAACGTATTATCATGTTTTATACATTTCTCTTTCCTGCTAATGAAACTACTGCACATCGCATCAGGTTTGTGAAGTATCATGTTTTTGTATATTTATGGAGAATTGTCATGTGGGAGCATGGATTTCTGAAACAAGCACTATGTAACTTTTATGGCAGGGTCTGCCACCTACTTGTCGCAATTGCACATGACATTAAACATCTAGCAGTCATTTATTGTTTTTATTGCTTATACCTTGAAAACTTGCATTCTTACTGTAAGCGGGGTTGCCTCTCCACAGATCTGACCTGTAAATCTGACCTGCTGTGTCACTTGCTTGTTTTCATGGAGATAGATAAATTAATGTCATACTGTGAAGCTTTCTCGGCAAAGCAATGACAATCAGTTGGCAGACCCTCTACCACTTAAGTTACATAGTAACTATATATTAGTTAAATCCTTACATTGGAAAGTCCAGGTTGCCAGGTAGAAGTCCTTTCAGCCCACGGCACAGACAGAGAGGCGTTCACACATTTGGACTGGTCCTTTTCACACGTCATTCCAGTGGGACAGCAGTGCACGTGATCTCCGCAACATTCAGCCTATAGGAAATGGAGGAGAGGAATTTGACTAGTAAAATACTTATCAAGAAATTTGTACTTATATCTATGTAAGCCCATAAAGCAGTCAAGTGTACTAGTGTTGAGTAGCAGAGTTTATGAAGCCTATCTTTGGTATGTTTGGTTAGTAATACTACTGTAAAACCATAAAGGAAGAAGTACCAGGGCAATTTATCTACACATATTTGAAGTTGCGAGTAGTTCAGTGGACATATTTCAATTCTAAACCTACAATGTATCCAGTGTTTCTCTGGTGGCACAGTTATTATTTAATTTAATCATTTATTTATTTTTTGAGTGGAACACTTCCTGTATCACCACATGACATCACAAGGTGGACAGAGTGTTTTATGTTTGTGAGAAGAACTATTGTGTTAAATATGTGTGAATGAAACAAAACATGACTCTGGGTATGTTTTTGATAAGGAAACAACATTATAACATAGATCAGAAAATCGAGTGATATGGACCCTTTAACAGAGATCTGGACAGGTGATATTAATATTATTTGTTGTAATACAGTGAAGTTTAGGGTCTAATCATTAATAGATTTAATTATTTAATATCTTGTTAACTTGCGTGTAAAATCATAAGAGAGTTGAATGTAAACATCTGTATCTTGGTCTCTTGTAGTAATAGGAAAGGTGTTTTAATAATGAATTAAACAGGTAGATAATTTGCAAAATATATTGTCTGTATTTTAATTGCTTTGGGCCCCATTTATAGGTCAAGGCCAGCTTCAGGGGTGTCCCATTTACACAATGTATTTGTTAAATTATGCTTAATAGTCTTTACTGTGTATTTTTGTAATTTTGTAATAAATAAATAAATTCATTAATAAAAATGTATAAATAAATTGAAACTATCAAGTTTAATGTGAATTTCTCATGGCAAAGTACAATGTAATCAGTAGGGAAATATGTCTCTTGCCGCCATCTGAAAGTATGACATCAGCTCATATTACAATCTGAAAACTGTCAACTCTTATATGTGTTTGTGTCATAGATTGTATATAGTGAACAAAAATGAACAAAATAGCAAAATAAAAACTCCAGGATCATGTAGAGCAGGTTAATATGAATATTTTATGACCAAAATGAAGATGCTCAAAGTAGTAGTTACAGAGAGAGGGGTGACAGTTTTTCAGTGTAAAAGGAGTCGATGGAGCCGGAAGTGCCCCCATACTCACTTCATATTTAGAACGCAGCAGCTGGCATGATAGCTACAGTATGTTCATTTATATATACAGTCTGTGGTTCATGTTGATATAATATGCGTATGTTGGTACCTTATCAAAAGGGCAGCACTCGTATCCGTTGGTTGGGTGTTTGCAGCAGGTTTGACCCTCTCCACAGTGACCACCACTTGGACACTCGTCAGCCCAGACCCCACACACGAGAAGAGCCACGAAACAGGTCACAACCCACCTCAGCATCTGCAATACAATACAAACAGGTAAAAGAGGTGAGGTCCATTGAGTACACCTGTCCTCGATTTCACAATTTTACAAGTAAGTTTATCACATATATTTAAAGCCATTGTATGTGAACTTTTAGTAAAAACAGAATTAAGCAATGATTTTTTTAAATAGTTTTTTATATTCCACTGAAAACTTCACAAAAGATCTCCACAAACCTGACTCTTATTTAATGAGGAAGAGAGTCTCAAGTTCTTGTTTTCACAGAAGTTGTTCCTTTGGCTAAAATTGTCTGCAGCTGCAAACTCTGTCTACATGGAGAATATTCTGACGTATGATTTTAAGTTCCTACTTCCATGATCGTGCAGTCAACTAGTGATGAGTAGTAGAGTTTATGAAGGGGATCTTGGGTTTGGTTAGTGAAAGTACTTAAAGGAAGTAGTACCAGGCCAATTTGTTGATACATATTTGACCATTTTGCGTGCGCAGACTTTATATAGACCCTAAAAAATTATCTCCCTGCGTTTGACCCATCATTTGAGAACTGCTGCTACATGCATTCACACACATTCATACATCAGTATACAAAAACACAGGGGACAATGTGGTTTAAGTGTTTTGCCCAAGGACGCAATGACAGCATTCATCTGTTGGAGCTGGATTTGCACTCTCATCCACCTATAGCTCTAAAATCAGTATCTAACCATTTATTATTATTTTTCTCTATTGGAAATTTTTTATCACCAAAACTCTGCCTGATGGACTTCCTGGTATTATCCATCCTCGTGATAATCAAATAAACTTCATACCTCCGTTTCAAAACCATTGCAGTTTCAGGTGACATCACAGCATTCTTTTTAAAGGTTCATTATTATGTGTTATATGTTTTACAGTAAATTAACTCTTGTGAACTTGTTATAATGTTGTTACTTCCTCAAAAACAGACTTGGAGTTGCGTTTTGTTTCATTCAGACATGTTTGAGTAATCCTTTTTATTATTACTCGGTCTGCGTCCCTAAAGCTCAAAATGCTCCATTGCACCTTGTACCAAGTGGTAGTTTGCAAGTTAGCATCTACCCTTTATCTTTTGTCCAGTAAAGACTGTCAATTCCAAGACTGAAATCATCCAAATGATTCTAGTGAAGGTGTAGGGGTTTAAAAACACAGTGGAGCACTTCCTGTATTACCACATGACATCACAAGGTGGAGTATTTTCTGTTTGTGAAAAGAGCTCTGCCTAAATATGTAGGGTGTGTATGTTAATTCATTTTAACTGTTAATTTTAACTGTTGCAAGTGATTCAGTCCTATTTAATTGTAATAATATAAATTTGAGTAATTTTATCACATATATTTTAAGCCACTGCGTGTTAGGAAAAATAGAATTAAGCAATGATTTTTATTGATTGTTTCTATTCCACTGAACACTTCGACAAGCCACAAACCCTTATTTACAAGCCATAAACTTTAATGTGGAGGAGAGTCTCACTTCTTGTTTCAATAGAAATGTTGTTGCTTTTTTTGTCTAAAACTTCCCCAGTCTGGCAAACTTCGGTCTCCATGGAGAATATTCTGAAGCCTGGTTTAAACTTTCTATTACCATGAACTCATGCAAGTGTTGTGCCACCTCCACAAAGTCATACAACACTTTAATTAATGGAGTATAATATAACCTTTATTTAATTGCTAAGCAGTTTTGAACAAGAACAAGAGTACACTTACATTTTGTTTAATATTGTTTAATATCTGTTTAATATTGTTAGAGTAAAATGGTTGGTCTTGTAAATAACTGTGACATAATGTATTTATATGAATATATTTCTGTTTTTTACATATACACATTTATATAATTATGCCTATTGACACCAGTCTCTTGCTGTTTTTTATTTCCATTTATTTAGAATTATTATTACCATTTTTTTTTATGTTGTTTTACTCTTGTTATTGTAATATAATGGGATGTGTGAGCTACTGCGTCCATGTAATTTCCCTGGTGGATCAATAAAATCTAAGTCTAAAACTATTACAAAACGTTGTTACAGTTACTTATTTAAATGAACAATTTTACACACTGGAATTGTATGATTTATTTTCATTTTTTGTTAAAGTTTTTATTTTTCAGCAGACAGTAGTTCACTCTTTGCTCCTACTGTTTCATACAGGCATTGTGTTGATGGGCAAGACATCTGAAGCATCAGTCTTCCAATGCCCTCTTTAAAAGGCTGAATGATTGACTCTTTGTTTCAGCCATTAGAAATCTGAAGTCGCAAAATGCCATATCAATGTAACTGAGCCAAAATGTTTAGAAGCAAAGACTTAAAAATATTACTTTCACTTTCTATCCTGTATCCATGTTAAAATGAAAACAGAACCATAGCTCACAAAACAAGTTAACTACAAGCTAATAATCAGGTCTTTGAAGTTGCAGGTCTATAGTTGTAGCTGAAAATGCTAAAATTCTTACCTTGGAGAAGAGTAGAGAGCTGCTGTGACCAACGTTGATGCTTCAGGTGTTAATGTTTCGCAGCAGACAAATCCAAAAGGAACAGTGCTGAAGCCACGCCCCCTTCTGTAAAACAAGGAAGATATTCAAAGTTATGCATATTCTTATTCTTGATATCAGATTACGTCAAAGCACCTAGCGTTGAATTGACTTTGTGACCTTTAAGCCATGTTAGACTGTTGCTACTTCCTCAAAAACATACCTGGAGTTGTGTTTTGTTTCATTTGTATGTTTGAGTAATCCTTTATTATTAGTCTGTCTACATCTCCATAGCTCATAATGCTCTATTCCACCTTGTCATGTAGTGGTAGTTTTCAAGTTAAGAACTACCTTTTTATCTTTTGTTTAGCAGAGATTCCACTGCAGAAATTATTTTATTGAAAGTGCATGCTGAAATGTCTGTATAAATGGATATTAAATTACATGATTGTATTTTATTTTATTTTATTTTTACGATTTTGTGTCTCACATTTTACTCTACTTCTTCGGCGTGATAGTTTATCTTTAACTGCCTGTTTTTTTGTAATATCCTGCTATTCTCTAACTTTGAGTTGCAACATTGTAATTTTCCAATTGCAGGCCACAGTCTAAAAGGTGCATTGCAATTTAATTTAAAAATGTTTGTACCCTCATTTTAGGTGTAAATTAATGGCAGTTAATGGAAGAGTTTTAGCTTTGAACTCATTTGAAAAGGTGACACATCCCTCAGTCAGTTTGGTCTGCACCCGGGATTGCCCCATTGTAAGATAAATGAAGATTCACTTCTATAGATTATCCATAGATGTGTGGATCGGGGATCATTTAAAATATTAGAATATCATTTTCTGTTTGTCTCTGAGAATTTAGGAAGTTCAATGAAATGGCATTGCATTTTATTGTTGTCTTTGGCAAGGCACTTTTTGTATGGTTGGCTTCACAGAACAATAATATACTTAAAGTGTATGCAACATAATCGCCACCCTATCATTCTAATCATTCATCAATCATGTAGGTGACGTGTTTATTTAAATTAAATGGAAAAAAATGCGACACCCACCGGATTAATAGAGAGACTACAGCAATCATCCGTGGGTTTCTACCATGGGGAAGTATTGGATTTCACTCCAAAAGAAAGTTCGTCCAGCCTTTGGTCAAACTTAAAGCTCGCCCCGTTTGTTTTTGTTTTGCGAGAAATTCCCATGTAAGTCACGTATACAGAATAAATACGAACTGAACGCACGAGCTAAACTATGTAAAGCGGATGCCTCAAAACACAAATAAGATATTATTTTATAAAACGTGGGGCGATCCACGTGCCTAACCCATAGAGTCTAGACTGTATATATACAGTTATTATACAGTACTTGCACAGTCTATGGCCTGACCGGACTAATTTACCTTAATGTGCAGTCATGTCACTATCAAAATTATGCCCAAAGCACAGGAATATTGAACCAAAACCAAAGTCTCTCACGTGACTTCATAATGCAGAAGCTATTTTACATCTCCTGCGGATATTCAATTTTAGAAACCTACATAACCAACATTTGCGTGCCCTTGTGGCCCATCACCAGCAGTGGGCGCCTGAGAATCACCGTTGTCCTTACATGGTCCTTACCTGTCAGCTGGTGCAGATATATAAATCATCAGCCATGCCTCCTCCATTAGCATTAGCCGCTCCATACTGTTTACACATCTGCGTTAACTCCGAGCACCCTTGAGCCTGATCCAAAAACATGTTTACGGGTTATCAACACAATGAACAACCCGAGGAACCTGTGGCATCGGAGAGGGAGTTGACTTTTTCGTGTAACTCCCGCTGCCTTGCTCCATTTCAGACTTGAAATGGAAGCTTTTTGTGAAGAACTGCAGCTAAAGCTAAAGTAGCGGTGAGTAGCATAACAACATTCGCTCGCTTGATGTCAAAACGCTAGCTAGCCCTCGTGTGCTAATCTGCTGCAGTGTGATCGATGACATTTTCTACCAAATTAAGCCATAATTCAATTAATTTACAGTATTTGCACAATATTTAAGTATATATCTTTCATAATTTGTCATTTATTTTTGCGCTTAATCTTTAGCTATCTGAAACTTAACAAAAGGTACAAAGTGTACCGTGCAATATAAGCTTAAATCGTAGCCATGACAAGGTTGCTGGTGACATATGTTTCAGTTCTGTCTTTTGCTCGCAACATCAAATTATTTGTGAACGACAGCAAACTGACAAAACTTAGTAATTGTTACGTGTTTGCCGCAGTGGAGACTCCCTGCTGCTGCAACGCAAGAGAGGTCAGCACAAAATTGCAATACGTCACGCATTGTGCAGCATTTTTGGCTGTATAATTGCATAATAATATAAATGTATTTAACAATTGTTTTATAATAATTTCTGAAGCTTGAAATAATTGCTTCACTTGTATTAAATTTCTAGTTGGTCAGTAACAAAACATGTACTGGTATTGAGAAAGTAGGATGCCTAACCCAAATAATTTCTCCTAATTTTACTTCCTGTGCGGTTTAATGTTAATTGTTATTAGTCTGTATTGTATAATAGTATATGCTATATACTATATACTATATACTATACTTTAATAACAGATAACTCACTTTTGAATATCTGAAGCCTATTTGCATTTTTGTTATCATGCAAACTGAATAATTTACGGTTACAGTCAGTTTCCATTGCAATGCGTTATGGATTTTTTTTTTCAAATTCTATTCATTTTTAAAACTTAACATTCATGTCTATTTGGGGTTAAAAGGACCATGATCTTTTTCTGAAGTAGTCATCTGTTTTTGAGGGCATCTTACTGCTTGAGCAGCTTGAAGAAGCCATGGACTTAGTAAATGCTCTAATTCAGGACAGGTTTAGTGACCTTTTCAAGAACAAATATTGTATTATTTGAACAACATGTGTATATTTAGTTTATTTTATATATGCTGTGAAATTGAGATGACAATTATTGACAAAAATATTTAATATAAACCAAAGAAAAGTTTATTCAGATTGTATATGGTTTGAAGCAGGGTTCAGACTTTAGAGGAAGAAATTTGGTAGTTTGGTAATTGGCAATGATTGTAAGTCTGTATGTTCTTTAGCAGACATTTTATCCGTTTTAATTAGACAAAAAGGAAAAAAAATAATAACTGTGGTCGGTCAGTCTGAGGAACAAAAAATAATTGCTGTCTGGCTTCACCCACAGGTTCTACATATTTAGCAGTTTAAAATAGTGGTGCTTTCATCAATGTCCCAAATGATTTATGAATTTATTTAAACATCATTAACAACCAGCCCTATTTCTTTTTCTCCCTCCCTCAATTCAAATGTTTATCAGTACCCATGTGTACCCAGCCCTGGTTTAGGAGAATATGCCTCTGGTGTGTGCGATTGGACTTATGCACTTTACAGATAAGCTAATGTAACACAGTTTACACAACTCCGCCTTTCCCTCCATCAGTTTTCACATATGCACATCAAACAGCCTCATCACTGCAGCTTTCACTTATAATTACATGGGTGAATTAACAGCTTTTGAACTATGTCATTAGTATATTATTCTATACACTTGTTTTAAGGTGACACTGGTGCTGGTCTAAAGTTACTAACAAAGCCTTAAGTGTGTTAGGTCAGAAGTGACACGATCTAGTCTAACCCTTCCCTTTAATGACAGAGCTGGAGAGAGAGATCCCCTGAGTGATGTCACGTTTTTGCAGGTGTCGAGGTTGCCAGGTTGCAGGAAGAAGGATGTATTTGATGTGATGTGTTTTTGTCGCCAGTTTGGAGGAGGCTAGCAGGATTAATTGTTGTACGAAGGTGACACAAAACTGCTTAAACTACATAACTGGAGTGTTCACGATTTGCTTGTCTCCATGGAGATGTTATTGCTTTTAACTGAAATGTTCCACAGTATGGCCGTAAACCTTCATGGAGAGAAGCAAGTGACCAAATTAGGCCAATTTACAAGCACGTCAGATCTGTAGAAAGACTGGACGCTTTGCCCAGAGATGGAACAACAATTCAGATTTTTCCCATGTGTGATGTTTTTGTGGTGTTTCTCATGTTGCCAGGTTGGTGCTAGTGTGAGTTGTTGATGTGTAGTTGTCTGGTTGGGATGTGAGTAGTGCAGGTTATATTTTATGTAAGAAGTGAGTCAGGTGACACCCTAAACCTCATCTTTACCGACAGATGCATTGCAGAGAGGAACCTGAATGATGTAATGTTTTGACATGTTGCCAGTTTAGGTGATTTAGTTTAAGCAGATAGGAGGGTGTTGTTGCTTTTTTGTGTTGCAGAATGATGCTGTGTTGTTATTGTTGTCAGGTTGGAGGTGACTAGTGCAGTTTATATTTTATGTAAGAAGTGCCACCATAAACTGCAGGCCAGAAAGGAACCTAAATGATGTGATGTTTTGGTAGTTTTTTGACATGTTGCCAGGTTGATGGTAGTTTAAGTAAACAGGAGGATGATGTTCTTGTTTTGTTGGGGTTGCCAGGTTGGAGGCGGTGGGAGAGGCTGGAGGAGAAGGTTGAACAGAAGGAAACATCAGGCAGAAGATGGTAAAGATGGCAGACCGCTCGGCTCCACCTGCAGCTCCCATCTCCCCAGTGCAGCAGATGCTGGCCTCTGGCACTGGAGCCCTCCTCACCTCCATCATGGGTAAGATCGTTTTAGAATTTTCTACAGACCAATTTAACTGGAAACAGGTTCCGATTAAAATGATGATAATAGAATAAATAAAGTGCAGTTTAGTCTTGTTTATTCATTATGTTTGCAGTAGTTTAGGCAGTGGGCAGATTACCAAAATATGGATAATAATGTGAATGTTGTTCTGAAGACATGCAATTCTGAATAAGTGTATTGTTTATAGTAAAAATGCTGTAAAAAAGAGTTGATAAAAAATGAAAATGGAAGAAACCTTATATTTTAAGCCTCCAAGTAAGAATACATAGTGAGTTTGCTGCACTTTAAGTCAAGTTTACTTTATTTGTCTGATACTTGAACCTCAGCTAAAAGATTTAAAGACATGTTTTAGCACATTTCTTACTGGGATTATCCTGCTTTGTGTCAGTGTATAAAGTAGGCTATATTATATATATTATTGTGTATTGCAGTATACGGCTCTCTTTGGCTATATATATCGTACTTCAAAATTTGTAATCTATAATGTTGTTCAGTAACACTTTTCTTTGTGTTTTGTTTGTCAGTCACACCGCTGGACGTTGTGAAGATCCGCCTTCAGGCCCAGCAGACACCCTTCCACAAAGGTAAACAACATTTAGTTTTTGCTGCTGTCTGTGTTTGACCTAACCTCTAACAAAAGCTCCATTTGTGCCTCTTCAAAGCTGCCATTAAGAATCACTTTTATCAAATGTTATGCTAGTTGGTCAGCTACTATATTGTGTAAAACGTATTGAGTTTCTGGAGGTTTTTTATAATCAAAAAATAATTATAGTTGTGTTTTATTGCATTTGCACGTTTCAATAACCTCCAGCACTCAGATCCTCTTCTAGAAAAGGTTATAGTTTAAAATGGCTCCATAAACTGTTCACACACTCTCTCGAGACTAATTTGGATTTGAATTTCTGAGAACAAAGTGCCTGCCTTTCACTTCTGCTTTTCACGCACGTTACCAGTCTAAACTTTCTAGCAGGCCAGTCACAATAATTTCTATATTGATTTATTATATATGACAGATGGAACAATCGTTTTTGGGGGTCAGTATTAATCTCAAGTAATTTCTTTGTACTTTTGGTTCATATCTTTGCAATTTTTGTGTGTAATATAAGATTTTAGACTGGTACTGTACTTCTAGTATATCAGCATGAATACTAAAGATTACTTAAATGTACAAAACTAGCTTTAAAGACCAAGATTATGCTTAAAAATGACCCCTAATAGCAAGTCTTTATGCTTTTTTATTTTTGATCTCACCCATGGACTAGACATATCTCAAATATAACACTCTCTCCCTTCCCCCAGCGTCAAACCAAAACCACATGGACTGTCTTAAAACATACATGAACGTGTGGCTGTACAGTTTTTCTCAATATGTAGGTCAAAAGTTCAAGAGGGAGTTCTGTTTCTACATGTGTGTAGAAACATGCGCCACAAAGACTTTATTGTTGTCTCACCTTCGTTATCAACACTGGCCTCAGTCACAGGTCTGTTATGATAAGAAATTTGAAGCATAAAAATTAAAACAATATAACAATAAACTGTAATATTTAACCTAATTTATTCCACTGACACAGTAACAACTAGAAAAGCACTCAGAGAGCGCAGACCTCCACCAAGGACTACCCCCATTTTTTATATAAATTGCGATAAAATCAGTCTTGTGGATCAGATCCGGATCAGCCTTTGGAATATGAAAGAGGATCCCATTGTCCATCCCTGAGTCAAATTTCATGGGGTTTGGTCAATAATTAACCGAGATATAGAGAAACAAAATTTTTGGCCCCATTTACCACAATGTTAACTAAAATTTCAAAGTGATCCAGAATCCAGGATTTCTTCCGGATCACCCCCAAAATGAAATCAGTTCTTCCTTTTCACATTTCCAACAAATCCTGAAAATTTCATCAAAATCGGTCCATAACTTTTTGAGTTATGTTGCTAACAGACAAACAAACAAACAAACAGACAAACAAACACACAAACAGTCAAACGCCGGCAAAAACATAACCTCCTTCGCGAAGGTAATAATGCAAGATAAACCCAGCAAAAATAAATTTTATATTACAAAATGAAGCAATAATTATCCATAGAAGTTACTTATTCAACCCTCTACAACTCAAATGTTGTCATAGTACAACTTAATTAATTAAAATCTCTCCAATATTGCAAAAAAATAAAATAAAAAAATGTACACACGATAAATAAATCAAATAAAGGAACATCTTGAGTTGTGCAGTAATGGTTTCCTTTTTTATTTTTTGATTCAGTTTGACATCTTGTAGCTAAATTTTCTATTTAAAGGTGAACTATAAAAGTTTTCTGTTGGTGAATCCATTACCTGCGTGTCACCGTGGAGATAGATAAGTTTAATGCTATGCTGTGGAACATGCATGGCCAAATAATATCATCTCCATGAAAATTGGTTATGGTCAAGTACTCATTTATAGTTGCCTTGTGATTTTAATTGATCTTCTGGGGAGACATATTTGCATTTATGGGCAAAATAATGGGGATTATGCAATGACTGGACTGTGCAATATTATGGGCTGTGCAATGATGAGAACTGTGCAATGAATGGAGTGTGTAATATTTTATTGTTTGGCACCCTGTCACCCCGGCCCTTTGGAACAACAGATGGAAATTAACCTTAGGCTACAATCTGGTGTGTTTACATTCATGCTTTGTCATGTTTGTCCCTTAACATGCTCTGTCACAATCAAATGAAAAAAAAAAAAAAGCAGGTGACACAAAAGTTGCATAGTAAACCTTTATCATAGGTCCTCATCATATTCTACAGCTATAAAATGCATTATACTAATATTATAGCTTTACTGACACTGCTGTGTGCTGTTTGCTTTGTCTCAGCTTCAGCCTCAGACTCCGCCGCGTGGGGCCGAGTCCTTCGTCCGTCCAAGTGTGAGTATCTGAAAACATAAAATAAACAAAACAAAATGGCTGCTTCACTTTGCCTTTGCCTCTGTGTGAAACTAACTCAAGATTTAGTCCAGATATTTTACTATATTTAGTCCAGTGTAGAGGTGGGAAAGATATAATTTGCCACCCTTTTTTGCTACTTATTTTGAATTTATCAGCGTATTTATTATAGTGTATTGACTGCACATTTAACAACTTGGAGCGGCGCCTCATTGTTTGATGCTTACTTAAAAACAATATACACATTAAATTTTGTCAACACAGCTCTCATCCCTCGTCCATTGATTACCAAACAAGAAAGCAATGTGATTTGGTTGTATAATCAGATTTATTATAACTAAGCAATCATGGAAATAATAAATGTAATAATAAATGCTATCTTGACTATAAAATGGACTCTCATTCTGCACTGGAATCAAAGAGCTGATATCACATAGAGACGGCTCTAATTAAATCAAAATAACGCAAGAAGATTATTAAGGCTGTGCAATATTCAGCCATTGTTGTTTATGTTACGTAATGTTTAAAGCCATTTTATTTGTTTTTAATGAGACAAAATCAAAAATTTAAAAAAGAAGATGATCTGTTTTATCGTGTCTTTTAGTCTGGTTGACAAAAATATCGAAAATCAGATATGAATCGATACTCATTTAAACAGGTATCGATACTAAAAATGAATTGCGTAACTGGATAACATTTGATTTCATCTTGTGTTTTATCAGGACTAGGGTAAGATTACATGATATAGTAAAGATATACAGTTATTTTGTGTTGAGAGGCTTTTACAATTATTTTAAAGTTTTTAAAGGATACATTTTGTGATTTGAATTCTAAAATATTGTATTGTTCTATAATATTGTAAATTTATCTTTAGTGTTTAGTTGATACGTTTAACAAGTGATGGATGAAGTACTTAGACTTGTTACATAAGTAAAACTACAAATGCAGCTGCAAAGGGTTACTCAAGTAAAAGTATCACATAAAAAAAAAATCTACGTAAATAAAAGTATTAAAGTACCTGTTTAAAAATGTACTTAGTAAAGAGAAAAAAGCTAAAGTATTTTTTTTAAGAAAAATTTTAAGTTGAAATGTAGTGGTTATGATAAAGAATTAAGCTGATTTTAAGTGATTCAATTTATTTCTAAATTTTTCAAGGCATTTTTTTAATAGACCTGTTCGTTTTACTCAGAGTTGGGACGTTAACTCAAATTAAATACACTAACAATAATACAATAGAATAGAATATATTGTACTTTTACTTTTGTACTTTGTTACCCTTCACCACTGCACTTAACCTTTATTTGGTTGAAACAAAATGGAAATTTGAATCTTGTAGGTTTAATAAAAATGGGTGCACAATGAGTCAAACTACAGGTACCAAATTTTTCTATTTTAGGAGATTCACGTCTGTATTGTGTCTAGAATAGAGAGAAAAGGGTAAATATTTAGTAGAACTGCCCTGGTGTTATCTAACAGCTCAGACTCTTCAGGTCATTGATCTTATTTTAGTCATGTTTTCTGGCGCCGAAATCCCAGTCCCTTGAAATCTCTTGGTGTCCTGTCCCTGAACTGTACAGTAAACACAACAACTCCAAACTGAAAAACATTTGCTTTTTCGAGTAACACGTTAAGAGGAGCATGGACTAAACCAGAACTGGACCCAGAATGAACCCAGATTAAACCTGGACTAGACTAAGACCAAACACTAAACCATGGACTGAGCCTGGTTTGACCAGTTTTGTTGTTTTGTTTTTGTTTTTTGGTTTGGTCCAGTTCTAGTCCTGATTTATTCCTGTCTAGCCCAGATTTAGTTTCAGGTTTAGTCCCAATTTTAATGTGGATAAATTAAATCAGAACTGGACTAGAACTAAACCAAGACTAGATTAGGACAGGACTAGGAGTTGGACTAAGACTAAACCAGGACTAGACTAGTACTGGACCAGGACTTGACCAGCAATAAATCAGGTTCAAACAAAGTCTAGCCCAGGACTTAGACCAGGATTTCAACCGGGGACTTCAACCGGGGACTTCAAACAACAATTAGACTAGCGATTAGACCAGGACTTGGACCAAGGACTAGAGAGAGGACATAAACCAGGGACTAAAACCAGGATTTTAAACCTATGACTATGCCTAAAAGTAACCCTTTATTCCCCTTGTCTCTCACAGGGAAGTGCTTCTTGTATTGTAATGGACTCATGGATCACATCTACGTTTGTCAAAATGGATCCCACTGCAGTAGCTGGTACAAGACACCCACCCACTTCAGTGGGACCCTGGTCAGTCAATATTATAGAAAATAATGTAATCAATAACTTTTGTGCAACTGCTCGATATTATATTGTTGTTCTATTCTTTGCTTATAGGACGCATTTGTCAAAATCGCCCGTTACGAAGGACTCAGGTCTCTGTGGAGTGGGCTGCCTCCAACTCTGTAAGTGTTAAATGGATAAAATGGGGCACAAGCAAGAGGCTAGACAGGAGGAAGTGAGAGAAAGAAAACATTTACCAAACAAATTTTATCTCCTAAGTTGAGTTGTTGGTGGGAAAAAAGCAAACGGAAGGATCTGAGTAAGTCTGACGTTTGAAGTTTGAGCAAGTTCAAATTGTGTTTACTAGACAAGTGGATCAGACAAGCTCCAAAACAGCAGCTGTTGTTGGTTTTTCCTTATCTGAAGTGGTCCTCTATCTAAAGAGCTGTAGACCTGCTTTAGTTCTGGTTTAGTCTAGATTTAGTTCTAGCTTTGACCTGGTTTAGTACTGAGTTAGTTCTGGTTCAGTCCCTTGTTAAATCCAGGGTTTGACCCGGTTTAGTCCTTGGTTCTGATTTATTCCTGGCCCTGGGTATACCTGGGTTAATCCTTCGGTTAGTCCTAAACTTGATACAGGTACAGTCTTGGATTTCACCTGATTGTCCTGAGTTAGTACTGTTTAATTGCTGCTTTAGACCTCGTTTTTTTACGTTTTTTGGTTGTACTTGGTTTAGTCCTGGGTTAGTTCTGATTTATTTGTGGCCCTGGGCATACATGGTCTAGACCTGGTTTAGTCCTGGTTTAGTCCTTGAATAGACCTTGGTTATTTCTGTGTTAGACCTTGTTTAGTCCTGATTAAGTGCACTTTTTGTGGGCTGCTCCCGGCCTGTATAAACATTGTCCCACACTGTTATTGTAATTCACTTTAGCCTGGTTCCATTTTAACCCTCCTCATCTTCTTCTCTTGTTCCTGCGTCTCAGAGTCATGGCTGTTCCTGCAACTGTCATCTACTTCACCTGTTACGATCAGCTCAGAGACTTTCTGCGCTTTGGTCTGGGCTTTCAGGGCAGCTACGTCCCCCTGGTGGCCGGGGCGCTTGCCAGACGTAAGGGGAAACACTTTAATATATATTTTAAAAATAAAAATAAAAAAATAAACATGATACAGTTGTAAATAGCATATTATCTCTCATTATTAAATATTAGTTGTAGATTAATGAACTGTATAGGTAAAAATTGCAAAAGAAATGGAAAGTAAGAGTGAATATGTTTTGACAAGCTTTGCCAAGTTGCCAAGACATTTTTCAGTTTTCTTCAGCAAAAATAAATTTCAAATGTATGTTTCAAGTTTATTATGTAAGGAAATAAATAAGAAAAAACAATAAACAATAAATAATAGCAGTATATAGAAAAGTAACAGAAAAGGAAAGCTGTCAATTGGACAAAAGTATCAGTGAATACTAGTATTCTAGTTTCATTACTCATCCAAGTAACTTCTTCAGTTATATTTAGGGGGGAAAAAAGTTAAAGTTTCAAGCTATTATGTAAGAATTCATACAGTTTTTCAATTTTTCAATTTTTGACATCATGAAAAAAGTAATCTTGCATGTACTGGGCTGTGCAACACTGTAGATTTTTATTAACTGGAATGAACTAGTTATGGTAAACAGTCCGTACTCATGTTACATATTATAATAGGATATAAAAGGACTTTGTTTTATTGGTTTGGCGTGAATTACCACACCAGACAAGACATGCCCAGTACAGGCAGTCACCATTTGGTATAAGAAAGCAATACTTGTGTTATTGTGTCTCCTCTAGTGGGCTCTGTCTCTGTGATCAGCCAAAACTGAACCAAGACTAAACTAATGCAAGACCATGACTAGACTATGGATTCAGTAGACCGGGAACTAGACTAAGGACGAGACCAAGGACTAGACCAGGGAACTATTTAGTAAAAGAAACTTAATTCTTATGTTATTACATTGTGTCTCCTGTAGTTGGCGCTGTGTCTGTGATCAGCCCTCTGGAGCTGGTGCGCACTAAGCTTCAGTCTCGGCGGCTCTCATACACAGAGCTCAGAGTTTGCATCCGCTCTGCGCTGGCTCAGGACGGACTGCTGTCTCTGTGGAGAGGCTGGGGCCCCACAGTGCTGCGGGATGTGCCATTCTCAGGTAACAACGCCACACAGGGCTATACCTGGCAACAGAGCATTTCCTAGAATCAGCTGACCTCACATGGCTCCACCTCACATCACCCCTGGTGACAAGAGAGTGGCTAGCCTGCTCCGGAAAGTTCCTTTTCTCTTTGTTACCCTGCTTGTGAATGTTTGAATCTGATCAAAGCATCAGCAGAACAAGCCGAAAAATCTAACTTTTCTTACATCCAGTTGAGAGAAAGCACTGATACCTTCCCTGCCCACAAATGCACAAAGAGCTTCCCTTTGACAAAACATGTTTGTTTTGTTTCGTTTGGGCGTAGGGTTAATAATATTCTCAAGTATGGCATAAAACGTATCTATCTCAATGAAGAATGTACCAAAACAATTTTATGTAATTTGTACTTTATATACTATTTATCATAAATTTTCTCCATAAAGTTCCACCATATACACTTATATAGGAATAGGAATAATGGGCCAAACTGACCAACCGACTGCCTGGAAGCAATGTTTGTTAATGATCTATAACAGTGAATGTGAAGTACAGAGGAATGCACAGTTGTGAATGGAAAAGTCAATATGAGGAAAAAGATCTGGCCCTATCTGAAATTCAATAAAAAAGTGAGTCATTGCACTGTTTTGTGGTGATGGACTTTTGCCTGAGTTCAGTTGCTTGAAGTAGTTTCAGTATATATTTTTGGGGTATTTTCTGTTGCAGTATATTGTAATTAAACATTTGGTATCTTAACAGGCCTACAGAGAAATTATATTAAAGGCATTGTACCAGATTTTTACAGTCTTCCCTAAAGACATTCCCCTAAAAATGATGTTATTAAATAGTTTGCAGTTGTCGAAAGGTATTCCTCACCTAATGCATTCCAAGCAACTTAATTATTCACCATGATGAGTTTCTAAACACTTTTCCATACTCTGAGAGACCAGAGCAAAGTTTGGCCACAACAGTAAATCTGACAAGAACAAGCTCGCTAACGTGCACTTCTTGATTACTGGACAATAAAATGCTTTAAATAGATGCAGATAGGAGACAGTGGACTTATTTTTGACCTCAAGAGCTGCTATTTTGCTCAGATACATGGAAAGTTAAATCCTGGTTCCTACATGTGTATACTTCATGTATGAAAGAGAAAGTGGGAGGGCAGGAGGGAGAGACGGGGCTGAGAAAGAGGGAAATGACAGTGTCTGAGTTTGTACCTGTGTAATATTTTTTATACTATTTGATTTTCTTGACAAATTCACTTTATGTATTGCTTTTTCTACTATAATCCCACTGCTTTTTAGTGAAATCTGAACAGTTAGAAGCCCTTCTGGGAACTGGTGTTGCGAATTAACTATAAACACTGTGATACCAGCATCAGATTACTGGAATTGTTAATCTGTGTTTGCTTTGTATCTGTCTCTATTCAAATGAACAATAAATAAATAAATCTGATACAGGTCCTCCAAATAATTGTGTAACATTTCTGTGGCCTAGGCTTTTTTGCTAGATCGCCCAGCCTTAATTTACTACAGGAATTGGCACACACACAAACTACTGTTATCTAAGTACTTATGTAACTGACAGTCATAGTCCATTGCACCTTTGCTCTATTAACATGTCCCTGTCTCTTGCAGCTCTGTACTGGTTTAACTATGAACTGGTGAAGGCTGAGCTGTGTGAGAGATACAGGACTCCTCCAAACTTCTCCATCAGCTTCACTTCAGGGGCCATCTCTGGAGCGGTCAGTAACTGTCCAGTCCAAGAAAACAGTTTGTTTATGTGCATTTTTATACCAAATTTTCTCATGACAAAACAAAACATGACAAACAGTCCATCACCTGCTTGTCTCCATGGACATTGTTTTTCCAGAAATTTTCCAGACAGTTATTTAAGCTTGTCTGTCTCCATGGAGATGAGCAGATGACACAACAAGGCTTGAATATACTACATATGTCCTATGAACCTGTATCCTCCTTCAAACTTAATAGAATTCTTGTGGTTTTCAGATTGCCGCCATTTTGACACTGCCGTTTGACGTGGTGAAAACTCGCCGACAGATTCAGCTTGGGGAGATGGACTCACTGGGAGGTCTGTTCATTTTATAATTGTGTTATGTCACATTATTAATGATAAATTAACATATTGATAAAAATTTTGTTTTCCTGTAGTTTTTCCAAAGAAAACCTCATCCACATGGCAAATTATGAAGGAAATTCAAACCAATTTGGGATACAGAGGCCTTTTTGCTGGTTTGTTACTGTCAAGTTATTTAACTGTCAGCTAGAGTCCCAATGTAAAGTCATTGTTAAGTTTGTGTGTTTTTAACCAAGAGGTCTCCAGCCACTCCTCTGTTAGTAAAAGTAATTGGTTTGTTTATTTTCAAGTTAAATCGTTCTGATTAAAAGTTCTTGTACATCATCATTAAAAAAATTGTAATAGCCATAATGATTTATTCAAAACAAAACAAAAACAAATACATAAAAATATGTACTAGGAAAGGAGATGATTTCTTTGCCATATTTAAACTTCTAGAATAAAGTGTTGTATAATATGTATAAGTATGTATGTATAAGTAGTCTACTATTAGTTGATACAAACTAAAATTAAAATTTTGTGATGTATTCATACTTTCTCAATTCTCACCTTATTACAGGTCAGTATTGTAACTTGCTATATTGTTTGTTTTTTTCAGGTTTCATGCCGAGGGTGATCAAAGTTGCCCCGGCCTGCGCGGTAATGATCAGCACTTACGAGTTTGGAAAAGCCTTTTTCCAAAAAATGAACTTGGATCAAACTCGCCTGGTAACCTGAAGCTACTGTCTCCCTGTATGTGAGACCTTAGCTATTTAACCACCAAAAAAATCCTTCAAAAACTTCCTCTTTTAAAGGACCTTGAAAGAATTTTAAGAACTCTTGAGTTTTTTGGAGTTGATGAAATGGACGAAGGATCATGAATTTCACTGGTCACCAATTGAGACTGCTACTAAAGGCAAAAACTGACCAAACTTGAGCACAAATCGTCAATTGAAATAATATGACAAAACACACTTTGACAATGAACTTCTTGTGCTCTTCGCTTAAAGTTTTGGAAGTATTGAAGCTATTGTTTGCCTGGCAATGTATTGTTACCCAATGGACTTGAATCTGCAGGTTTGGACTTCTTCAGTGAGCCACCAATATGGGAAAGGTTTTCATTTTTATACTTTTAGATGTCATTTACTTGAATATGACACGAGGATCTACTTAAGCTGGATTGAAATGACTGCAGGAAAAAAAAAAGATATTCATGTCGATTCATAACATGGGTTAAACCAGTGGTTCTCAAACTATAAAGTGCCACCTCAGGAAATGTTTTGTTTTTACTGTAGCATGTTTATTTAAAATTCCTAAAAACATGTACATAAGCGCGGAACCAAGATGAAGATTTTGTTGTGTCCTTATTTGGACTTTATTAAGTGAAGTCAGTCAAACCAGTTGGATGTTCCTTAAGGCTGCATCCACACTTGTACTTGTTTGAGCCCAGTTTATTTCTGAAATAGACTTGGTTTGGTCCAGTTCAAGTCCTGGTTTAGTCCTGGTTTAGTCCAGATCTAGTCTAGGTTCCAGTTTAGTACAATTTCTTGCAGTTTGTTAAGTGTCAATGCACCCTAAAAATTGTTCAAAAAAGCCAGGGTTGTTTACTGATGTCCATCCAATCGTTAATCTGAGAATTCAGGGTTTCTTAATACTGCACTGACCCAAGTATAGCCTCATTTATGGCAATGTTTGTTTAGAGCTTACAAAGTACTTTAAAGGACAATGTAAGCCTTAAGAATGCTTTTAGATGGACAATTTGGACATCAGTAGCCTTAAAACAAGAACATGTAATCGTAAAAATAGCTGATAATATAGATGGATACTAAACTAGAACTAAATATGGACTGATTTTGGACTTGGACCTGTTTTCAAGTAATGCAAGAGCTAGAATCAAAACTGGGCTAAGACCTGGACTCCTGGGCGCTATGGGAAGAGGTTTCAGTACTACCGTTTGAGAACCACTGGAGGTTATTCATAATATTATAATGCCTTTTTTCATGCATGACTACAATGATCACAATAAGAACTCAAGCTAAATTCAACCTGGGCATAAACTTGCATTGTCAAACATTAAATCAAAGACAAGGCTTCGTGCATGCTATGAAGGTGGGTCAATAGACATCATAGCGTTTCATAAGAGTCACTTGCTATACTAGTAGTTATTCAAGGGGAAAAAGCCATTTTAAACAACGCACAATGCATAGAGAATGGGAAATATATTTTGTTTAATTGTATATTTGGTCTATATCCACTTCATGTAAATTATTCACAAATCAAAGCTAGTTATTGCTACACTGGATCATAACACATTGCCTTATTAATGGTCTGTTCATCAATGTGCCAATAAAAGGAGGCATGAAATAAGTTGTTATTTTTTTCAGTCTTGGAGCTATACTTGGGTGAAACTGCGACATTTGGTGTTAAAAGGGCAAATTACAAGGCTATGCAATGTGAAGTTTGGAAATGTCAGTAAAAACATAAAAGATAAGCACAGGGTTGAGTGGTAAGAGACAAAAAAATTTAACTTTCTCTGCGTTGGTTTCTAAAATCTGTCAAATTATTTTTAAAGATATAGGTACATTCATAACAGTTAAAAGAGGACTGAAACAAGGCATAAAAAGTACTATTAACAGACACTTCATTAATCCAGGAGGAAATTCAAGTTTTGCTACAGCGAACTGTTGCAGTTGATGTTGCTGCAACATTTCCACTGCATGTCTTGCCTTTGTGTCTCAATCAAAGGTTTCCGTGCAGGGAAGGTCAACAGATCTGAGTCAGGGCAGTTTGAGGAGAGCCAAAAGTGCCCCTCCTTATTGTCTTGGAGAATCACAGCAGTGTTCAGGGGGAACTAGATGAACACAACAGGAAAAAGCCTCTTACTCCACTCTGGTGTTTCGGTTGGTGATGAAATGGTCCATTCCATGAAGTGTTTCCTCTGGAAGATCTTCTGCCTTATTTGTTGCCACAGAATATGTGGCAAAAATACCATATTATGTTTTTTTTACACCATATTATAGCAACTCAACTGTCCATAGCTAGCTCCTTCAATAGCTCCCTAGCTATCCTCTTGCATTGTCTTTGTGGTTACTGGAAAAACAAACAGCTCCCCTTTAATGAGAAACATAATGACCGAACAATTTTCTAACAGAGAGTAGGTTTTACTTACATGGGTGCATTTACTATAACTTTAAAGACTGCAAAAACTGCAAAAGCAATTTTAGCTGTATTTTACTTCTACTTGAGTCATGCATAAAAGTGTTAGAAACGCTTCCCACTGTAAGTAAGTGACCAAAATTTATGTCGACAACATTAAATAATCTGAACATTTATGTTTCTTGAATGCTCCTTCGGATAATAAACTGTTTCTAAAATGTAGCTTATTTATCAAGTTATGTCTAGACAGGTTCTCTTAGTTACTCTTACTTTAGTAGTAGTTTTCTCCAATGTTTAATTATTATAAATACAATTTGTACAGTTAATGGCTACTTTACCCACCTCTCAGCCCTAACAGGCTCAAGGGTGTGAGATAAAAAAAAAAATAATAATAATAAAATAAAATAAAAAACCAAAACATAATTTTAAAAGAACTTACGATGTAAGATTGGGCTGTCTGAATCTGTTTTATAACTTTGATCTCCTCACTTGGTTAAACAGAGACATCTAGTGTTTTTATCTGATACTGCAGCCTCCAAGTCACGCCACCATAACTCTCGCGATAAGTCCGTTTGTATATATAGTTCTGTCGCCCTCTGTCAGGCCTCTTTCAAATCGGACTGGAGACAAAATGGTGAGTACGCCTCTCTTACCCAGTGCATCTGTCCCTCCAATCCACCAATCATCCCAGGCATCTGACACACTCAACTTATATACATGATCTTGAACGCTTTATTCTTAGTATAACTTATGTTACATCTCGTATTTTGAGGCAAATACGTTGTAAATGCTATAATGAATGAGATCTGTGCCTACACGCCGGCTATCACGGCCTAAAATGGCTGCTGAGCTATATTTTAAGAGTCTGTTGAATTAAAGCCGCTTTTCTGATGTCTGCTAATTGTTTCGACTCGTAGGATAATGCAGTTGATATGATTTTACTGTAGAAATGTGAATTTAAAGTTGTCAAGTAGCTGGTAGCATGCTAACGCGATGACATTAGCCGCTAATGCTAAAAAGCGCTTCAACATAGCAAACACGTGACATGTCTTAATTGACATATTTAATAGTTTTACAGCGGGCTATTGGTTTACAGTAATGTCTCCTCTTCACAGTCCCACCGTAAGTTTTCGGCGCCCCGCCACGGATCCCTGGGCTTCCTGCCCCGCAAGAGGAGCAGGCGCCACCGCGGAAAGGCTAAGAGCTTCCCCAAAGATGACTCCAGCAAACCCGTGCACCTTACCGCTTTCCTGGGCTACAAGGCCGGCATGACCCACATCGTGCGTGAGGTCGACAGGCCTGGTTCCAGTGAGTAATAAGTTCCTTTTGTTAAATGCGACTGTAAGCGCATTGTACAAAGTGTCTGCCTGTGATGAGACTCTCGACGGGCGGACAGAATGGGCCCAGGCCCCTGCTGAATGTCGAGCACTGAGCGCAGTCATGGAATCTAGTTGAATTGATTTACAAATTTAGGAATATCTGATGGTTTTAAATCATTTTCTGGAGCTTGCTTCCTAACAAACATTATTAGTCAAAATTTCAGCTATATATTACTTTGAAAACTAGACTGACCTGCAGTTTAATGTAGTGTTGTAGAGTTTTACGTGATGTGCACTCAGACTAAATTGATATCCTTGATACTTGAGCTGTGCAGATGGTAATTCTGATTCTCTTTGACTTGCAGAGGTGAACAAGAAGGAGGTTGTGGAGGCTGTGACGATCGTGGAGACCCCACCCATGGTCGTGGTGGGAGTCGTGGGTTACGTGAACACCCCCAGAGGTCTGCGCACCTTCAAGACCATCTTCGCTGAGCACATCAGTGATGAGTGCAAGCGCCGCTTCTACCAGAACTGGTGAGTATAGAGTAAAATGGGTCCATGTTAAATGGGCTATTGTTGGAGCAGTTAGTTGCCCAGTTTTTCTGAGCGAGTCTAACAGCGGTGGCCCCTGTGGCAGCTCCTCTCAGGTGTCCCAGACCCTGATGAGCTCCGCGCTCCTCTGGCCGGTGGAAAGTGCTTCTTAGAAACCGAGCCATGAGCGGAAACTTGTGCTGATGTAGCCCCTCTGTCCTGTGGAGAGGGGCAAGCGGCGCTGCACTGAGCCCTTCCTCTGGTCTCTGACTATGAAGGACCTGTGCCAAACTGTGCTTTTGTCCCGCTGTGGAACAGGTACAAGTCTAAGAAGAAGGCCTTCACTAAATACTGCAAGAAATGGCAGGATGATGATGGCAAGAAGCAGCTGGAGAAGGACTTTGCCGCAATGAAGAAGTACTGTCAGGTGATCCGCATCATCGCCCACACACAGGTGAGTTTGTGCATTTTACTGCAGTCACTTTAGTTATGTGGGGTTGAGAGTTCTGTTTGTCTGTGATGAGACCATGGAAATCTGCGTCAGGCATGGCGCCCGAGAACCATGAGGATAATTTCCATGCTGCCTTCCTTCTGAGACTACAGAGCAACTATTCATCAGTACTGGTTCCTTCAGCTCTTGATAAAAGATTTCACAAAACAAATGGGGGCAGCAATTAATGATGTGAATACAATTTGTAAGATAGTATTAGCCGCCTGCTGCTGCAGTTTGTCAAATTAAATATTCTCGTCTGTATTGTCCCTGTACTAATTAGTCATTCAATAGTCTAATGATATAACTAACTTGCCCTCCCCCTGTGTTTTCAGATGCGCCTGCTGCCCCTGAAGCAGAAGAAGGCTCACCTGATGGAGGTGCAGCTGAACGGAGGCTCCATCGCAGACAAAGTGGACTGGGCCCGTGAAAAGCTGGAGCAGGCCATCCCCATCAGCAACGTGTTTGTGCAGGACGAGATGATCGACGTGATCGGAGTCACCAAGGGACACGGATACAAGGGTAAGCATTGAACTGGCTCTATGGTTCATTTTGAAGACTGGCTTTCTAGTTATTAAAATTGCCTGTTGATAACCCAGAACTGTTCTACATGTGTGTCAATTATTTTAAAAACCTTGTTTTTATAATGCTGATCAAATGGGGGAACAAATATTGCACATTTGGAACGGAGATTGTTTAAAAAAAAAAACACACATACCCTAGCTGTGGACTTTGCTCAACTATTGCTCTAATTTTTCCAGGTGTGACCAGCCGTTGGCACACAAAGAAGCTGCCCCGTAAGACTCATCGTGGTCTGCGTAAAGTTGCCTGTATCGGTGCCTGGCATCCGGCTCGTGTGGCCTTCTCTGTGGCCCGCGCCGGTCAGAAGGGCTACCACCACCGCACTGAGATCAACAAGAAGGTAACCTTAGACTTCACTGCTTGCAATGTTAATCTCTAGTCGTAGGAGCTTAGATGCTAGTTCTTGATTTATATTTTGACATGTCTGCCTATGATGAGACTCTCGACGGGCGGACAGAATGGGTTCAGGCCCCTGCTGAATGTCGAGCACTAAGTGCAGCTCGCTCTTTAGTGCAGCTCGATTCATTTTTTTTTCTTCCCCCTCTGAAAAGCTGAAAGTTTAGCAAAAATCCATTTGGTCTTTACTTCAGATCTACATCTAATGCATATCGTGTCTATAATTTGAATGCAATTGGTGGAACTCTGGAGATAATAAAATTGACTCGCCATTAACCGTTTGGTCCACATGAGTGTATTTTCCTCAAGTGGTTTTAAACTAGTTTTGCCAGTGCCTCATAATTGAAGTGTTTTTTTGTATTCAATTATTGTCTTTTAGATCTACAAGATTGGTCAGGGCTACCACCAGAAGGATGGTAAACTGGTGAAGAACAACGCCTCCACTGAGTACGATCTGTCCAACAAGAGCATCAACCCCCTGGTCAGTCCTGATTTAGACCAAAAGTGTTATGTCTGACTCCATGTCTGAAACGAGGCTGTAGCTCACTTCTGTATTTTTTTATTTAAGGGTGGATTTGTTCACTACGGAGAAGTGAGGAACGACTTTGTGATGATCAAGGGCTGTGTGGTTGGAACCAAGAAGAGGGTGCTCACTCTGCGCAAGGTACAAGGACTCAGCTGTACATGCATATTTTTCTGTGGAGGTTTGGGTTAATGAACAGATGTAAATGTAGCAAATTATCTTAGCACTTTCTATTCAAAGTAGCCATAAGTTTTAAAAATATATCTATGCTATTGAACTGGATAAAATCTGTATCTAAATCAGGCTTGCAGAGCTTTGTAGGAACTCCCTCAGTGTTCTTGAAGACTAAACCAGGACTGCTCATCAATTGCACACTGTCCGCAACAGTGCTGCACCGTGCAAGATCATGAGTATTATACTTGAAGGCATGCGTAGAAGTATTAGAAATTTTTAATTGGCTAAATATCCATTATGGACAGAAGTGTAGATTTGGCATTTGACTTTGTACAACACACTAAAATGATTTTCCTTCTTTCTCAGTCTCTGCTGGTCCAGTCCAGCCGTCGTGCTCTGGAGAAGATCGACCTCAAGTTCATCGACACCACATCCAAATTCGGACACGGGCGCTTCCAGACCGTGGAGGAGAAAAAGGCGTTCATGGTGAGAGTCAGACCAAACTATGCAATGTTACTGTATCCTTAAGTCATATTCACGATATTCAACTAAAAGCAGATTGTCTACAATCAAAGCCTCCAATATTAAGTTAAACCAAATTATAAGTTATAGGAAGTGTACCAAATGGATATAATATAGCTAAATCAAGCTTGACACTGAGTTAAATCGTTTTAAATTATAGTAAGACAATTAAAAAAAATATACTTTGCTTGAACGGAATTCATTTTCTCAAAGACAGATGGCTCAAGTCTTACATTGCACTGTTCGTAACCTGGTTCAGATTTAGTGTGAACTTTGGGTTCCATTCCAGTGCCACATTGAGCTCCAGTGAGGCAGGGGAGTAGTGTATGCATGTGCTGCTCCCTGTTCACTCTCTGGGAACAGGCATTTCAACAAGTATCATGCTAAAATGTTTAACCATGGAGTTTAACGAAGTGAATTAATTGCATAATCACTGGAGATTTGACCCAAAGTGTGGCAAGAAAACATTGTGCAAATTCTTATTAATGGAGAGTTTATTCATATTTGTTTTTTTTTTGTTTTTTTATTTTAAAAGCTGAAGGTGGTTTGGTTTTGTTTTTAAAGGTATGTCTTATGAATTATTGCACTTTTTCTGAACTGCCCATCCTTTTTGTGTACAGGGACCACTCAAGAAGGACCGCATTGCCAAGGAGGAGACTGCATAAAGTCCTTTTGTATCTCTGCTTCATCCGCTGTCACCATCTGGAAAATGTGTATGCAGAGTTTGTTTAATAAAAAACAGAAAATATTTTGGCTTTCATCCTTTTTGTTATAAAAAAAAAAATTCCCCTGCATTTCACTTGTAATTACAGGCCATAGATCTAAAATGTTTTGCAAATAGTTTATACGGTTTCAGAAACTGGAATATTGTCCCATTTTAAAGATGTATACTGGGTCACTGTCATAGCCGTCCTTAAACCTTCCCACAAAAGGCTATAGTGAGCTCTACACTGCGTCTCAATTCTTTCCTTCTTGATTCCTTGATCCTCCATTTTTCATCTGTCAATCAAATGTGTCATTAAAGGTTGGTTGGAGGATTTTTTTTGTTTCAAATTGTCAATGATAGCATTATAGAGATGCAGTAGCCTTGTAATTATGATGACCAAAAAAAGAATAAAAATTCATCAACTCTGGACGTGGTGGGGCTAAACATTTGCCAATAGATAACGACACTGCCTCGTTATCTGTTAGCTGACAGGCTGTCAATCAATCTCCCTACGTTTCTAGCGTAACTGACTTGCCTGCGCGCTGCCGTTACGTAGTTTACGTACGCCTGTCACGCAGTCCACAGACGCAAGCTGCACAGACGCTGTTTACTCTACCAACTCAACAGTTCTTAGCGGCTTTTTTTGACCTATATCTTCCTCACAGTTCGCACAAAGTTTGTTCCAATGGCGACAAGAATCCAGGAGCAGTTAGCCGCAAAAGAAAGTCAGTTTTTGAGATTGCTGAAAGACGACGACAAGGGGAAAAGCAGCGAAGCCAAACTAAGGTGATTCTTGAAGATTCATTCCAGCGATGGCGTGACTGAAGCAGACGCAGGGTCTAAAGACTGACGCATTGGTCGCCAAATTACTCCTGGACAGGTCACTTCTGCTTATTATGAAAACATACTTTATTTCCAAGAGCTAGACAAACGTTTTTCAGGACACGAAAGCGATATCCTATGTCTGAAAACGTAATTTTCAAGGCAAAGAAAGAGTCCGCTTGCTGCTGCGTGTTGTAGCTAGTTCATTCGCACTGAATCTCCGCGCACTCTTCTCTGCACCCCTTTCCTGCTCCTCTCCCCGCTGCCCGATCCGCTCTTCCCCCTGCTCCTCACTTCTCCGGGCACGGAATCTCCGCGCACCGCTCCCCTCTCCTCTCTCCTCTCTCCTCTCCCTGCTCCGCTCTTCTCCCTGCTCCTCACTTCTCGTCCGCGCACGAAATGTCCGCGCACCCCCTCCCCCCGCTCCTCACTTCTCCGTCTTGCCTAACCAACACTGTAGTTAGTTGTTTACAAGTCATGTGCAGCTCACCGGCTGTAAACAAACCTGTTTCTGGCGTAAGGAGGAGGAGGGAGGAGGGGTTTCTACGTAGGGAGCTGTAGGGGAGGGGGGTGGTTTCACGCATGCGCAACATTTGAAAAAGGACAAACAGTCGCTGGATTTCTCGTTCCTTGGAAAATCCTCTATACAACCTTTAAGTGGTGTCCTGGAGAAAACATGAGAGAAGCTTCAGGAGGCAGACATCAGAGGAAAATCTAACTTTATTGGTCTCAGGAGTTTCTTTTCTCCTGTCTCTTCTGGGAGGGATTTTCTCACCTATTTCCTCCAAAATCAAGAAGGAATTTGCTTCAGCATAATATGAATTTCCATTATGGATATTTCATGGCAAAGAAATGCAGAGAATTTTGGTGTTTCTCCCCCATCTGCAATTAAGACTTAATATTCTAAATTCCTAAAATGACCAACTAACTGCCTTTTGAATCTAGATAATCTTTCTTCTCAATGCCTTAGTGTTTGACTCTGACTTTAAAGATGTATTAAAACATAAGAATTAGAAATTTAAAGTGACATGTAAACAGAAACGAGGGTAGACCTCAAAGTAAGAATGAGTGTTTTATAGGTATTTAAAAACACCTGGAAACTTGGTAACTGAATACATGTAGCCAGAAAATGTATTCCGAAAGCTAATTGTGAGTACCTGTATTCTGGTATTTTTTCATTTGGCTTCTGTTCAGATTTGTTTTCTGAAAATCAAGGGAATACGTTACAGTACTTGATAACACAACTTAGGCTTCAAACTGCGCAGAATCAAAGAGGACAAAATGGACAATACTGCTCTTAGCATTTGCATGTGTGTGTTATTTCCTTCTCCAATTAGAAAAAGGAAAGGCAAAAGCAACAAGCGAGTTTTTAATGTTAAGTTGCATCTTAACACTAATTGAAATGCAACTGTGTGTGAAAGTATTTTAAGCATTCAGAATGAAGTATTCATGCATCAGAATAAGTTAAAATACAGTGGTGGAAAGTTACAAAGTAAAAGTAGTATTGTACATAAGTAAAAAATGTATGTACCTGTACTTAAGTTGATTTTAAAGTGGGTACTTTTTAATCCAAAAACATTTATTTTGTCATTTATGTACATTAATTTCTTAACTGATACTTTTTACTTTTACCGCAGTACATTTGAGAGCAGGTACTTTTACTCCTACATTTCTGAACCGGACTGAAAAGTAAAAGCACATTTTTGTAGTTTAAGCAAATTACAATAAACCAAAGTAAAAATAGCTGGAAAAAGAAATCATTTCAGTAGTTTCTGCTGAACAACATTCAGTATAAATCTGTATCAAAATCACTACATTTTAAAATCTTTATTACATCTCAACCTCTACTTTAACTTTTTACTCTTTAAGTACATTTTGAAACAGGTACTTCAGTACTTTTACTTAAAGGTTGTATAGAGGATTTTCCAAGGAACGAGAAATCCAGCGACTGTTTGTCCTTTTTCAAATGTTGCGCATGCGTGAAACCACCCCCCTCCCCTACAGCTCCCTACGTAGAAACGCCTCCTCCCACCTCCTCTTTACGCCAGAAACAGGTTTGTTTACAGCCGGTGCGCTGCACATGACTTGTAAACAACTAACTACAGTGTTAGTTAGGCAAGGCGGAGAAGTGAGGAGCGGGGGGAGTAAACAGCGTCTGTGCGTCTTGCGTCTGTGGACTGCGTGACAGGCGTACGTGACAGGTGTACGTAAACCACGTAACATCAGCGCTCAGGCAAGTCAGTTACGCTAGAAACGTAGGGAGTTTGATTGACAGCCTGTCAGCTAACAGATAACGAGGCAGTGTCGTTATCTATTGGCAAATGTTTAGCCCCACCACGTCCAGAGTTGATGAATTTTTATTCTCTTTTTTTTGGTCATCATAATTACAAGGCTACTGCACCTCTATAATGCTATCATTGACAATTTGAAACAAAAAAAATCCTCCATACAACCTTTAAAGGAGCATTGTGTAACTTTTCTAGGAAAATTCCTGTCAAAAGCTTTTCTTAGTAGAGATGTTATTGCTTTGTCTGGAATGGTTCAAAGTATGGTATTAAATCTTTCTCTTCTTTAGAGACCAAACCAGGCCAAGTTACAGGTCAGATCTGTGGAGAGGCGACCCCTGCTCACAGTCAGAATACCTGTTTTTCTAAGTAATTTTGAGCTGTAACACCATCTGTAAATGAATAAATGTAAGGAAGAGCTGTATAACATCATACTGTGGAACATTCCAGGCAGACTTTTTTTTTTCCCATGTGATACTTTTACTTGAGTGTTTTTTTTCTTTTGCTCCAGCATCTGTACTTTAACTTAAGTAACAAAACTGAGTACTTCTTCAGCCACTGGTTAAATACATTTTAATGCAAATATACGGTATTCCTCCCTGCCCTGTAATTAAATATTGAAAGATTAATTTAATTTGACATATTAGAATATATAACTGTAACATCAAGTGCTAGAAAAGTTCCACAGTGCAGCTTTAACATACCTTCTGAATCGTCACGTCTCCTCTTTGTGAATGGACTTTTCAAAAACTCCCAACAACGCAACATCTTAAACACCTTTGCGTTTAAATATTCAGCCTCTTCTGCAAAAACTTGGATTTTCTATGAGGATTCCAAGGCCCTGTTTAAAGCACGTACCTTATTAACCTATAGTCCAGGGACAGTTTGAAGGACAGCCATTCTCCACAAAGCTGCGTTTCAAGAATTATTCTGGACCAAAGCAGTTTTACAGTCATTCTGAATGCTCCAGGGGGCTGTTATGTGAAGGGCCAGCATAATAAAACCCAGTGGGGGAAGGGACAGGTAGATTTCTCACTTACATTTTAATTACTCAAGTGCTGGTCCAGGCTTAACCCGTGGTATCCATTTAAATAGTCCTTAAAATGTGCTGAGTGCCGACGTTTTAAATCACAAAAGGTAAAATACAGGATGTAACCTTTCATCGGAGGTGGGTAGAGTAGCCAAAATAGTAGCTTTAGTTTAAAATAGTGGTTGAAGAGATTAATATTAAGAGGGTGCACTGTGTAATGTTTTGGTTGGGGGGGTCTGTCAGTTGCTTTTTTTTATGTCATTGCTCTGCCCGGAATATTCCACAGTATGACATTAAACAGCTCAACCTTACAGTTACTGATTACAAATTGTTTTAGAACTCAGATTTACCTTTTAAAAACTCTCATTTTGACTATGGGTTGCTAACTTGGTCTGGTTTTGTTTCCATGAAGATAGAAAGATTTATTACCGTACTGTGAAACATTCCAGACAAAGCAATAACATGAAGAAAAGCATTTAATGGACCCTCCGCTAGAAAAGTTACACAGTGCACCTTTAAGGAACCTACTACTCGAGCAACAGTCAGTATTTTTTGTAATTTAAGTTAAAGGAACTGTAAAGGAATGGTATGTAGACAAATAAATATGAACCTGTGTTGCCAGAGCCTTAACCTGCAGATAAAGGACACATACAAGTTTTTCTCATTCTCAGGATATGGATAGGCCTCAAGTGAAAGCACAGAACCTCCAGAATTTCCTCACTGAGCTCCAGAGGCTGCACTAGCATTGACTCAAGATTGTCTGTAGGTGCTGGGGTTTAAATGGTGAGGATTCAAATCAGAGAGAGTTGCATTTTAGGTTTAAAACAGTTGGGTTACAGCATTGAACCTGGCAAAGCAAATAAGAGACCCATGTAAGGCTCGTTGTGCTTTCTGATTGGATAATC